AAAATAAAAAGAGGGCCGCTGCTAAGTGGTTTCGCAACCACATCGCCGTATCACCTATGCGCGCGAGCAACATAAATTGTGCACGCGCTGAGGCGTCCGAGCCGGTCCAACCGGCAGGTCCGCCACCAGAGAATATCTCTGAGCTTGGTATGCACTCTCCGATGCGGTGGGCATCTCTCCCAGTGCAGCACACACCAAGCGCCCGCGGGCCGCGGTCGCCAGTGGCCGCAAAAACACGTGGTCCGGCGCGCGGCGGCTCCGACTGGCCAGCGGGTGGTCACGTGAGCGTCCAGTGGCCGGCGCGGAGACCGGAGACGGTGGGATAGGCGGTGGGATAGACGGCGGAGACAGCGGTGTCGGCTCGGTCGTTAGTTCTGCAACATCGCCCCCTGTGCGCTCGGTAGACGCACTGAGGCGGTACACTGCAGTGATGGTCGCCAGAGACTGGCTGAATTAACGTCAGAGGAGCTCGGGTCGGGGCCTCGGTGATCAAGAGTCGGTCCGCCCCGGCCTGTAATCTCATCAGATCTCCGCGATGGGCCAACCTAAATCATATAGGCTCTCTGTGTTCGCTATAAGTGGTGTAAGGAAATACATGAATAAAAAGTAAAGCCGTCGCCCAGAAATAATCAACTGGAGCTTTGCAGGGCCAAGGACAACACATTGTTATTTGAAGGTCATCCCACAATGCCGCCCAGAGTTTTGCTCCGTTATGTTAAATTATGATTACATGCCGCTGTTGCAGCCCGTTAAATGATTTGTTCAACAGAGACCTCATATGCAAGACATTGTCCAGATGTCTGGCCAAGGCGAGAAATATGGCACGGGAAGCCGCCGATTTAGTGCAGCACAGGGTTGTTTATTAGTCTGGCATCTGCTCGGCCGAGCGACGTAACCGTTCTGGTTGTGTCATCTGAGCTCGACCCGACTGCAACCTACGGCCTGTTGGTCATAATGTGGCTTCAATATAAATAAGCGGGGTGAATTAGACCACTATAGCAGAACAGCAACTGGAACGCAATACACATGTGACTCGATGCGCGAAATGCGAAATGATAGTAAATCGTCTAACATAAAGAAATGCATTTTTTCCTCTCTCGAATTTCTGTGGTCACGCCGAGCAAGGTAAGCGGTCTGTAACGGTCGCTTATCGGTAAAAGAAGCTGAGATATTGTCAGAAAAGTAGGTACCACCTTGCTATCAAGACGGTCACAGCTCGTCTCTCACAGCACCCTGCTAGTTATTTTCAAAAGAGCGTTTGTGAGCAGTCATCATTTTTCTGCCGGGCTAGACCACAACATCGCGCATATCCTGACATCACCAGGCCCTGCAGCATTATGCAGTCTGCCTCAGCGGATATATCGCGAGACCTGGGTCATACCGCCCACATACCCACCACCCACGCTCTACAAAGTATAGCGTGTCAGTCCGATCGACTTGTGGCGCGTTGGGCGGATGGGACGGTGATAAACCCGCCCTCCAATACAGATTAGGCATTGGGGGCAGGAAATACACGACAGATGCAGCAGCGCCAAACTCGGGACGGTCGCTGCTGTCTGCGACCGCTAAGGGACGTGATCCAGCTTAAGTTCTTCACCAGACTCCAGACGACTCTTTAATCAGACTTCAGATGCAGACTGCTGTGACATGGAAGGGACCAGACACCGACACAGGCTATATGCGACCAATTTGCAAAAATGCTGGCATGAATTAGACTGTTACAATGGTACGTTCGGGTTCCACAACGAATAATAATAATAAAACGACGTTTAATCGCGTTAGAGATGTTCCTCAAAAATAACTGAATATTTAATGACGCGTCACGTCACCGTTTCTAACCAATAAATCTCCGACGGGCGTTGTCCTCCACTGAGAGTAGCAGGCATCGAGAGTAGGACACTGAACGTGACGGGCCGACCCCCTGTTGGATGACAGCGGCCCCCAAACCTGGAAGGACACTACCCGCCCCTCTGCCGCCCGCCCTGTGACGCACTCCGCCCAACGGCCGTCCAAAGCACTGGCTCCAGGGTCGTCCGCTCAGAGGGGGAGGGGCCGACTCCGAGGCTGCCATCAATCAGCCTTCCGAGTCACCCTGTCCAACCGTCAGCCGGACATATTCGGTGGAACTCCGCCTGGGATCCCTGAGATCATCCCGGCAGTCCTTTCCAGGAGTCACCGCGCCGGCTCCCCAAACGGCCGAGTTCATTGTCCAGCCGCCAGCGTCTGATCCGTCCGGCTCCAGTATGCACGGAATGTCCGAGCGCCAAACGAGACTAACCAGTTGGAGGCGGTGTCTGCACGGCTCTCCGCGGCAGGAGGGACGTACGGCACGGTGCACGGCCAGAGGCACGGCCGGGCTGGAGGACTGGACTGTCTACATATACAGGCACGCTCGGTTCCGGTGGTAAAGTGCATAGTGTATAGCGCAGTGTGGATGCATATGTCGCACGGCGCTGAACGGTGGGGAAGGTCGGAAGCCAGACGCATTTTCCCATTAGCTGCCTGTTGGATGGCAACGGTATCCCCGTGGGCAGGGTTGTCAAGGGCCTGTTGGAGACCGGCATCCTTGGCCGTCGCGGGATCCAGAGGCAATAAGCTTGGTGCCACTTCTGTCAGGTCGGATTTTATCAGCTATGCCTGGCGAGACCAGAGCCACCATAGGCTCAGGCTGGGCCTGACGACTGAACGGTGAGATATTCCCGCGGAGACTAGCGGCCCGGCATCCAGCGGCTCCTCCCAAGGTCACTCACACAGCACTGACGAACCAGCCAGGCTGGCGGCGGTGCCGCGTTTGGTTCCATGTTTGATGGTTCCATCAGCCATGCCCACCGTCGGGTACTAAACGGCGGCGGCATGCAGCTGCGCATACGGGATATGCTGGAAACTGGGAAGCATGGAGAACCAAACATGGACCACGCCAAACGCGGGCTACTTTGTCGTTCGAAATGCATTGCATCGCTGTACCTGTAAACCATCGCCCGATGTCATTGAGTTCGATGCCATGTGATACGTAGGTACTGTTGGATCTGCTGGAGCACGCTGCTCTGTTGTGCGCCTTTCTATTGAGGCGGACAGACTACATGAGAAGTTTTGTTTCAGTAAGCTTACTGAAAAAAACTTCTCATTATAAATACAGCCCACCAAAACGGCAGTTATAAAACTTCAGTAGACAAAATGTAACAAACAATCCAGTTCAGGCGTGTTGTTATCAAGGTAAACAAGACGATATTAGCATTATTCCTGCTTTCCTCCACCACTGCCATGTCCTGTTTGGTTTGACAATGGGTGTGATTTGTGAAGGGGTAATTCTCGTGGACTCGAGCGGAGTTCCGATTTTATAAGCGTTAGGTATCGGCGGCTGTATGTACAGGTCTCGCGGGTTTTAGCGGTACGTTTTGCACCTAGAAAATTTAGTGTACTTCAAGCTATATCGTCGTCGTCTTAAGCTTTTAAGTGTTGAAGATGCAATCGACTTGTTGGGTAACAAGCCGGCCATGATCGTGTAAAATGGCTTCATCGTAGATCGATTAGTTTCTGAGATATTACCGGAAATGTAAAAGTGCAAAACCTACCGCTTAATCTCGCGAGACCTGTACACCGGACGCAGTACGAGAACGACCTGTGGGGTCCCGAGTGGCTCCGGTAGCTCACCCCACACCGTCCCGATCCCGTTTATTTATCCTCCCCGGTGACGTCTCTCACTAGAGGCGAGCGCAGGCTGGGTCGGGAGACGAGTGCGCGACCCCACCCCTCCCGCTGCGTCTGGGCAGGCAGCGGTGAGGGAGCGCAGTGGTGCAGGACGGAGGTGCGATACGGGCCGTAACAGACGACTACGTGCCAAGGACGCAGAGTGGGAATAGGTCGGCGTCCCGTGTGCAGCGGCAGCGCACAGCCTGCACAGTCGCGCCCCTCCCCTTCTAGACGGCGCACACAACTACCAAAACAACTCCGGGGTGCGGCTCTTGAGCAACGTCCTCACTTCCGAGTGGGTGGGGAGTTTCCACAGTGGCGGGAGGCGTAACTTTTCAGAGATGGTGCGAACTGTTTTGTCCTAAGGCCATCGTACATCGTACACACATTTAGCAATATCGGTGTCACATATTTGACCGACTGTGACTGCCTCCGAGCGAGTGCCACCGAGTGAGGCGGTGTCAAATGTCAGGATACAGTCACGGGTGCGAATATGACACCGAAGAGCGGAATGTGCCCACTGGGAAGCAAGGGTGTGATTTAACAGCATTGTACTCTGATCTATGGCCAATGGCCATCGAGTCATTTCTCATCAAAGTACCAAACACTCGTGACCGTAGGAAAGATGCTTGGTCCACGGTGCCAGGATCACGACACTACACTAGCACGTGCTCCACACGACGATGACAACGAACCGTCACTCGTCAGCCTGAGGTGGTTAAAATTCACTCCCCGACGCTCTCCTTCTCTCCGGCTGAATCAGCTTACGAAGTGTGAGCTCACGTAGCCCAGCTCAGGGAAACTACAAGCCTTCCCGTCCCACGGGGCTGCGCCGGCCCGGTAAAAACGGCGCTGTCAGCTGCCGGTCGGCCCCGGCCGGTCAGACGGGCAAACAGAGCTAGCTGCCGGGCTGCCCTTATCCATGAGCTCACGTGCAGTTTGCGCTCCGACCGTGATTGTGCCCATCCCAATCCCAGGCGGTTATCGCTCCGGGGCGACTCACACTGATAACGGACATGGCGACGGAGCGGGAGCCTATAATCGGAGCCATAATCGGAGAATGGTACGCACACTGGTGACCTGGGCCATTCCGCAGCGACTCATCGTACCCGGCAATCGTACCTTACGGGAAAACCGGCGACGAAGCCATGCAACGTATAGACACGGTCGGCGTATGGATCGCCATACGTCCATAGCGAAGAAAGCTCTTCCTTCGCCTGTAGGGGGGAGGGGCTGTTTGAAAGCGAGAGGCGCCATCGCTGACCCTGACCGAGCGCCAGTGCCGGCGCGGTCACCTGTTCGGCACTTACCGAACCTGCAGGTTCTCCATGAAGCTGTCGATGTTGATTTGATCCAGGAGGACAAAGTCCCCGATCCCGGCCTCATCGTGGTGCGCCATGGCTCCACGCTTAGCCAAACCTCACCGCGCACAAGCAAAGCACCAACACAGCCCCACTCGCCTCGCGCCCGGCCCGCGACTGCCGCGCCCACCGCGGCCGTTTGAAACTGAGCGAAGTCGCGGCCCGACTCGGCGCAGCGGCCGCCTGGTGAGAGTCCGGGGAAACGCGACCGGCGCCAGCTCACCTGACGAGTGAGACGCGCGGTAACACCCGCAAGCGCCACAAACAGGACGGGACTAAATCGGCATTTTTCTGGACTTTCAACAATGAATGACTATTCAGAGCCAGCAGTGCAGCCAAGGAACAAAAGCTGCTTCAGAGCCCAGGTTCAGTAATTGCCATCCATTTATGAAATCGGTGCACACAACAACCTGCAGTAGGAAACAACAACTGCGTGCGCATATACCTATATGCAACCTATACCTGCACGCATTTATCACTCTAATTAGGGTATCCGGTCTACGGCAACGGAAAATCCAGTGAGACAGGCGCAAGACTCCGAGCCTAAGCCTGTAGTACAAAAACTTATGAGAGGTAGGCGAATACTTTTTGCGGTTAGAGCTGCTTGCCTGCCTATAACGTTTCCACATTCATCTTGCTTTGCCCTCATGACTTCAGGTAACCCGCATTTTTCATCCTATGATTTCAGGAAATTATTCTAGGCGAACCTGTACCGTGAAATGAAATGGTATAAATCAACTTGCCAATGTGTAGTGAAAGTGCAGATCCTACACCGGACAATTGACCTTACCCAGGCGGCAGACGCCGTTATCTTCTTCGGTTTGAGCCTACAAGGTTCTGAATATCGCAAATCTACACGAACTTGGCGACACTATCAGCACCGTCTGTCGATTCAGTGTTTTTCGTTTATCGGCACCAATTCCTCCATATCGGTGTGGACGGAACGCGATAAACGAGCCAATGTTTGAACACCAGCTTCGTCTGGGTTTCTGAGAACGGTCACACGGGCCACGGGGCTGGACTGCCGCGTCCCGATATTATAGGCCAATAGAAGCAAGGATATTGTACCCATTATAACAAAAACTACCCTTACCGATTAATTCATGAACTACCTACTCTAGTTTATCTGCATAAAGCAAAGGTTCCGGCATCGACAACTGAGTACGCAACAACGGTGAGCTTCGGAATCACTCAGCACAATTAAAGCGAGATACCCCATCAATAGAGCTCTACATCGATAGAGCGGTATACCCTCAATATATAAAGTTTGTTGGCTTTATACCACGCCTCACCAGCCCACCAGACACGTGTTGTACGCTGCAGGTATATTGCAGTCCGCTACATCGGGTCGAACATATCGGCCGCTACTGTACCGGGCACCGCCAGCGGCCGGGTGTCGGCGAGACAGGGACCACGGTCCCCAGAGACCGGGACCACGGTCCCCAGAGACCGGGACCACGGTCCCCAGAGACCGGGACCACCGCACGATGGACAACGGTCCTGAGAGACCGAGACCACGGTCCTGAGACCGGGACCATCGTCCGACAGACCACGGTCCTGAGACCGGGACCGTCGGCCGACAGACCACGGTCCTGTCCTGTGAGACCGGGACCATCGTCCGACGGACCACGGTCCAAGCCCACACCCGTGCCACAGGCGGCGCGATTTTGCGCAGGCACACGCGATTGAGACTAAAAAACGTACAAAAGTACAAACTGGGTCGCGCGCAGAGATTCACAACTCCTCGTTATAATTTGGGCGGCCGGCCGCCGCGCCAGCCGCCCAGTATTTGTCAGTAAAGCTGCAACTGTGGCACGTTCTCATTAACTCAGTGGCGGATCGCGCACCGATCTACCCGCAGGGTCACGCGCACACCACGCACGAATATAAAACAGCCCGGGGGCGCCGCTATTTCGGTCGGCGGGGGGGGGGGGGGGAGGGAAGACGAGCACCTACGTCGTGATGCTGGGGAGGGGTGGGGTTGAGGTCGCCCTCCGCGGAGTGGGGGCGGCGCTCCCCTCTCCTGCCCAGCGGGGCGGGGGAGCGGAGCCAATACCCCACCCCGAGGAGGTGGAAGCTGGCATTTGGAGGCGCACAGGGGTTGGACCCGCACTGGTCCCGTTCGAGGCATAGAGGCAGAATAAAACCCACATTCGCTTGTGAGAAACCGCCGATAATACTTCGCACACGCACCGCCGTCACACACGCACAGTTCCGACCGCCGCCGGCCGCCAAAACACACAGGTAGGTACATCATAGAGCAGCTGATCTCGCCAGCGGCCCCGTATATCACTGCCACACCGAGCAGAGGCCCGAAAACCTGGCCAGTGTCGGTATCTAATCCGAACAGATTCCATAGAGATCTGCCTGTCCACGAAGGACGTCTCATATCAGCCTGAATTTAGTGGACACGGTACTCCGATGGTGCGCCCGGCGCCGGGAGGAGCGGCCCGTCATACGACGGTGGCCTGTCCAGACGCGGAGCCGTGGCGCACCATCAGACTGCTGACCGCCCTGCTGACGTTCCACTCGACCTGGCGCAGCGCGCGGCTCACCTCGTCACACGCCACCTGCCGGGAGAGACGCGACAATCAACGCTATCTGGTGGACAGGTCAATAACCAATGTCAATATTGGACATTGCAAAGAACAAGTCACCAGGATAGGCAGTCAGCTTGGTCAGACCATACTAGTGACCACAGAAAATGTGGTCAGTAAACAATAATACAACTTCCCTCTTACTAGCGCCCGTGACCAGCTATAGCCCGAATATCTGCGACTCATGTCGACCACTTTTTAGATCCCCTGTACTCCAAAACCCTCACTAACCTATCTAAAACTAGAGTCCATGTGTCTCACAATTTCGCGAACGAACCAGCCTATAATTGCCACTCCAACCTCGACCTGACGGGTACTTGATCCAAAATGTGGCCCGTACTGACCTCTCTGCCGAGAGCCCGTGTGACCTGGCACAGTTTGATGGCGCGGTGCACGTCCCAGCTGGTCTCGTTGAGCGCCAGCAGGCAGGCCTCTGAGGTGGCGCCCGTACCCAGCACCTTCAGCATGATCCGGACCTGGACAGCGACCACACATTGGCATTATACGTTGAGACTCAGTCTGAGCTCAATTGGACTAGTGAAGACTGAAGATTGTAGAAAGCTCGACACACAGCTGGACCCTCACGATACAAGTCTCGAGAGTCCGATTCACATCAATGAGCCGGTAAGACTTCAAACATTACAGTATTCCCCTGTTTCAGTCACATCAAGTACCCTGTCATATGTCCTCACTCGTAAGGAAATATGTCATGACGATTCGGTCATATTTCCTCATCCCAATCGGCGCATGCTCTACAATCTTGCCTTTTTGAAGGACCAGCGGAACCTTCAACCCTCTAGGTACTCGCCCCTCCCACAGCTCTCCACGCCGTCTCACCTCGTCGCTCTGCGCACCGTGGGCGGGTCCGCGCGTGCGGCGCGCGTTCGGCCGGTCCGCAGCGAACTCGAGCAGGTCCTCACAGCTGACGTGGTCGCGCCACGTGTAGAGCAGGTCGGCTCCGGGCGGACAGACCGACCCGGAGCCGGAGCCGGAGCCGGAGCCGGAGCCGGAGCCGGCCGAGCCCACACACTCCTCGGGGATGTGGTCGAGCGCCTCCATCTCCTGCGCCAGCTGCGACTCGAACGAGTCGTTCAGACTAAAAACATAGACGCATATGATGGTTAGCTAGAGAAGGGTTTCAATGGGTATTAAAAGAACTGCTCATGCGGTTCGTCCAATACAATTTTCAGTGAAAAATGATGTCGAAGGATGGAACTTTTGCCATTTTTAAATGCCCCTCAACATAGAACAGGCTGCCTGACTTATCAGGTCGGAGAAAATGAATTTACGCTGAGGAAGAACAGTAGGTTAGAAGGAGGTCGAGGCTAGTAGGGATCTGACGTGTATTCTCGAACAGAGGCAGGTACCTGCTGCTGGGTGCTAGAAGGTCAGCTGGCCGGCGTGGCTGGGTCAGCGGTCACTGTTCGTGGTCCGGCCTGGGTCAAAGGAGGACCGAAGTCACAAAAGGATAGGGACGGAGAAGGTAGGGGAAAACCAAGTAGGATCAGAACAATGAGTAGGAGCAGGAAGGAAGTAGGAACTGAAATAACTTGACAAAGGAAACACTTTCAAAGCCATCTGAGCTTAACAAAGTGTTAGGCCAACGTTATTTATTGCGCAGCGAAACAGAAGTTACTGAATCAGTAAACGATGTGACAGAAATTAATCGGACATGCAACATCCAATAAGTAAGCTACCAACTGCGGCGACGAGACTTCACTGCACGGGCACCGTTGGGACCCTGACAACCCCCATGAATTCCACTCACTTGAGCCGGGGCGGTTTGGCTGGCGGCGCTCCGCGGGGCAGCCGGCCGCCGTCCGGTACATCCTCTGGTGAGAGGCTGTCGGCAGCCCGGCCGGCCGGTCCGCCTGCGCCCGGCAGCAGCAGGGGGTGCTTGCGCTGGTGGCGAGGCTTGCTGGCCGACTCCTGGGAAGGGGGAGGCAAGGGGTGTTGGTCTTATTGAGGAGAGTGATAGGCATCAGCAGTAGAGAGGCACAGTGGGCGCGGGCTAGTGACAGCTTCGAACACTAGAGTGGCAACGGTAACAGAGCAGATGGCACTGCTGTCAACTAGGTGGAGGAACTACATTAAAGCTCAACGAAACTGCATGGTCAGCAGTGAAGTATAAGCTTTTACTTTCATCCTATCATCAATGTAGAAGCTAACAGCTGCTTAGTGCTGCCTTAACTTTTTCTAGAATCCTTCATCGCAATTGCACTAAGCAATCAAATAAATTCATGACGTTTAAAGTGCACCAGAATCCATTCATAGGAGTTTTGTGAGCCAGTTTGTGAGTGCAGCCGCAGGCCGGTCCCGTCCTCACCTGTAGACTCTTGGTGCGGTCTCGCGGCGGCAGCGGCAGCGGGTTGGACGGGTCGGCAGCGGGCGCCGAGCCCACAGCCAGGTCTCGGTCGATGGACATGGTGCGGTGCCAGGTCTGCAGCGAGGCCGAGTCGGACGGCGCGCCGCCACCCGGCTCCGCACCACCCCTGAAAGGCAGGGTCACACAGTGTTAGTAAAATATGGTAGAGAGACAAATTCGGCTAGTTTGGTTAGAAATCGAGTAACTGCTTATGAGGTGGAATTGGTACAAAAAGCGTAGCGAATTAAGCTCAGACATTCTCTAAATATTTAGCAAAAAACAATTCTCTCCATTCTCCCCTCCTTTTCATTCATTCATTCATTCATTCATTCATTCATTCATTCATTGAATCACGCATAAATCCCCCTTCCTTAGTCTCAGCCTTGCATTCACTCATTCATACTTCATAGCCATTCATTCATTCATTCATTCATTCATTCACTCATTCATTCATTCATTCATTCATTCGTTCGTTCGTTCGTTCGTTCGTTCGTTCGTTCGTTCGTTCGTTCGTTCGTTCGTTCGTTCGTTCGTTCGTTCGTCCGTTCGTTCGTTCATTCCACTCAATATGCTCTGACTCTCTCCCGTCTGACTCACTTGGCGGCCAGGGTGGCGGCGCGGCTGCGGCTCACTCCCTGACTCCGTTCAATGGTGGCCGTCCCGGTCGGCAGGCCGCTGTGCTTGTTACCACGGACCTTAGGTCGAACCGTGATGCCGGCTCGTAACATTCTGTTGGCATAAGGGAGAGTTGAGATAGGGAAGACAGACAGGAACGATGGCTAAGGAAACATGAAAGTGTTAATAGTCGGACAGTGTTGATTGCTGAATCACTTTAAACTGTGAAAAATGAACAATTATATAATTCAAGGTTCAATAGCATCGCAAATCTGAGGGGCATGATTCCAGAAGGTCTATAATATCCTATAGTCTGCCATCATCCCGCTCACCTAAGTGGATTATCGGACGTTTCCATTGCAGTATCTTCAGTGGAGGCGGCGGCGGCGGCGGCGGCGGCGGAAGTAGCGGGTACGGCGGCGGCGGCGGCGGCGGCAGTCGGCGGTTTCTGCACCAGCGAGTTGTACGCCTCCCTCTCCTCGTGCTTCAGAGACGTCTGTAACAGCGAGAGAGCGGCCATGCAGGCGGCATGCAACGCACATAAGCGCTCCACCAAAACGGCGACGCTGCGGCGGCGCAAAATGGCAGCACGGCGACTCGGCCGAGAGAGGGGCGCCAAGCTACGAGGGCGGACGGACGGGCGAGCTTACGTACAAACGCGCCGCAAACACATACTCGCACACACATTCCGACGGGAACTGAGTAGTAAGTGACAAGATGCGTCCCATCTGCAGGTTGGGCAACGGTATGGTATGATATGGTAAGTGACAAGATGCGTCCTATCTGTCCCATCTGCATGTTGGGCAACAGTATGATGTGATATGAAAGAACGAAAACTTAATATTGATTCAAACTATGCGATTAACAATACGAGTACTAAGTACGATAATGGCAGCGATTCCCATGTAAAAATAAAGGGAGCGCCGTAGAAAAAAATGAGTAAAAAATGTAAATGCAAGTTGCCAATAAGAACGGAATACATCAACAAACACGATGATGGGGGGGGGGGGGTATACCAGGCATCGATCCCAACCAAAAGAAAAAAAAAAGATACCGCGACTACGGCAAACAAAACAAAAAACAGAAGTCAACAATCAGGTTCATAACCAGCACCCAACTACGGAGTGAATATGGGCATTGGGCAAACTGAACATCGAACTCTGAGCAGCAAATCGGCAGCACATCTCGCTTTGATTGCATAGAACCAAGCGGGAATTTTCCTTGGACGTAACCGCACTCACCACCATTCGACCAGCGTGAGTGTGTGAAATAAATGACACCGACAGACGGGCGGTCACCGGCTCGGACGAAAATTTATGGCGGGAATGGTGCAAAATATAGCTCTCAGTTTCGATTGAGCCAAACCGTAGTAATTGGTAAGAGCATATTCAATTAGAAATAAGACGTCCGAGCCAGCCGGCCACCAAATAATACTGCAGCACTGAACAACGAAGCGGAGCGGCTAGCAGAGGAAGGGGCCATGCGGGGTGGGAGGGGATGGTCCACAACCGCCACACGGTCGGCCAGTCACACGGACTGAGCGGAACCCGTGGCAAGCCTACCTTATACCGAGTCCTGTGGCACAGAGACGAGACGGCGTGTCAGAGGCAGCGCACCGCCGTCACACGCACACTGAGGCGAGCCTACAAAGGCAGGCCACTTGCAGGGACACCCACACGGCACCGAACACACTCGGCTGAACTCTCAGAATGAGGCTCCGACAATGCGCCCTCTGAGCGTTGATTCAAGCCGCTACAAAAGCTAGGCCCCATCTCGATGTATGCTTTACATCTGCCAAAGGCTCAATAGTTTCCCATCGTTCCCGCTCGCCCACAGGTGCTGTTGATAGTGATTCGGGATAGACGCCCAGAATACAAATGTCGGCCCACAGGCCTCAGTCATCCACTTGTCAGGAATGGAACACCAGTGTTCTACCCACCTGTATATCAGGGATGCTCGCCGCCTCTGTGCTGAAGTTACGGCGCGACATCGGCGGACTCGGCTTCAGCTTGAAGGAGAACTTCTTCTTGGTCGGACTGCTGGGTGTGTGTGGTGAGTCGAGCGAGTCAGAGTCGAGCTCGGCCATCGAGCGGGCCGCCAGGTCGTTGGCCATGGCGATGGCCTGCTCCAGGGTGCGCCGGTCGGACTCGGAGATGTCCCGGACCTGTGACACGGCGGAACGGGTCGGAGGTCACACGTCAGCAACAAAGCCAGGCAGGTCGCAGACTGAGCGGTAGACAATAACGGTCGAAAGTTATTTTCTAAAGCTCGGCGACCTGTCTTGCTAAGGAAAGAGGGCAAAAATCTTATTGTGCCACCCTGACAAAAGAAAAGCGAATTATGTAGCATAGCAATAATTAGCAGGAATATTCGGAAAACGTTATAGGTACTGAAATTGGAGAATATGCTTAGAGAAATAAGTGAAATAGTATGGTTCTGGTATATCTCTTGATAGACTCCCCACTCCCCAAAGGGCATACGGGGCACTACCAAGCCCGACGTCTCCCGCTAAGCCGTCCCGTCGCCTACCTTGCTCTCCTTGCGTTTCTTCTGACCGTGTTCGCGCAGCATGCGTGCACTCTGCTCGCGCAGTTCGTTGCGCACGTTGCTCGCCTCGCCGCCGGAGGTGGATTCCTCAGACATGACGCGATCCCGGGGCCGCGGCTGGGGCGCCGCCGTCGCCGGTCCGCCCAGAATCGACATCACTTCGTCCATCAGGCTGGGGCCCAGGTCAAACGGCTGGAACACACGACAAAAACGGAGTAGCAGCGGAGGTAGATTACTGACACGTGCAATGTAGCCTTGAGAGATACTAGGTATGGATTGTGGAAAGAACAACAATACACGTGAAGAACACATTTCACCTTGAACACATACGGTGACACATTGCAAGCACACAAAACAGAGAACACAGATACAGAAGCACTGAGTTCGAGTGCCGCCACTATTGACACTTTGAATAGTGGGTCACAGGCGTCCGTCCGATTGCAGGCCGGTCGTTGGGCGGTGCCGGTGTTAGGCAGCGGTACGGGCGGACGATAAGATACAGGACTGAGTCCTGGCGGGCGGGGAAACCGGGACTACATAGAGAGCGGAACGCTCCAGGAGGACGGAACAGAGGACGGAACATGATGGAGGAGGGCTTAATTGTAAAGAGTGAAGAATGGCGAGTTGGAGAGCAAGCAAAAGAATCATAAAGTCGAAGTGTCGGAGTAAAGAAAAAACTATTACGTAGATGGTCGTCGTAGAATGTTGTTGTTAACAGAACTGGTCCACCAGGAGGAAAAAGTGAGGGGCCGAGGTGTGATGTTACACCTTTCACTCTTCCTGACGCACTGTCCACAGTGCGTCAGGAAGAGTGTTCCTGACGCACTGGCTGTTACGCATGCGATGTTTTGCCAGTCCAAAGAGATATGGGAATCAGACGGAACAGATGCTCTCCAGGCACTAGCGGCTCACTCATCGTGTAATGATACGCGCTTACATCCACGCTTCAGTGGCCCACGCTTGCCACCCGCGCCCCATTCAACACTGGTCAACGACAGCCGTATGGACAACAGCTAATAGTTGGGCCTTTCTAATGAATCAGAACACCTGCGTACAATACAGCGGTGCGGATATGTGCAGAAAATACTCACCGAGCGCCACATGGCTACACGCTACCCCACTACCACCGTGCTGCCAGCGACCACCGTTGTCCCACCCCTGGCACCGATCACACACCCATCCCACCAGCCACAGACACACTGTCTACCGCTACATACGGCCGGCCGGGTGAGGCCGAGGGCACAGATAGCGCCGGCCGTGATCAGAGTACGACGTATCGGAGGCCCGGGTGCAGGAGACACACAGGCCATATTATACGGCCATATTCCGATCGAGTGCTTCTAATACCCTAACCAGCAGACCCTATTTTACATAAAAAACTTTCATGCCTTTAAAGAGCGATCAAAAGGCTCAACCAATCCCGAAAAACGACCAATTTATTTCCATTCCACTTTACGATGATTCAAAACCTTGTTCGTATGGGGGCGAGGGGAGGGAGCGGCAAATCCGCTCATTTTCCCGGAAGCTCGAAATCAAATTGAAACTTTCCTCAAGTGGGTCCAACACCTACAATTTGGCTGTTTAAGCCCCCCGATCAATATCCCGCCGGTAGCCGGTCGTGTTCATTACTCACCAGTCCTGAGAGGGGCTGACGTGGAGAGGAAGGGGGCATCGGTCACCGGCAGAGTATCGGAACTGATGCAACAGATCACACCTCCCTATCAAAGCGGCTTCGCAACACAACAGCCGATACCCTTGTCAATGCTCACCTCTGATACCAATCGACTACGGATGTGAATCAGCAATGATTGCATAGTGCGTGTACTACAGATAGTGCACAAAGACCTACAAATCCCCTGGAGAAAGAGGGCACATACATGGAGGAGGGAGAGAAAGAATGAGAGGGAGAGGGAGGGAGAGAGAGGGAGAAGGAAAGGGAGAAAAAGTGAGAGAAGAGAAGAGAAGAGAAGAGAAGAGAAGAGAAGAGAAGAGAAGAGAAGAGAAGAGAAGAGAAGAGAAGAGAAGAGAAGAGAAGAAAAGAGAACCGCAGCGAAGCGAAGAGAAGAGAAGAAAAGAGAAGACAGTGGAAGAGAATAGACAACTTACATCGCTCTGGAAGGGTGGCGGGCTGGCCGCTCCTGTGGCCGCCGCTGCCGCGACCGCCGCCGCTGCTCCGCCCTCCTCCTCATCACTGATCTCGTGGTACTCGTGCTGTCCTTTGGCGCCGGCCGTGCGACGGTAGGTGTCCCCGCGGCCGGCCGGTCGCTCCGCCGCCGCCCCCGCCGTCCCCGCCGCGGGCTCCCACACTCCGTCCGCTGCCAGCTCTGGAGGGAGAGAACGCCGACATCAGACACACGGTAGACGGGAGACAGAGTTACGTCAGCCGGGAGCAGCTGTGCGTCAGGAGAGGATAACTGGTGGCGACCTCTGATCTCAGGTCCTTGATATTTGGACCAATGATTCGACTCCCGACCGTAGCAGGGGTTGTGCATCAGTCGAAGTTGTGATTCAAGGATGCAAGGACGTCAGTCGAAGTAAGATAACATAGAAAGGCCTAAAATAGAAGGCCGAGGCCGAGTCTAGAGATGTTTCGCATCTAACTTTTTATCTTTAATACATGTTACTCAACTAAGAGTCCTCACACTCTTTTAATTACCGGCAATTACTTTTCGCGCTCCGTAAGTGATAAGTATCAAGCACTGATAACTATCAGGGTAGAGCTTGGTGCCCATCCGCGGGGTAACTCCTGGTTTGAGTCCAATAGCACATGCATTGGAATCCCGGGCGCACCTTCACTACGACTAGCACAGTTCAAGAATGTGATGCATAATACGCCAACATACTACTTAGTGTTTAGTAGTACATTGGGGTGTCGCCTCAAGTCTACCTAGCGTCTCTGGACCACACCACTACGGGTTACCGCAGAAATTATCAATGCAACTTCAGGGTCCGCAATGAGTCATCTGCAGCATCTGCAATGCGATTAAAAAATCTGATTTACCTCTCCAGCTCAAATCCATACCAGCACCGCAAGTAGTTGTCATTCACGTAGCAACGCCATCAAATTGCCATTAGCATTCAGATGAAACTATCGTTGTGATGACTCGCAAGCAATATAACCAAATGCAGCCCCAGGTGGCTCATTATTCGTGGATTTGGGCGAAAAACCACTGCGCCCGTGTCGGTAGACGGATGTGGGTCCCGGCGGACAGAGAGTTCGCCCATAAATATAACCGAGTCCACCCACAACCGGAGCCGAGTTTGCCCACAAACATCTCCACGGGGTCCACGGAGGCCCGCTCAGAGCCGGACCTGGTAATGTTCGCGACCACGACCAAAGAGAGGGACAAGCAGCGCACGCCGGTAACCCGAGGAGCTGCCGACAAACCCACCTGACGACGACTGGCCATAAAACCCGTGGTCTCACTCATCTTGAAATATAACGCCTAAATTTGCATATTGAGATCAGGTGAGGTAAATGAGTGCAGTAAATGCACCTCATCGCATCATCGATGATCGAACTAAAAACGATCCAGAATGACGGATTATTTGCATGATTAAGCCATGAATTTAAGAGTGTAGAATTATATTTGTTGAGAGGACCAAAGCCCTCTCAACTAGCGCATTGTGTACTGTTATTGGCAGAGTCCAGCCGTCAGAGTTCTAATTCGTGTGACCATTTTCAACACCGTCTCCGCGCCGCCGCTCACCTACCGACAAAGCCAGAGTCGCGGTTGTTGAGCTTGGTCTTGGGACGCGGTACGTCCGTCTGGAAGCCGGCGTTGAAGACTCCCTCGAGCGCCGAGCAGGCGGATCGGCTGACCGGACACCAGCGTCGCCAGCAGGGCGGCCGGCGACGGCGGCGAGTCGACGGGTCCGACATCCTCACACAGAGAGATGTGCCTTAGCAGTCAGTGGCAGAAATCCTCCAATACCAGGACAGACACCAGCGATTGGTTATCAGTGTCCAGTTTCCACTTATCAGACAGTCCTCACTTCTCGCTTATCAAACACCCGATCCTCAATCTGAAGTTCCTGTTCTTGGTTCTCTTCGTCACTGATTTTCTGTTCGCTATTTCAACTGTGAAGTTGCTATCGCTGGCCTTTCACAGAGTTCAGTTCGTCTGACCACGTGGTAAGTCTCCAAACTTTGTAGAACCACCAGCAGCAGACTCTTCTGGATGTCGAGTATCCTGGCCCACACCGGCAGCGAAGGTCGTACACAATAACAGCAGCCAGCGTTGGTAGACTCCGCACCCAGCGCGGTACCACTCACACACCTCTCACAGAGAGCACGTGTCGGTGCGGCCGGGAGCGGTGCGGCCGGCGGCGCCCGTCTGTCTGTCCGGCTCGGCGGCGAGCACGGCGAGCACGGCGGCCACGGCGGCACCTGGCGACCATCCGACCGATACGGGGCGACACGCCGCCCGCCACTGCCGCGATAGCCGCACAAGTCGCGCCCGGCGTGGATACGACGCCGAGTCACACCGGGCTGGAGACTCACAGCCGAGTCACACCGGGCTGGCGACTCACAGCCGAGTCACGCCGGGCTGGCGACTCACAGCGAGTCACACCGGGCTGGGGACTCGGCGACTAGGTGGGACCGGAAAGGTGGAGTCGTGCTGCCGCTCTCCGCCTTTGAGAACCCGGTGCTTCTCAAGATACAAAGGTGTAAAACGGAAGTGGAATGAAAGTGCCTGCTAGAGCTAGAATACAAGACATCAACCGGCTCATGATACTGCAATATTACGTCTAACGACAAGCTTCTTCACCGACGCACATTGCATGCTATTGTTAGAAGAAATCGCCGATAGAGCTCACCCTGTCCTCGCCCTGTAGGTATGATGCGCTAAAAGTCCAGAGCTTCGCATACTCAAAGCTTGGTCCACAGGCAGCGATTCCCACACAGACAGGATTTCATAAGTCGCGCCGCACCGGCGGAAGGGATCACTTAACGTCTTCTATCGCCAACTGGCGAAGTCCCAGTTCTGTTTCCACCAATCAGGGCTCGTTTACTGATTCCATCCTTCCGTCTTTTCTTCATCAATGTCAGACTTCGGAGGTCTTCTGTCGCACGCAACACATGAGCTCCTCCATCCCGGATGGCCTGTCCGTTAGAGGCTCACAGTCCGGTCGGGGAACCACCATCAGCCCAACTGTGGCACCGATCAGCGGCTAATCCCACCAAATGGCCACCAAATGACGCCCGCACCCTGCAAACAGTAGCAGAGCCGGGCGGAGGTTTCTTTTTCCGATACGGTGGACCGATCGATCGATCGGTATCCTGTCCATCGCTCACTGGTTTACATGAGCCGTACCCCTGCCAGTCGACTCGGCCGCGGCCTCGGGAAAACGGCCGCTACAAAACTGCTGCGCCGCCGCAGCCGCAATGATCTGTATAACGGGACCGGAGCGACTCAAAGGGTCATCGGCAGTTAGCAGCTTTGCGTAAAACGTTTGCTGATTTGATTGTCATTACACAACAGAAGCTTGACAACAATTTTAACGCATTGCACATCTTCAACCCGAAAGCGCATAAGGCAACTACTTATGCAGAGAAAGACAAATGAACGATTTCAGTGGATAACGAGAGAATCTTGGATTACACAGGAAAGCGGACGAAGGCAATAAAATAGCACCCACACCATGCAGAATATATCTGATTGAACGAACACTGGGAAAACTGTAGCATAAGCTTATTCTCACCTGGAAAGGCGCTGCAAAAATAGCACATTACGATCGCAATACGACTACTGTTTCTATTGTGTCAGCTGCCTGGCAACAAAGCCAAGCCCCGGAACCTCTAGGCAACACCAGCCCACTTACGTCAGCACGAATAGACGATAAGGAGAGGAGGCCGGGACCGGCGCGATAAATACATGTACACACCATTAGCACGTGCGCGACCCTTGACCAGAAGTGGTACCACCGTATGACCCCTCGCCCCTCCCAGTCCCAGAGGACGCGTACACCTGGCGGGCGTGGCGGGCGGGGTGTCGGCGGTGATCTTCTGGGAGATAATAATAATAATAAATTATTAAGTAAGATAATGAACCATTCGGCCAGTGCCTATCTACGTAGTGCCGGGGGTGGGGGAGGGCCGCGCGGATAGGCGATGAAGGGGACCGATGAGGGACCGATGGGGAAGGATAGGTGAAGGGAAAGGGCTGATAGGGAACAGACGGGGCCTGAGAGTGGCGTCGGATAGAAGAGTGGCATGGACACTGGGCACAGGGGCCAGGGAAAGCGCGCACATGTGCGAGGGAAGGACCCAAAGTCAAAGACGTCGAACGGGCAAAGCCTGAGCGATGGAGCAAGGACCGGGCAGGCCATGGGAAAGGACTGTCGCCGTCTGTGGCGCTCTGCTGTTCCAATGTATGAGCCGCTCGCTCCGGCTATCTGATAAGAAGTACCAGCACCGTCGGCCCGATATAGCGGCGGCCGGCCGACCGACGCTCCATTCACTCAGCACAGGTGGCTCATTCATTCGTGCCGAGGCTAACCACCGTCAGCGGCAGGACAACCGGCAATTTTGGTCGGATGGCAGCGAAAAAATTGTCCGACACGCCGCTCATTTCATCAGTCTAACGGCGAACCTCCACTAAACATTTCGAGCAGCCTAAACAATGGCTTGTCCCCACCCCCGTCCCCGAGTTGTCGCTAGGGTGTAGGGGGCTCAGCGATGGTTCAGCGGCTCCTAGGAACCGATGACAACTACGGGGCGGAGCTGTTCAACCATTTGCGTGGTCGGGATGGTCCCCACGATTGGAAGATGGTGGGAGGAAGCAGAACAACCCACAGCGATTTGAGCCATCAGCTGAAGACCAGCACCAAATTGTCATAAGACATGGCACGGAAAGATATCCAAGACTACAGTATGGGGGAGTGCTACAGCCAGCAGCAGCAGCATGCTAAACATGTGTCACATTGTCGGTATGCTATGAAAAGTGTGCATGTTTGCGCTACTTGAGCTGATACTAACATGTGGCAATGATCAATACGGCGAGCCATTCACGAACTTCGTTTGTGCATTACATTGCAGACAGACTTAAAATCCTAATGGAACAGGTAGGACACGAGGCCCTTATCAAAACGGTAAGGACACGGAGTCTACATTGGAACACTCAGGACACGAAGCTTCAATTGAAACAGACATGACAACCCAGTTAAGTGCACCGTGACAAGTCATTCCATTATAAAAGACCGCAGTCGGAGTTCTGCCGAAATATTTCCCATACCTCAGCAGGCAATGCTGCCTGCTCGCTAATTAATATGACCCAGCGAACCATAAAACACACATCGGGTTCCGTGTTGACACACCGATAGCATGCCCCATACTCGTTACAACATTAAAAGTGAGCTAACGTCTACCATAATTGTGTTCTGATTGCCCGATCTTGTACGCTCTCTGGTGATACACAAGGCAGGACAGATACAGACGATACTGCGGGGAAAAATAGCTCGTTTTTTCACAAATCGACCGAAATGCGCCAAGAATCATCAATTACTGGAAATAACAAGGCGTAACCGATAAGCTATGGTATCCCTCACCAGCTGCACATAGCACGTCCCCATTTGGTCCAGAAACACGCTTACTTCGTTCTATACCCGGCCCCTTCCCCTTACCCGATATCCTCCACCCTTACACATCCTGGTCCCCTGCCCCCTCTCCTATAAGTCTCCATGCCCCTCAATTCGGCAATCCTCCTCACCTGGTTCGGCATCTCTCAGTCAGCCTCCTATCCTCTTTTCTGTCTCCTACCCTTTACCTAGTCTCTCCCTCCTTCACGCAGTTCCCCTACCCTTTCACGCGGTTCCTAGTCTCTCGCCCGGTCCCCCTAACCCTCAGTCGTCCCTCACCCTCCACCTAACTAGTAGGCTAGTCCTGTGCTTCTCTCCCAGTTCCCTCCACCTCACCTAGTCCTGTGCTTCTCTCCCAGTTCCCTACCCTTCACCTAGTCCTATACCGATCTACCCAGTACCTAGTCCCGTACCCTTCACAGTTTGAGGTCCCCTAGTCCCCTGTTATATTGCCAGACCCGCTTTAGCTGTGCCTTATCCCCACCCCTCACCCGGTCCACTCACCCTCGGCCGGTCCTGCGCCGCGCACTGCCGGGTCGGAGGAGCTCGCCGCCAGCAGCGGGGCACGGTCGGACACGTCTGAGCCAGCGCGGGTCAGCAGGGAGGCGCGCAGGTCGTCCTGGGGCTTGTACGGGCTGACCACCTGACGAGGCAGCTGCTGATACTGACGATAGAGACAGAAGGGGTATGGGGGAAGTGAGACACAGGTAGTGGGTGCAATGGGAAGTGAGATATGAAGTCTGTGGAGACATTGGAGAAGTGAGATGCGGACAATGCAGGGACACGAACGAGTGAGAGTTTAGACACAGACCATTTGGAGAATGGGGTATTTAAGATGCTGACAGCAGGACACCTGGAGCTGTCGGCATTCGTGAAAGCTATTTCTTACGAGACATCTAGGGATACAAGTAAAATGCGGTAAGGAAACAACTCCAAAGTAACACCTATGTAGTTACTTACGGCTAACTACCTTCGATACTTCCTATGTTCCTATAAACGTCACATGACAGCGCGCATCAGCACATGCACATAAGTTTCAGCTAAGGTTTTAGAGCTTGTCTGAAGCGGGCTGAATTTCCTGTCGCTGTCTCCAAACCCTGCGATCAGTACAGTATCAGATATCTGCGATACCCGACCATGGTCCCACGGTAAAAGTGCGATCATCCGCCGGCTCGGGCCGTCTATGGCCTATGTTTCCAGTAGCGAGCAGCATATCCGACCATCAATCTGCGCGGCGATCGGGGTGGACCGATCGGTTCGGTCTGATAGGCGAAATGGACCGGGCCGCGATCGGCGTGGAGCTATAGGACAGTGCCGCTGCCCCGGCCGGCCCCAATCCGCCCGATTTGGGCAGCATGCGGCACCGCCGGACATTGCCACACGAACTCTGCTGAGGGCATTGTCCCGTGAAGCACCACGCCTTGGCAGAGGCCGGCTCTCAGGACATATCGCTCCCAAACCGACACCACTGAATAAGTTCAACGTCAACAGTTGTAGGAATCGTTGATAGAGGCGTGGTGTGCAGAAACGTTGCCTTTTCAACCTTTTCACAGAAATGACGCTATATCTGTTTGGTTTCAAGCTCAATAATTGCAATCTCAACGATAAGAGTCAGCCTACACGGTAATTCATTCCCTCCAAGTAACCTTTACCGAAACACAGATCTCCGACTGACACACTATCCTCACTACGACCGCCGGGAAGCCGGACGAGCCCGGCCCTGCCCTCACCTTGTCTCCGAGGAAGCTGACGTCGCCGAAGTGTGTGCCGTCCATGCCGACATGGCCCGTGTGTTTGAGGTCGTCCTGTGGCGCTGAGATCATCTCCGGCTTCAGACGACGTTTGGACGAGTAGGCCGCCTTGGCTTCTGAGGGACGCAGCGGGCGGGGCAGAGAGGGAGGTGAGGTCACACGCAAATTAGGGAGAACGGGAGTAAGGGTGATGGGAAGAAGGAGAGGGAGGGAGAGGGAGAGATAGAAAAAAATATACGCAACATGTATCAACAAGGTTTGCAACATGTATCGCTTGGTCATGTAGGTGGTCTGGAACATCTGGTTTGTAGAGGCCTATGCCTCAATCAACACACGATTCATTAATATCATATTAAAATTGTATTCAGAAACAACATGAAACGAAAAATCAGGCTACAATTTTTTTCTCTAGAGGAAACGATTACCAACCAGACTGTCTGATCAGGACAGCGGCTGCCAGTGTGTCCACGCCTCACCCACCTCCACGGCTGAACGGCTGGCTGGCCTGGCTGCTGGTGCTGGAGGGCAGGTTGCTGCCCAGGTATGCCACGAAGTGGGACGGGTTGAACAGGCCCGTTTTACCGGACGCCGTGACTCCCTTCCACAAGTTGGGGTGGTCGGCCACCGGGCTGCCGAGGGGTAAGGGGACGGTCACGGCACTGCAGCTGCTGTCGATCGGTAATCACAGCGTGGATACAACAATCACTGTCCGGAGCCAGAGCCAGCCACAAGACAGACTGGACACTAAATAATATCCACTTTAAATACTACAATCAGTTTCGTAATGAACGTAGCTACTATAGCCGTATCTGACTGCATAAGCATATCAGCATCTACATTTCGATCTATGTAGAAGACATACTTCTAACAGCAGAGCCTACTCCAGTTATTGACTACCGAGACAACGGACTGACAGTTGGCGACAAATTCGGGCAACATATCTGAGCCTGTTTTCATGATTCCTTCTCCATCCGTCCACCCAGCCCGTCACATACGTACCGTTTGTCCAGCACGGTGACGACGTCTCCGACCTCGTACTGGAGCCGGTCGCGTTTGGTGGGTGATGTGGGCTCACTGCCGGCCGACTGTACCGCCTGCACCTGTTCCGGCTTACACTGGGGGCGGACACATAGGTGCGTCAGTTACACAGGACAGAAGGGCGATGGCCGATTGGCAGGGTGACGGATTAACATGGATAATGGACATATGGTGGAAGTAAACTGTGGTCAAAATCAATTCCCACGTCACTATATAGAATGTCGGAGTGCATACCATCAGTTCAACAACTAAGCAAACGTCAGCGCAAATACCTACAACACCAACTGAGCAAGCTCTCTACAACAACTGTAGAGAGCAGAATCCACTGCAAACGGGCTCTAGCCACATCACCCCAGGCTTACTGCCACCCCTCCCCTCCCCGTGGTGGCCGGTAGGGGAGAGTGGGGCACATTCGTGCAAAAAAAAAAATGGATAAATCCATATATCTGTTCTTTGGTTGGTGCAATTAGAAAATTGTTGATTGTAGTATGGAAAGGAACTATTGCAGACATTTTTCCTCTTTAAAAATCATCTTTTAAAATTATCGCTTCTATTAGAAAAAAATGACTTTTAATAACTCTGAACGTTTGCACGAAACTGCCCAAAGTATGGGGCACTTTCGTGCAAGGGGTGGGGCACTTCCGTGCACCCTGCAAAGTTCGAGGAATTACCGGGCATTACCAGAAATTTACCAAAAGAAATTGACAGGGGGTCATTTCACTTGATTCCTTTCGACAAGAATGCATTGCACAACAAATTTAGAAAGAATGAGCTGGCCAACAAGAATGTGCCAACTGCCGGCCATCAGCCCGCCTCCGTGACCACGCCAAGGTCGCGTGAATTACTTGTCACGACGTCGCAAGCAGCCGAGACTGAGTCAGGCGAGCGTCATTAGTGAAACCTACTACAGATACAGTCATAAAACGCAAAAACGAAAAAAAAATATGCACGAATCTGCCCCTAGGCAGTGCGTGCACGAACCTGCCCCACAACGATTTTGTAGTATATTTCAAAAATTTTGTTGAAAATTGACACTTTTTCAACAAACAAGGTTGCAGCAGTTCCGTGAATAGAGTGAGCTTCTTTGCCGCCAATTTTGAAAAGCTGAACCACATTTCCGAGTCAGGAACACGAAAATGGATGCTATGAGAAAAGTTTGGAAAGCGCACGAATATTAGAATTTTGCGTTTTTATCAAGCATGACAGCAGGAACAGTTGAGTGTTGTCTTCTAAACAGTACACGAGGCCGGCGGCAATGATTTTTCATAATTTACCTTGAGCTTCGTGCAGTCACTCGTATTCCCATAAACCGCTGAAAACGAATGTGCGCATGTACGAAAGTGCCCCACTCTCCCCTACCTCTGGAGATTGCACTGTTCCCTATAAAATCACACACATATTCCCGCTAGCGGAACTCCCCGACAGCCCCACGCTCACCTCCGGTAGCAGCTGCGCCAGCTCGTGGAAGTTGGGCCGCTTGTTGGGGTCGTGCTGCCAACACTTGAGCATCAGGTTGTAGCAGTCCTTGGGACAGGTATCCGGCTGCTCCAGGCGCTGTCAGGGGTGGCAGGTAGGTCGGTTACAGCTAGACCACTGCGTCGGACGAGACACACATACGGAGAAGCACACAAGTACATACGGTTCGTCGCCAATCCGCCAAAGCCGGACAAATTACAGTATCAGTTAGTCAGGACCAGCAGCCGCTGGGATAAGGAAAGAATGGTGAGCGCTGACATGAATAAGAGCTAACGGACATATCGACTTAGATGCAATTGCGCTGCTATGAGGGGGGGGGGGCGGAGAGTGAGAGAACACTCGGGTAAAATCATCTTAGAAGAAGACAACTCGGGGAACGATGGAAAAATAGCAGGCAATGCTCGTAACAACGCTGATGGCACGGTAAGCACTGAACAGAGCTGGGAGGACAAAAATCTAGTGAGCAAACGTTCGACCGGCATTCAGGTTTAATATGTGAGGCCTATGTAGGGCAAAACCGTTCGGTCAGTCAAAAAGACGCCGGTGCGCGCGCACCTGGAAGTTGGGCTCGTCGATGGCCTCGAGGATCTGCTGTCCGGTGAGCGCCGCCCACGGCTGGAAGCCGTAGCTGAACATCTCCCACAGCGTCACGCCGTAGGCCCAGACGTCGCTGGACGACGTGAAGCGCAGGTAGTTGATGCACTCTGGCGCACACCTGGTGACGGGCAGAACGAGGTCAGTATATTTGTCTGCATTTTGTTTTGACAACGTTCCAATACTGCATTTGATAACGATAGATAAAAATGACAAGGGGTAGACCTAATTAGCAAAAAAGAGCATATGCGTCCTCCACGAGCAAGGATATGACACATACTAGCTGATGGCTGTCATGACAAGCCAAACAATGCGATCCAGCCGCCATTCAGTTTCAGTGTTACGTAGTTAACTGTTGCCGGAAAAGTGCTTACCAGGCGATGGGTAGCTTCAGGTTGACGTTGAAATTGGTTTGATAATAATCCTTTCCGACTCCCAGCATCCGTGACAGGCCGAAGTCGGAAATTTTGATAGTGTTCTTTGAGAAAACGAGGATATTTCGCGCCGCCAGATCTCTGAAAACAGCGTAGAAGTTGAGTGAATTAGATGAGGGTGTAGGTAAAAGCGCCGGACCGTTCCCGGTAGTATGTGGTTCCCACAAAGCAGCCGGGCAGAACACAGATTTTGACATCTCGTATTATGACACATCTTTGAAATTACTTATTTCAAATTGGCATGCCCAGACTACAGATATGAAAACAGCGATCACTTCTGCAGCCGACGCATGCCAAGTCTCAAATCTTACTCTTGCACCGGCGGAAGTGTCAAGTATCCCTCCTTCATTCACCCCAATTGCCGGCTCCCCATCCCCACCTGTGAATAAGCCGTTTCGACTCTAGGTACTGCATGCCGTCACAGATCTGGATGGCGAACCCGCAGAGCGTCAACACCGGGAAGCTGGCCCGCAGGTTCGGCTCCTTCAGACACTCGAGCAGCGAGCGTAGAGGAGCCAGCTCAGTCACCTGGAATGGGGCGGGACAAATAATAGGTCAGGGAACAGGTCAGGTAGCGCGGATGTCACAGTCAAAGAGTAGAGCAATGCGATAGCCGGTCGTAACGCGTCCTGGTTTCTTTCGTTCCAGTTACGTATTCCTGATCCCAATTCCTGATTCTCATCTGCAAAGGAGAACCAATTGAAAATCGGCATTGCGCCGGAGCCCACTACTTATGACTGTCGGCGTGCAATGCGTCAATCGTGTTCTATCTAGCCGTCGGACTGAAAAAGTCACCTACTGCCTTGTCAGATACCTAGCCATCCCATGCTCGTTCAGAGCCATCAGAGGTATGACCGGCCGGGCAGTCGACACACACAGCCACTCGCTCGCCGTACGTATCAGCTCACCAGCATCAGGGCGTTGGTGTCGAGCACCACACCGTACAGGCGCACGATGTGCTCGTGCTCGATGTTGTGCATGATGGTCGCCTCCTTGAGGAACTCGGTGGGGTTGGACTGCATCCGCTGCTTGCTCAGACACTTGATGGCCACCTGGATCTGTGTGAGGTGACGGCGGAACGGTCAGCGGAAGAAGGGATGGTTCGGCGTCGGGCAGCCCGAGCTAGCGATACAAAGTCCGAACAGCTGCCGCTGTCAGGCCCTGCCAGTCAACAAGGCGCAATGTCGACCAAACGACCATGACATATTGACTCACGCATAAAATATGGGTGCAGGCTAGTGTTACTCCAGTCCACAGCTAAAGCAAACACCATTCCACTCTCCGGTCTCCAGACAAGACGGTGAAAATCCATTCACTACGGACATAAAACTTATTAAAAAAATGCAGCACATACCCAGACGAGCTAGCCAAATCATTTTTATCAATAGTAGATGAACCATCATAGACGCACGCATCGTTCCAGAAAAAAGTGTTGGCTTCGGCCGCGAAGACACTTATGAATCATCGTCATGGCCATTGGCCACGCACACCGACACAAGCTAAGCGCCTAGGCGTTTTGAACGCTCACCCTGTGCCCCTCCTCGTTGGTCCAAACGCCCTGCTGCACCACGCCGAACTCCCCGGTGCCGAGCTCCTTGTTAACGACTATGGCGTCGGCCGGTATGATGTGTTTGGGCATTTTGATGGCGTGCCGCTGGCGGGAGGGCGAGTCGTCGGGCACGAGCGCCGGCTCTGGCAGCTCGTCGTCCCGCCGGCCTAGCAGCTTCTGCCGGGGTGACAGAGCGGATTATATCATCGCAAACAATATCAAAATATATTATACTCAGTGACAGTAAGTCAATCTGTATATGAATGACAACATATGAGCTTCATTGACATTGAAGAAATGTGAGTTCAGAATACTTTGGCACTTTATTAAAGACAATTTTTAGTTTTTACAGTTGGAGCCTCTATTTTTTCGTCGTCACGTAATCCACTCCCCTTACAAACATAGAAATCAACTGAATGTGAATAGCCACAGGCTCTCTGATGCAGTTATTGCTTACCCTTTTCATTTTGGACAGATAGTTTTGAGGGCAGTACTTGCTGAAGAACTTCTTCAGCCGTCGAATTTCGGGCTTCGACAGGCCCATGGTGACAAGATCCTCATCTGTCACCCATTTGATTTGTGGGACGTTCTGCACCTGTGAATCAAAATAAGGCCATTGGTAATCAGTGAACAAATGCTGGAAAATGTTGATCACCTAATTACCTACTATAGGTAACAACTCACACAGAAGACAAAAGACAAAGAAGTGGAAGGATTTGGGGAATCGGCGATAATGAGAAACAAATATGCATCAGTAGGTAGTTATGATGCCATATGAATGAGTGTTCTGAGAAAAGTGATGTTGGTATTCAGTGGTTCAGTGAATAGGAATACAAACATATTAGTCATTCAAACATGGCATGTAATATCATTGTCTCTTCAAATTGCCTGGACTGTTTGGTTAGTGCTGACTGCACTTGACTGCACTGACAACAGGGCACTAATTACCTGACAAAACACATTAGACAGCTAGACTTCACATTGCCAAGGTCAATGAGTGTGTGACCTACATGCTCTTTTGTCTTGAATACATTCTGATAACCAGAAGATAGGAATATAGGAAGGGTAAAATGCACATAACTATGATTTACCAGAAGTTGTACCTTTCTAAGCTGCCAGCTGACTGCACACATCTCAGCAACCCTGAGGTCTCACCTTCAGATCATTCTTGAAGTGGTTGTAGTACTGCTGGAGCTCAGCTTCAGTGAGGAACTCGTACAGGCCCGGGCCACGGAACGACATGGTGCCAAGATTCTAGTGGGTTCAGTGGGCAGCTCCCAGATCCAAAGGAAGCAGAGTAGCTGTGACACACTCAGCTCTCAATCAGCAGTGATGCCAATCAGTGAGGGCTGCCAGCTTCATGGCCAAGCTGTGGAGATATGTTGCACAATTATGGGAGCGCAACCATCCACCTGAGTGAAATCACACAAAATCATTTAGTATCTAGCTTTTAAGTGATGAATTGTAAAATGCCATTGCTCATTATTACAGAGAAAATATCTTACCTACTTGTCAAGGATTGAGCTATGACCAGGCAAGGCAACTTTAGAGTTAAAAACCAGTAAATAAGCAGTAAGCACCTATTTCAACCAGCATCTTTTCTTATTGCTCTGTACTAAAAAAGAAAAAAATATGTCATGATTGTCAAGCTATAATTTGACATGATTTGATTTTTATTTTTTGCAACAAGTATCAATTAGCTTAAATTGATACTGCGCTGTTCGGGGGCACTGCAAACTGCTCTGAGTGTTGTGTGTGCAGTTTTAACAGCAGGCATGGGGGTAGGGGATGGGCAGTCCTGTGACTTGAACACAGCCAGCCAACGCTGTGGCCGGCCCCAAACGACTGCAGCGGTCCGCGGTCGCTATGTACAGTGGCAGAAGGATGACATAGGGACGCAGTGAGCAGAGCCTGGAGCCTGTGTATGGTTGTACCACATACAAGGCCCATGAACAGCCCTCTGATTTTATTGTTTCTATTTCTGCAAGGGGGGTTGAAACTTGAAAGTCTTTGACGAAACACGTCCACCCGCCAGACTGCAAAGTATGGCAATTTTGACGAGATCTCGTCGGTGCGGGCTTGGTTGGCTGGTGCGGATTTTGGAGTGGTGCGGTGCGGATTTTACCTGGTGCAGTGCGGATTTGGCTTGGACCTTGGTGCGGTGCGGACTTCGCTTGGTCTTCTTACCCGGTCGGGTTCCCTTATTGACTGTTCTTTGGAAAGCCCTACAAATGCGTGACAGCCACGGTGACGCACCGTGACGGAGAAATGTTTTAATTTTACTCTACGAACTTACGATTGCGGCAGAACAAATCCATTCTCGCCTCGGAAATTATCGTGATGACGACGTCATTAGAAAGAAGACTGGTTGCGGTGGTGACTGGTGTGTCACATTTGCGAGCAGCTGGTTAGAATTGCCAATCAGCACGCTACTTTGGAATGACGTCATTAGTTTTACTCATACGAAAGTTTGTTGGGGCGATTTGATCAAGGGTCGTCAAATTCACACGTGACATTTAGCAAGTAGAAGGCCCACAGAGAGGGGAGGCGTTCCGAATGTCACGTGACCCAATATGCCCTCTGGCGCCCTGTGTTCACCGGCGTCCGTCTATTTGCTCTATTTCAAACTTCCGGTACAAGTGCGCTGCGCGGTCAGCTCGTGAAACTGAAATTGGAGGGGAAATAATTATAGTGAGATGAATGAAGTCCCTTGCATTATAATTGCCTGTGGGTTCGGTGCGGATATTTTGGGCTCTCGGCTCGCTTTGGTGCGGATTTTCTGGCTCAGTTTGAAGGGTTGGTGCGGATTTTGAACTTGGGCCAGTGCGCCTCGTCGACCTGTGTGCCATACTTTGCAGTCTGGTCCACCCGCATGTTGTTGAACTATCCGTCTTACAATATATACTTGCCTACTGATACCTACTCATTTATGAAAAAAGTTAAGCAAAAATTACCTCCTCACATCAACAAAGTGCATCTCTTTTCACAATTCCAGTTTAAAATCCAAATATTTTGCTCATGTTTTCAGTCTCCCTTCTTTCTCCTCCCATTTCTCAACAATCAACAGCGCTAGCCAGAAAATTACTTTGGCAGCCTTGAGAATACAAGTTGAAGACTTTTTTAAAATAGGTCTCTGTATTCTAGAGGTAAGCATTGCAAATATGATTGCAAAAAGCTGTATCTCTTTTGAAGATTTGTTTTGTTCAGTCATTTGACATTGCACAATTATTTAGAACCATGTTTTTTCATAATTGGGGCGCTCAATAAAAATAAATTGATGGAAAAATGTTGAGGCACTTGCGTATTTTCCACGGACGTATAAATAAACTGGACCCGCAACCACCTCCATTCAGGTGAAGCCGACAAGGCGCCATTTTACGTTGCCAAAAACTCGTGCTCTGAAAGGTCATCGAGCCAATACAATTGGAATTGCGTCAAAACGGATGATCGGATCGAGATGCTGGTGGTACCGTTCGACGGGTAATGCTTTCAGGCAGGTGATGACGCATATCACAGGTCATTCGGTGTCACGTGGCGCGTGCCACGTGCCGACAAAGTCAGGAAGGGCAAAAACCTTTAACATATGGTATGCTCGGCAGCAGGGGGTGCGGAATGCACGCGCTAGGGGCGAAAAACATGCTTTGAGGAGGCATCCTCCGATTCCGGAAAACCTTGACCTAGGCACACCAAATTTGGCACACTGACACTACTGGACACGCGCTTTAAGGTGGTGTACAAATAGGCGTGCTGGGGTACACGGTGCACGTGCTGTGCACGTGCAAACCTTTTGATGTTGCACTTTGTGTCACATATGCGGGCGCGCGGGTAGCGCTGGCAAGCTCAAAGTGCCAAATTTACATAGGCCATCCAGAATGCATTCCAGCATAGTTATTGAGCATATCCATCTCCTGGTGGACCCCGAAGGTGCGCTCTGCACGTGCAAAAATTGTCCGCGCCGGGCGGTGGGGATGCTTGGACACCCCATGTGGATTTATATAAATATCTCGAAAATAGCGTTGTGCAGCGCCGCCGTTTTTGGCACACCTTTAAATACATCTTTTTCACACATGCTGCGTAACTTTCAGACTTGGGTCACTCAAGGTTACGTCATCAGGTTACGTCCAAGTGACCTTACCTTAGAAAAAGTTAAAGTGCCCGTCATAGCACACAGACTGAACAATCGGTCTAAAACGTTGGCAGCGATTACTAAGAGCTGTTAAGAGCACCATATATACGTAAAGTACCTCTAGCTCGGAATTTCACTGTCACTGACCTAGGGTTCTGTTGATTTTGCGACCTTTCTTTTAGGTATAGGTAAGTCAATGGGAGACAGTTAAACTGCGCTTCTGTCGCACGAAACTCATATAAACATACTAAGCAATGCACTCAAATAACGGGACACGGGTAGCACGGAAACGTGACAAATTTAATCGGGAAATTGTACCTGTGACTTCTACTTATGTCCTGGGGTTATTTCAGGTCATGATCGCCCTCCACAACATTTTGACAGTAACCTTTGGTAGAGACATGCAAGAGCGCTGAAAACACTTTCGATATGTTTAGTTCAACTTCGTAAATTGAGGTTGTTGCGAGTTCTACGGATCATTTATCGGGAATGTCATGTTTGTTTTGATCACAATTCACAGCTGATGTTTTCATGCATTTAGGCCAGGTCGGGTCAGGTCAGGTCAGGTCAACCAGTAGGTGTCCTGCCGCTTATCCATAGTGGGTGTCAACCACCACTGATGGCGTCGTAACATGTTACGAACAATACGAAGGCACTAAAACTATAACTTCTTAAATGTTAAACTGAATGCTTAATTCGACATCAGCTCCAAAAATTGTCCTAGAAACATGTAATTTGTAAAACTCGAAAAGGTGAGCCAAGGTCATTAAAGGTCAGTGACCTTGACCTAATTTTCACGTGACTTTGACACCCACCATATTGCATGTGACCAACATTATATCACATGTTTGAACGCTTGAAACCACGAAAAGACAGCAAACGCGTTGGCTAGTGCGCGCCGACATACGCCGAATTGCGATTCCGGCCAAACATGGTCTCGTAATAATAAATTAATGATGCTGATTTACCGCTACTCAGTCAAGTTCGAACCATTTCTTGGCCGCGGTCACCGTCCAGGCCACCACATACCTAATCGTATTACACCGCGCTTGCTCAATGCTCAGTTCGTATTGTAAAAGCACTGCGGCACAGCATAGATGCAGGCGCTCTGCTACTGACATCAATGGGTGAAAGATGAAGATAATGGTTATTGCGGTACAGTATCACTACAGGCGCAAACAACGTGGAAACAAAGATGCCTATGCTGCGCTACCGGGTGATGGTAGCGTAAATTTGCGTTGCTGTAGGTAGCTAAAAGTTTTGGAGCCCGAATTAACGTAAACTGATGACCTAACCTTGAGTGATCTAAGACTGAAAGTTACGCAGCATGTGTGAAAAAGACGTATGAAAAGGTGTGCCAAACACGGCGGCGCTGCACAACGCCGTTTTCGAGATATTTACAGATCCACATGGGGTGTCCAAGTATCCCCACCGCCCGGCGCGGACAATTTTTGCACGTGCAGAGCGCACCTTCGGGGTCCACCAGGAGATGGATATGCTCAATAACTATGCTGGAATGCATTCTGGATGGCCTATGTAAATTTGGCACTTTGAGCTTGCCAGCGCTACCCGCGCGCCCGCATATGTGACACAAAGTGCAACATCAAAAGGTTTGCACGTGCACAGCACGTGCACCGTGTACCCCAGCACGCCTATTTGTACACCACCTTAAAGCGCGTGTCCAGTAGTGTCAGTGTGCCAAATTTGGTGTGCCTAGGTCAAGGTTTTCCGGAATCGGAGGATGCCTCCTCAAAACATGTTTTTCGCCCCTAGCGCGTGCATTCCGCACCCCCTGCTGCCGAGCATACCATATGTTAATGGTCGAACACCGGGACATGTGACATGTGAATTTGGCACCTGTGCCGCCCACCGTTTAATTTGGAGCGTCGCTTAAAGGGACCCTCCCACCTTCAAAAAAGTTTATGAATTGGCATGAAAGTGATGTCGCTCGGTTCAGAAAGAGCTAAAACGAATATCTACCAAATTTCACCGAAAAATATTCACCGGTTTTCAAGATATTAGACTTTTACTTTTGTTTACTTTTTTGGGATCTCCGCTGTTTCTAGCGACTTTATTTTAGAAGTGCGGCGTTTGCGGCAGATGTTGCGCGCAAATAGCATATACCACCGCGTGCTACAAAACGTTTTAGTCAAACATTTAAAAATCGTTAGATATTTGCGCTGACGTCACACATTCAGAGGGGTATTCCTAAGCATTAGCCCCTCTGAATCAAAATGCTGCAATTTTGAAATTCAATATTTCCGATTTAAGGCATTTCTCGATGTTGTGAGTGCCGAAACCGGTAATTGTGAGCCAGGGACCCCATTTTGGCTATCTCAACTCAAATCTAATGTTAAGGTGGGAGGGTCCCTTTAAAGGTTTTTGCCCTTCCTGACTTTGTCGGCACGTGGCACGCGCCACGTGACACCGAATGACCTGTGACATGCGTCATCACCTGCCTGAAAGCATTACCCGTCGAACGGTACCACCAGCATCTCGATCCGATCATCCGTTTAGACGCAATTCCAATTGTATTGGCTCGATGACCTTTCAGAGCACGGGTTTTTGGCAACGTAAAATGGCGCCTTGTCGGCTTCACTATCTTCCATAGGAGGTCCATTGGGATCGTCAGTCCAGTTTATTTATACGTCCGTGGTATTTTCGGTTGCAATTTGTAAATACGCGAGGCACTTTGAAGTTTTCTAGAGAAATTTAAAAGATTTCTCACATTCAACATTTTTGTCGCTAGCTGAAGCGTTATATCGACTATAAATAAATTTACACTGATCCAGCAGCCGGCAAATGTGGCGAAGAGAGGCGTATGTGCCGCTTTCTTTGTAGAACGCAACCACTAAATATGAGCATAATAGCTAATGAGCATGCGAGTGTTTGTATATTATTATCCCGGGTCGGGCGATCCGGACACTGCGACTGTAACTGCGTAACAGTTGTATCTGACTTTGGTTTCTCCTCATTTGCAGGTTCATGAGTGCTAATTGAGCTGGGCGGCTATTTGTTTGTTTCTTTGTTGCGCATTGAGCGACTGGAAGGAGTGACTGTGGAGACAGCACACTGTTGTCACTCAAGGTACCTGGAAAGAGTACGTTTCTATTTTTTCTCTAGTCATTTCCGTTGTATCGTTCGTCGCGATTTTGGCTTCACCATGTGTTAATAATTTTTCGCGCTATCATTCTGTTACAAAGTACAAGCGTACTGGTTTCGATTATTTTATCATGCGTTTACCAAAGTTTCGACTGAACGTTCGCCACATTTTCATGTGTCACATTTAACGCGAAGTGTGTATGTGAGTGTGAATGTGTGCGCTTTATTGCTGAGAGAGCATTATTTTAACCCATTTTCTCATGTGTGTGATTGACAGGTTTTTACGGTGACTGTGGTGTTACCAACCCAAGGTTCTCTGTCATTACCCCACATTACTGGATCCCAATACATGTGCCCTATCCCAATGCATCCAGTAGTTTGAGTTTGATTGACGGTGGTGGCGGAGGCCGCATCAGCGACCCCTCTTCCCCCGTGGCGGAGCCCCTAGTTAGAGTATATAGAAAAGCCGGTTTATATAGCCTTGGAACAGCCCTAGGAGTAGGACCAAGGCCATCTACAGACTCCAAGGCCCAATCTATAGACTCCAATACTCTAAGGCCATGCAAGGCCTAGGACTGCTCCTCAGGTGCTGGTTCACGTGCGGAGGGGGTCCCCGTTTAGAGCGGCTGGGTGCTCTGTTGGTCGTCGCTTGTCACCACGGGCAGGTCGTCACCACGGGCAGGCAGGTCTCTGTTGGTTGGCATTATGCATGCTGGTGGAAGTTTGTGCTGAGCTAGGGGTGCCCGAGCTGGAGCTCCCAATTGAATTCCACGCCGGCTTGGCTTCGGAGCCGCAACAGACGGCGGGGGTCAAGGACACAGCACAGCTAGGGCGGCGGCGGATTTGTTGTGCCCGGGCACCCCCAGCTCCGCACAAAGTCCCACCTATGTAATAAAGGGCCGTAAGGGTGGTCTCTGCCAAGGCGGCGCATCATGATGGCGGTCGGCGGAACTTTATTAGACCGAAGGGGCTTCACCCATCGGAACGAAAATGAGAACACTAATTGTAAGAAATTGCTTTGGAAATGTCAGTCCTTTATTCTTTGATTGAATAGGTACCACAAAAACAATCACTGTCGCAATTTCCACAACGTCGAACCAGGGAGTGCGGCAGCGATGTTCGAATTCGAATAGACCAGTAACGTGCACTACAGCATCAGTTTGGCGGTGATGACCCATTCACAAGTAAGAGAATGCAGGTAGTAGGTAGTAGGTACAGTCCACAGCAGAAGTAATGTGTGGTTTCAGTCATGGGTATGTTCCAGGTATGTTCTGCTTCTGAAGCCTAGGAACGATTAGCCACACTGCAACGAGACTTTAAATGTAGCTTACATGTATCTTCACCCTTGCAGCTTCAACTTTATCTATTGACGTCTTCTTTTCAATCAGTCCGCATTTAAAAATCGTCGGTCAAAGCCATCCGTTGAGATTGGTAAAACCACACATTACTTTAGCGGTGGTGTGGTGTGGTGCCCTCGGTGCCGGCGAAGTCTTCAGATGTCGTAGTCGGAGAGGGAGAGGTTTTGGAGAGTCAAACGGGATTCGCCACTGTCATCCCTCGTACTGGGTAGGTGTCCCAGCCGGCTGGACCGTGTCCCCCCCGTGCACTCTCCTCCACCCCTATGATCGATACCCTCCTCAAGGTGGACGCTGACCCGTCCAGTGGTGCCCGTAGGGCTAAACCGTGCCGTAGGAGGTATAGACGTATATTTAAACGAGTGAGGCTCATGTCGATCAAAGAGACCAGTTAAACAACGGAACTGAACAGCTTGGCTTTACATTGTTGAGCCACGGAGAACATTGGTAGTAACGGCGTGTCAGGCAGAGAGTTACATATAATGCAGGACGCAAACAACGATAGAGTCGGTACCGCGAGGTGGTGCAGGTTTATGTCTGACTAGAGAGGGTGAAGTTAATTACATTATGATAATAACAGAGAACAGCAACAGAAGTTAAGCACTGCTGAAACGGTGAAAGTAAAAGTGACATCTGTGTGTGTAGCGGCGCAAGTAGAGCTTCGCGGTCTGCCGCCAGGGGCAGACTGAGCGAGCGAGGTGGCGTAGCTGGAGGCGTCGACGGCACCGTGGAGCTGGATGGCGGAGCCGTTAGCGGCTTCCAGTCGTGGTGCGTCGCGTTGGGCGGTCACTTGGTCGTCCGGCGTCAGAACACCCGGTGGCAGGACGCTAACCTGGGCGCCGGTGTCGACCAGAAACCTCCAGTTCTTTACCGCGTCGGTAACGTAGAACAGAGGCGCCAGTGGTGGGCCGCCCGTCTTTGCTGGCGCTAGGGCAGACAGGCGAGCTAGTTTCCCTGCCACGAGCAGGGCTGGCGGCACTGGTGGGCGTCAGCGCCGAACCGCTCGTGATACCAGCACAGCCCGTCCGTTGCCGGCGGCTGCCGAGTGTCGGCGCGGGCCGTGCCCGTGCCGGGCGTCGCTGGCCGGCGTGCCCGGCGGGACCTGCTGCGTCGCCGCACGTCTGCGCGGCGGCTCTTGTACGATGCCTCCATCCGCGCGACGGTCGGGGTGAGAGCGGCCACGGCAGCGGAGAGATCCGTCCCTGCCGACTGCTTACAGTTACAGGGGTGGCTGGCCGGCGGGGCGACAGCGGCGGCCACTACGGCACCTTGCGACGCCTCCTGGAATCGGTCTGCGGCGCTGGCGAGGTCGTCGATTCCGGTCGATTCTGGCAGGAGGGCCAGGGCAGCGCGCGTGGTCTGCGGCAGGCGCTGGAGGAAGAGCGTCCGCAGGAGGCCGGTGTCATCTCTTGAATTACCCAGCATGTGCTGCATGTTACGCAGCAGCTGGGTGGGCTTCTGGTCGCCTAACTTCTGGTCCCGGAGCAGGGTCTCTAGGCGAGACGCGCGAGACTGCGCCAGCCGAAACCGCAGCGCCGTCACCAGGTCCGTGAAGGACGGCGGCGTGGCCGTCACTACGTCACGTACCTGGGAGGCTACGTGCACCGGTAGGTTCGCTACCAGCAGCTTGAATTTGGTCGCATTGTCGGTGATGTTGGCGACGTCGAATGCGCAGTCTACCTGCACCAGCCAGAGTTCCGCTTCCTCCGGCGAGAAGGCGGGCAGGCGAAACGTTGCGGACGGACGCGAGTCTGCAGTGTCGGGCATGGTGGCGGAGGTGAACGCTCGTCGCGCACTCACTGTGCAGCCACTGGGGCGCCCGCTGCGCAATCACAGAGCGCTCGCTGCGCTGTCACTGGAGTGCACTCGCTGTGCAACCACTGAGGCGCCCGCTGAGCGCAATCGCAAAGCGCTGTCACTGTAGCGCACTCGCTGACTCGCTGTGCGGTCACTGGTGCGCTCTCGGCGCAATCACTGGCGGGTCTCGCGGGCCCGAGTGCCACACACACAGTCCGCCGGGCAATTACGAGCCCATTCTTGCCGAGGCGATGGGAGGCCAGGTTCGGGAGAACCTATTCTTGCCGGGGCGGAGCTGCCAGAATCTTGTAGAATCTCGTCGGGGTCAGATGTCGCTTTCGTGGTATCCTCAGTATCGGCGAAGTCTTCCGGTATCGTAGTCGGTGAGGGAGAGGTTTTGGGGTGTCTAACGGGATTCGCCACTGTCGTCCCTCGTACTGGGTAGGTGTCCCAGCCGGCAGGACCGTGTCCCCCGTGCACACTCCTCCACCCCTATGAGCGATACCCTCCTCAAGATGGACGCTGGCCCGTCCTGTGGTGCCCGTATGGCTACCGTGCCGTAGGAGGTATAGGCGTAAATTTAAACGAGTGAGGCTCGTGTCGATCAAAGAGACCAGATAAACAACGGATCTGAACAGCTTGGCTTTACATTGTTGAGCCACGGAGAGCATTGGTAGTAACGGCGTGTCAGGCAGAGAGTTACATATAATGCAGGACGCAAACAACGATAGAGTCGGTACCGCGAGGTGGTGCAGGTTTATGTCTGACTAGAGAGGGTGAAGTTAATTACATTATGATAATAACAGAGAACAGCAACAGAAGTTAAGCACTGCTGAAACGGTGAAAGTTAAAGTGACATCTGTGTGTAGCGGCGCAAGTAGAGCTTCGCGGTCTGCCGCCAGGGGCAGACTGAGCGAGCGAGGTGGCGCAGCTGTCGCTACAGTGGGCTGTATATACATACAACCACATAGGACGCCTGGACCCCAAGAGGCAGTGCGCCTAACCCAAGACAATGACAACTGAGGATATGAAGTCGAGCAATGACAGATGAGCTGACAAATGAGTTTATTGTTCATGCCCCGAATACAACTAAGCAAAACGTGCCTGGACGGGCACGCCCAATGTCCATCTACCCGACAAAGCAGAACTAAGCATGATTTGCGGGCGAAATATCACAGCGATAATTCATCCGGCGTGCATATTGTGACAAGAGAGATCAGCTGTGAAAGGAGGAAGCATTATGCAGTAAAATGAAAAAGGAAAAGCTTAGCTTAGAAAAGACAGATTTAGCGAAGCAAGTCCAACGTAAATACTTAGCGAGCTAGTAAAAGCATTCAAGACACTTTTCCAGTTGACAAAGATAAAATACACCCTGTAAAATATGTTCTAAGTTCTGGAACCGGGTATGGTTCATAGGGTCTCTGCAATCTCGCGTGGCAACAGTGGTCAATACACAGTTGGATCAAAATATGAGATTGCACATTTCAGCAATAGCTTCAGATTCCCTGGTAGCTCATTATGTTGGCCACGCGTTACGACGTCACATCGGTTCGCAAACCGCGGCCTCGGTGCGCTCTGACGTCACCCAGTCGGAACCGCGGCGTCTGGTCAGACAATGCCCCGCGACCCCTGATTAGACAGAGTGGTCACACGTCAGAAGGGACATCACAGCCCCTCCCCCACCCACCCCGCGACGGTCAGTCAGCCCGCCCCCGCGGTAGCAGACCGCGCCGTTCACCCTCAGCACCCACCCACCCCGCCGACGGCGTCACGTTGTTAGTCATTGGAGGAGCACAGCCGCGTGGCGCGCGCCGGACGTATCACAGACCAGCTGGAGCGGCCGCCCATCCGGACCCGCCCTCCGGGTTGGACCGCCCGCAGAGAGACACACACAATACACACGGACAGGGTCGGGCCTCGGGGACACACAGCAGAGCGGTCACTACTACAGACCGCCACCACTAACACGCGAATAGCAGCCGCCCCACCGCGCACTACCACACTGGATCCCGCCATGGACAGATCGACTGCAAATGACTACACTTCATTTCATTTCACATTACTTCACCCAACTCCTCTCCACCGCATATCCACACTGTCTTCACTGACTGCACTTCACCACTGCAGTGTATCCTCCACCCCACTGTACTTCATTATATTCCACTGCAAAGCACTGTTCTCCCCTGCACCACAGCAACCCCATCGACTCGTCCCGCCCCTCCCCACCGGTCGGCGCAGCCTAGTTGTGCGGCGCCCGGTGTCCGCTCATATACTCGGCCCACCGGTCAGCTGTGGTGCTAAACTGCGTGACATTCGGCTCCATCGTGGCTAGAACCAGCAGCTGATTCACGTGCGTCACGTGGTAGTCCCACCGCGCCAGATTGGGCGCCACGTGACACGTGACGTGCCGCAGGTCGTATAACGTACCGGAGCCGGTGTCGTAAAGCGGCAGCAGCGCGCGAAGAGAGCTCACGCCAGCGGTGTACAGTCGGCCGGCCTCCGCCCCGCCGCCGGCTGGATCAGGGTCCGTGCGCCACAGGTCGTACAGGCCCATCAGCGAGTAGATGAAGCCGTTCAGCACCATCGAGGCCGGCACCGTCGGGTACTCTTCATACCAGACGTATTTGTCCTGTGGAGAACACGGTATGTCGGGTGAGGAAGGATCGCAGCGAAGCGGTCTCGAACCCAGAAATAGCTCGATTTCCAAACGTTCCCTTGCAGCTGAGCGTGTCCACAATACCCTTGGCCCTCATAAAACAAAAGCATAATTTCGCACGCGTACCGGAGCCTATCCGCACAACTACGTCACGCAAGGCAGCAAGAAAGGTTGAAACTTACAGCCGATCCCAAACTGTTGCCAACCGCCATCTACCCACAACAGAGTGTTGAAGGGCATCCACCGCAGGACAGACTGGTCTGCAGCATGGCATCCCTCTTCCCCGCCCAAACACGGTATCTTTCTCCCTCAGCGACAGAGTCCGTTTGGCCCAGTAGCAGACTCAAACAACCCTCACTAGCAAAGGCCGTCCCACCAATGAGACTGTCCCCGCCACACCCGCGACAGTCAGTGACAGGTTCTTTCTGCCAGCAGCATAGTCCGTCTCACTGACCTGGAACATGGTGCGCACGCCACCGTCTGCGCTGTCCTTGTTGAACGGCGCGGCGGCCCGCCGGGCGGCGTCCAGGTACCTCCGGTCTCCGGTGGCGCGATAGACTCGTGTCAGCAGCGACATGGCCTGTCCCTGGGCCATGGCCGAGCTCCAGTCGGGCGCCAGCACCATGTGGTTATTGAGGCGCCGCTCCACAGGCACGGTCCACGCGCCGGCAGCCGTCTGGTGGCGCAGCAGCCAGTCGGCCGCCTGGACCGTCTGACCGGCGTGCGCGCTGGATGCCAGCCGCAGCTGGCGCAGCCGGCCGCCACCCGACACACCCAGCCGCACCACTCGCAGCCGCTGGGCCGTCAGCTTGGGCGCGTTCCGGCCGCGGCCGCCCAGACCCTTCAGCGCGTCCACCGTCAGGTCGCGGATGAAGAGCTTGTAGCCGCTCCAGCTGGAGCCCAGCCCGACAAACACGTCCGAACCCTGCCCGGGACAGGACGACGCCAGTCAGCTTAGGTGTACCATATACGAAGTTACAACGTTTGATGGAGAAGGAATGTCATAAACAGCGTCCAAAGACCAAGGAGCAAAACTAAGGATGTTTGAAATCTGTCATGCTAAGCAATGTGAGATATTCAGAAAAGTGTTACAAAATTTAAGCGTTGTAACTAACGTCGTCATAATAAACTAAAGAACGCCTTGAGAGCCATAAATGCTCCACAATTACGCTCCACAGTCACATGCCTCCGTGCAGGAATCTCCATCAATGAAGCATATCGCAGCAGCTACCGCCACGCCTATCAACACCCTCACCTGGGCTGCAATCATCAGGTCGGAGCAGACGTAGTGGACGCGCACGGAGCGACCCAGTGCCGTGTCGCGGAACTGCAGGTCTGCCCAGACAGTGGCATTGGAGGACACCTGGAGCTCCAGCATCAGCAGCGACTTGCCAGAGCGGTCCACTGGGATGGTAACTGGGTCTGGAATGGATCGATTATGTCAGTCGGCGGCACAGCGGCAGAGGCTATCAGTGAAAATGACACTGTCCCCTTTCGATATACGTTGCGCGATTATGGTGAGTAAGAGATGACCGAACGTTTTCCCACACGCATACAAATAACAATCGCGCTATTCAACATGTGCATGGCATGCAATAGAATGATAATAACGCAGTGAGCCCATATAGGGTTTCTATTATTACTCGTTCAGACTTACTTGCCGGCGAGAACTCGGCCACATCTTCGTTGAGCTCGGAGTCACGGACCCAGCTAAATGTCGCCCCTGAGCTGGCGCCATTCCGGCTGGGCAGCAGCTCATAACTGGCAGAAAACGAGCATAACCGTGCGGTCAGCGCCCACTATCCTCGGTCAGACCAAGGTCCTTATTCTGATCTACGTCCAGTTCCGCTCGGTCAACACCAAACGCCGCGAAACTAAACTTAAACTGAAACTAAACAAAAAAGCTTACTAAAAAAACGACCTCAGTCTCGGTGAGAGGCTTCTTTTCCTGGTAACAGTTAACCAGCTTGGCCTCAATTCTAAGTCCGGAGTTGGGCACAGAATGCAAATTTCAAACGCCTGAAGCTGAATTTAGCCCAACAACGGCTAAAGCTAACGGAACTGACGTCATTCCGGCGAACTCAGTACAAGCTAAACTCAGCCTCTAAAGTGATTTACTATCCGGTCAAGATAAGGCGTTATGACGGCGAGCCAGGGTGCCTCGCTCAGAGCACAGCTCCGCTCGTCGCAATAGTTCACTCACTAATTCGGCGGTGGCTCTGTGAGATTCCGGGAGTAGTGCGATAGCCCGAACTGGGCAATCTGGATCACGTAGAAGAAGCCCGAGGGTCGCCACTGAGTGGTGACGGGAACACCTGGGGGAGGGCACGGGTTAAATTAGCACGGGGCGGTCAGATAAGCATGGCTAACATCGGCGAGGATCGGTCAGCAAGACACGGACAAGTTAGATCGGCATGGCTGGGTCGGGCGATCACAGGACAGGGTGGCAGGTATAGGTCAATTACGGCATTCCGTGCTATGACAGTAATCACCGCCATTCAGCTGTCCATTCCATACTACATAATGTTGTGTCATAGTACCTATACACCGTGATCGAAATCAATGCACCGACTCCGCTCTACAACGCTCTACTATCAATGATGTATCCGACCGATGGCGAGACATCTCGCCAGACGCCTACCACAATATCCTCTACTAATTCGATACAAATCCCGTAACCAAGCCGACAGTTCTCAACACTTCCTTCACATGCCAGAGTAGCTCCCCGCAGCGTCCTCACCTTCGGGTCCGCTGATGCACTTGACCCTGTCGCGCTTCTCCACGTTGTAGGTGGCGAAGTACATGAACTGTCCGTCGGGCCTGTACGGCTCCTCGGGAGGGAAGAGCTGGCCGTAGCTGTGCGACCAGTGGAACACCGGCTGGCCGTGCTGCTCAGACAGCTGGCCATACACCTGGGAGGAGGGAGGAGGGGTGCTCAACAGCTCGACAAGTGAAGACAGCTGGGGAAGAAGGTGAGTAAGAACCAGAGAGATCAGTCTATCTGTGAAGAAGCATCCGATAGAACAATGGAGTAAGACTAGGAGAGAGTACATTGTAACACTACAGCTGAAGATAGATGTAACCAATCGTTCTATTTTCCTTATCATTATTTGATAAATTATCAAGGAGAAACTGGTGGCAAGCTCTTTTATATTTTTCTGGTACAATAGCTGAGCTATCTGCAATACTAAACGCAAAAAAACTGACCAAAAAATCAACGAAATGGTCAACTGGTTCACACAAAGAACTCACCTCAAAGTATTTCTTGATAAACTTAAAAGGAATATACACTTCCTTCCCAGACTTTTTACAGTCTATTGAATACTCTTCATTGATATCACATCTTAGATCAGTCAGATCGTTTCCTTCGGTATCATGATTAAGCTGAAAAAGAACGACATGAATCAAAATAAAGCCAAACGAGGAATAAACACAACAATTCAACTGGGTATTCCTGATGCAACCATTCAGACTTTACCATTAGTGCAATTGGAAATACTATGATATCACTAACCTGTGACTGTCTCCTCTTGGTTAAGGAGTCGGCCGGCGCGGCGGTACTGGGCGGGCCCGGCTCGCCCCCGCAGCGGTTCCAGAAGCTCAGACTGAAGAGCAGGAGGATGATCGTGGCGAACAGCGCCGCCGATCTCGCCCACCAACGCATCCTGCTGGACAGTGATTTCACAGGTGTTACACCAGCCGATAGTCATACAGCTGTGATGGATACTGGGAGTGTGGATTCGATGGCTTTCAGTGAACCCCACTGCTGTCTAGAAAACTGACCCGTGCTCCAACTACAGGCATTCCACTTAGGGACAGCATCACAGTGAAAAGACATGTCTGCAGTGTACGTACTTTAATTTACCTGAATATTTCAAAGAATTGGCATGTATAGAGGTACAGCTCTAGGCAGGATTGCATAGCTTCTGGACAGTTTAAGCCAGAGCAATCGAAGGAGGGGCAGCACCTGGCCCTAGGCTGGATATTACTATGGGCATTCAGCTTGCACTGACCCCAAATTTCAGGAAGCCCCCGCCCATATCAACCCCCCCCCCAAAAAGTCCTTGCATCGATCGCAGTTGCCTTGCAAAAAGGGTCTTCTGATAGTCTAATTGAAGTCTCAGAGGGCCAACACCATTACCTGAATGCCTCATGCTGGTATGAGGCAACCTCACGGCTCACAATGTCTTGAGAGGGATTGGGAGGCTTTGGTACTCAGTACAACCATTTGAGTCTGGAATATTATGCCCTCCTCCCCCTCCCCCGACCCACACGCAAACAGGACCACACTGTATGACAGTTTTAATATCACAATGGCATAGGCGGCGGAACGGGGAGGGCACCGGGGCACCGTGCCCCCTTTAATTTTGGCATTTTAACATTAGCCCTATGGGCGTTGCATGGAAAGAATGGGACCAAAAGTCGGCAGTGCCCCCCCCCCCCCCCCTATTGAACATGTTCCGCCGCTACTGCACAATGGTGTAAGGTCACTTTGCCCATGTAGATTGTGGAATTGTTGTGAATATTTTTTTCAAGCAAAATGAAGAGTTGGTAGCACTGCAGAGTGCAGGGAAGTCAGTTTGTCCAGCCTGAGGACAACACTGGGGCAAACCAGCACACCTAAATGCATGGGTGATGGGTGCAGGCCTGATCAGTGATCTGCTTTAAAATATCTCCTTCACTTTAGTGGAATGTCAGAAGACCAGAGATATCGCCTTGCTTTATGTCCTTGAGCAGCCTTCTAGACTGCAAGACCATAGAAATAAAGAATAGCCACACTTTGGTCAGGGTTGTCACCTTTTGGTTGAAGCACACCCAAATGGCAGGCATACCATTAGATTTTAGGTAAGTTTTAAGGCCTGCGCCCCGTAGGGGGGGCCGAAACGCCCCCCCCGTCCTTTTCGGTCGATATCTCCCAAACGGCTGGAGATATCGCCACCAAACTTTCAGTACCCCTCCGGGCATCAATTTTACACATTGTGACTAAAATTTTTCCAGAGGCTATGATAGGTTGGCCACAAATGACGTCAGAATGACGTCATGTTCTGTCATTTTCGACCGAAAAAAGACCTTCGCGAGAAGACCTGTCAGGCCTACATCGTTGAAGATACAGAAAAAATGACCAGACATAATAGGTGTAGAATTGACAGGGCTACAAAATTGCTATCTCGGATTTTTTAAATTTCTGAGTTTTGACCCCCAAAAATCAAAAAAGCATTTTTGGATATATTAGCCAAAAATCCAAAAAGTTTTTTGAGTTTCGAAAAAACGGAATATATGTGATAGTACCTACCGTCTTCTATCTACATACCAAATTTCAGATCGATACCTCGTTTTTTGGCCAAGTTATAGCGAAAATAAAAACTTCAAAAATGATGACGACAAATTTTCAAACTCAATTTTTGGCAATGCTAGACCTCGTAGAGCAAAACAAAGACCACCATTAGACTCCCCGTGACGATCTGCATCGAATTGATACCCATTTTATGCAAAAATATCAACTTTAAAATTTGACCTAATTTGACCTGACCTTTTTTTTATAAATTTAGTCCGAACCTTTTGATGGGAAGGATTCACAAGGACAGAGCCACCGCTAAGCGAAGCTTGTTGCGATGACCCTGCCCTCTACCCTCCGATCGCGCAATTCCGATTCTATGGCAGAATTTAGAGTCCAAAGTTTAACGTGCGCACAAAGCCGCGCACGGCCGGTCCCCTCGCTGACTTCGCCTGGCTACGGCCTGCCACCAACCGCAACCATACCTGTCAGGAGGCCCATAAATGTCGAGCGCCCGTCGCGCTTCGAACCCGGACTGTCATAACCGGGAACGCGTGCTCTCACCACGCGGAGTCCAACGCTCTAACCAACTGAGCTACGGGACCGGCTTGACCTGACCTTGACCTGACCTTCACTAAAACGTGACCTAGGCTGGCCCCAAAGGCTGCCTAACCCACATAATCGCATTTGTCATGTAAAATGGACCATAAACCATGTATCACACGACACTTTCATAATGTGACCCCCAGTGACCTGACCTCGCTGTGACCTGACCTGGTATCAGTGACCTCAGATAGCAAAGTATGTGTTTGACGAACAATGTACCATCGATGGTTTTCAATAAATTACCAATTTACTCTATTTCACAACACATTTCTTGAAATGACTGTGAACAGTGAAAATCTGACCTTTGACCTGACCTGTGATGTCATCGGTTTGACCTAGGTCAATGAAATTTGGTCAGCAGGTAGTTCCCGGGTGGGGCTATCGAACGCCGTTTGAATTTTGAAAATCGGCCGGTAACTTTCCGCTACGGGTGGTAGGGTCCGCCGGTAGCCCTACGGGGCGCGGGTTAAAGCAGATGTTATGCAGCTTTAAAACTGCATTAAACAAGGCTTGATAATGCTCATTTCTATGCAAAAGAATTTCAGTAGGCCGAATTATGGTCAAGCGTGCCCATTTAGGGAACGCCTTTTCGTTCCCATATGTGGAAACTCCGATCCAAAAATGGGAACAATCCTATATTTGGACTGGGTACTCATGACCATAGTTCCGCCTAATGATTTAAACTGAGGTGGCGAGGTTAGCAAGGCATTTGATTCGGTCCCACATGGTCTTCTTCTTTCTAAGCTGAAGTACTATGGTGTTGATGGAAGGGTGTTGAAATGGGTCGAAGCATTCCTGTCTGATCGCACCCAGCAGGTCCTGGTCGAAGGCGCCTTGTCAAGCAGCTCTAAGGTGAAAAGTGGTGTTCCTCAGGGTTCCGTACTGGGTCCTTTGTTATTTCTCATATACATAAATGACATGCCTGACCATCTTGAAAGTCATATCAAGATTTTCGCCGACGACTCCAAGCTGTTCGGTCCTGTTCAGTCCCCCAGTGATAGACTTCGACTTCAAGAAGACATCGACAAAGTAGCTGAGTGGTCACAACGCTGGAGACTCCCACTCAACTTGGACAAATGCAAGGTGCTCCACATGGGTCCCAGGAACCCCTGTGTCAGCTACAAAATGTTTGAATCAAACCTCACTGCTGTTGACGAAGAAAAGGACTTAGGCGTGAAAATAGACAGTGCAATGAAGTTTCATGTTCAGACAGCAAGGGTTGTGGCCAAAGCAAACAAGCTCCTCGGAATCATCTGCAGATCGTTTGGAAATCTTAGCAAAGACATGCTTACTGTGTTGTTCAGGACCTTGATAAGACCGCACCTGGAATATGGTAACAGTATATGGGGACCGCCATCGAAGGGAGACCAAAAGAAGATAGAGAGAGTCCAGAGACGTGCTACCAAGCTGGTCCGTGAACTACGGCCCAAGCCATACTCGCAGAGACTCAGGGAGTTGGACCTGCCCTCACTTACGTATCGACGACTACGAGGAGACATGATAACGGTCTTCCAGATACTCCGGGGCTCCCTCGATGTGCGCCCAGGTCTCCTTCCATTGGCAAGCTCCAGGATTACTCGAGGCCATCATTTGAAGCTCCACAAGCCAAGATCAAGATCAAGAGCGAGGAGGAACTTTCTGGGAGTCAGAGCAATCAACAGCTGGAACGGCCTGCCTCCCTCTGTTGTATCCGCACCTACTGTCAATGCCTTCAAGTCCCGACTCGACTCCCACTGGAAAAACATCCAATATTCATCAGTCTTCGATCAATAGAAACAGAGCGAGTTTAAAGTAATGATCCGGTCCAATAGGCCTGCTACTTGGCCTCAAAATTCCGTGTACTTCTAAGGTAAGGTAAGGTAAGGTAAGGCATGCCAATTGCAAGAACAACAAAAGTTTTGGCATTTGCAGTGCAAGGACACAAGTGCTTTATTTGAAGGTCACCAAGCCATCCTGCTTGGGAGGTGCAAGAATTGGAATATGCTGAACAATTAGCAGAACCCATTGTTGGACACACTGATGACTGATTACCTACCTACCACTTACCAGACATGTGCACAAATCCAAAACAACCAAACACAAAAAACAAGATGGCTATTAATTAACTGTCTTAAAACATGAAATTGTGGAAATTATTGCTTGTAAAAGCCTCAAAATGAGCTCACTTTTTTGCATTCTTTCAGAGTTGACAGTTTTTAGAAAATACCACAAGATCCATTTCGGATCCATGGTCCGGGATCATTACAGTATTATGACGCAAAAGCCAAAAGAACATGTAAATGCCTATACTCACACTATATTCAGTTTGAAAAGTGAAAACTTTTAACAATTCATTGCCTAAGGGGGCATTCCAGGACAGCTCAACCACAGCCGAACACCCTCATATTTTTAAAAATTCTGAAACTTTGTGTATAGGGTAATCTGACACGCTGGAGACGGCCCTGCCAATATTAGACCTCTCTGACTAAAGGTCACAGAGTTATAGCCTCCGGCATTTTGGAGAGGTCACCCTAAAGACCAATCTTTGAGGGCATATATCTCAAAGAAAAAATATTTTATATATGAAAAATATATACCGATGGACTCAAAATTGATCAAAAAAGATTTTGGCTATCTCGAATTTTTTTTTTGAAAATTTTCAAAATTTTTGATTTTGTGACCAATTTTTCAAAGACCTGACTCGACCTTTTCCTCATCGAAATTGTACTTTTCGTCTATAGACAAAATGTTTTTTGATCAATTTTCTTTCGATAGAAAAAATAAAAAAAAATGGGTTCTGCCTTTAAAATATATTTTTCGCCACACATAGATGGCGCTGCTGACGCTGTTTTTCCTGAATAATTACTGAATTGAGATAATAAGATGCAGATGATGATCAAAGTGTGTTTCCCAACAACAGCTCAAACGGCGTTCGATAGCCCTGTCAAATTTGTCGAAAGAAACCAAATTTCGTTGACCTAGGGGTCACCGATGACGTCACAGGTCAGGTCAAAAATAAAATGTTTCACCGTTCACGGGGCTTCTAGGGAAAGCGCTATAACACCGAGTAAAACGCATTTTGTCGAAAATCAGCGATAAGGCGTCAGTTGTCTAGTACATATGTTGCTATTAGAAGTCACTGGTCATACCAGGTCAGGTCACAGGTCACAGGTCAGGTCACCAAAGGTCACCACATGAACCCAAGTTTACTAAGGTTGTGCGATGCATGTTTTATGGCCAGTTTTTCATTTCCAACTCAATGGTGTTGGTTATAAGACTATCAGGTACGGAATAGGTCACTTTCTGGTGGAGGTCAGCCGGTCAGGTCAAGGTCAGGTAAAAAAGGTCAAATTTCAAAGTTGATATTTTTGCATAAAATGGGTATTGATTCTATGCAGCTCTTCACGGGGAGTCTAATCGTGGTCTTTGTTTTGCGTTACGAGGTCTAGAATTGCTGAAAATTGAGTTTGAAAATTTAACGTCATCAATTTTGAAGTTTTTTTCGCTATAACTTGGCCAAAAAAAGAGGTATCGATCTCAAATTTGGTATGTAGATAGAAAGCGGTAGGGACTATCACATATATTCCGTTTTTTCGAAATTCAAAAAACATTTTGGATTTTTCGGCTATTGTATTCAAAAAATCTATTTTTTGATTTTTGGGGGTCAAAATAAAAAAATCGAAAAACCGAAATAGCAGTTTTGTAGCCCTCTTGATTCCACACCTTTTATTTATTAAACATTTTTCTGTATCTCTAAAGCTGTAGGCCTGACAGCTCTTCCCGCGAAACCTTTTTTTGGGTCGAAAATGGCAGAAATGACGTCACTCTGACGTCATTAGCGGCCAACCTATCATAGCCTTTGGAAAAAATGTTTGGTCACCATGTGCGCTAGCTACTCCCGGGAGGGTACTGAAAGTTTGGTGACGATCGGCGCAGCGGTTCTCGAGATATATCGAAAAAACCAAAGGGGGCGAAAATGCCCCCCCCCCACCGCCTCGAAGGTGGGGGGGGGGCACTCAAAAGGGTCACAGCGTCTTATTTGTTGTTAGAAAACACGTATCTGTCATGAACTGTATCTTATCATCTAAATTCCGTAATAATATAGGAAAACAGCATCAGCAGCGCCATCTATGTGTGGCGAAAAATATATTTTAAAGGCAGAACCCATTTTTTTTTATTTTTTCTATCGAAAGAAAACTGATCAAAAAACATTTTGTCTATAGACGAAAAGTACAATTTCGATGAGGAAAAGGTCGAGCCAGGTCTTTGAAAAATGGGGATGTTCGGCTTATTTCTTCACCAGGTGGCAGCACTGCCTTCTTTGGACACAGAAACTGTGGCGGCGAATGCGCCACTGTGTTTTGCACTGTGTGGAGTCCGTGCGGCGTCGGTTCGGGGGACTGAATTTCGGTGAATTTGATAGCAATTGATTTGAATTTTGCTCAGATGGGTTGTGAATTTATATTCAGCAAGTGTCACAAACATGGAAAGGCAAGTTTACAAAGGACAGGAGACTTAGAAAGGCTTCAATTGACGTAGCCGAAGAGAGGCGAGAAGCCGAAGATAGACCGACTCCAAACGGTAATTCCATCGATGTAACACGTTTCCCGACATTTTTTATGGCGAGCATAACTAAGAGTATAAAATAGTCTAACTTAACTCATAGCTGGATCTTGTATTGCCCATATGAGGTAATTTACCTGTATAAGTTTATGGGCATATCAATATAGGGAATTGACCTGCACCCTTTGAGAAAGGCATTAAAAGATGATACATGCTGCTGAGAATGATTATATAAATTCAAGATTTATTGCAAGCATTTTAGCAGTGTTCTACTTTGTCTGGTACCAAAGATATTGCAAGCAGCTAAAGGTTATGATGGAAAAAGACAAATTACTATTTTGACACCAGCAACCAGAAGGTGTATGTGATAGAACACTAAGCTACCTACTATTTATGAATTGTTACAAGTATTGATCATCCTACATGGTGTTACAGGTGCCCAGTGCAATAATGTTTCTGGTGCGGAGTTGTCAGGATGGAGTCCGAGGAATCAAGGAAGGCAGAGGACCTGCGTATGAAGGAACCAGCCCTGCGGATGAAGTTCTGAGGTGCATACAGAGGGATCCCACTGAAAGACCAGGTAGGAGTTGGTGAACAGCTTGTGCACTGCAGTATATCATCCAGAAGTAACTGATAGCCTTTCTTGCAAAATGTTTTTTTTAACTCATCACCACCGAAAGCTACTCATTATTGATACAATATCTTCATTTCGTCAGGTAAATTATTGTTTACTCTAAGTTTTGATTCACACTGAAGTGAACACTATTTTAGAATATTCACTCAGCTTTTTTAGCAACTAAATACGGGCAAGTTTTTTGTTGTTTTTTAAAATAAATTTTCACTTTCTAGAATATTTGTATAGGTAACTGCAATAAAAGTGCATTTCAAAATTGCAAATACTTTGTGTAAAGTTCATGGGTCTTGATGAAGTCACTGTATCCAGTTCATCATATCAGATTTCAACTGTGCTTAAACTGCAATGTTTTGCTAATTGCTTCAGTATATAATGTCCTTTTATCCATGCATGCTAAACATGTGTATTGTGTATCTCATTATGACTTGCCAAGATCTTTCCCTGTATTATGCCATTTTTCATTTATTCACAGGTGCAATGCTGCATTGATAAGATCCAGATTCAAGAGCATGGATGCTACCAGATCCTGTGATTTGAAGGTGTGTGTGCTGTGAAGGCTGCTGAAGGCTGTGTTGACTATGTGAAGGCTACTTGACTGAACAGAACATTGTGGATTTGTTAATTAAGTACCTCTTTATTACAAGTTTGTGCCCATTACAAGCCAAGCTTAGTTTACTTAGTTTGTTGCAAGGTTTCCAGGCAGCCTTCACACTTGTGTTGCTGAATATTAAACTTTAACTGAAGACCGACGAGATATTGTCCCTTTCGCATCAGATTGTAATCAGTCAGTCGTGGTGGTAGAAGGTACAGTCTGTCTTAAAGTACCGCGCAAAGTCATGGATCCATCAAGCCTGACCGAGGAAGGGTCTGCTATAATTTGAAAGTCACCGAACCAATTGACCTGGGGAACGGACGAGGATGTCATGTAGAGCCACGCAGAAATCGCCGGTGATTCGTTGCCCATCATTACAGAATGAACGCATGCCGGATGAAGGGTTAAGTCAATAGTCTGTACAAACTATATACAGGGATGTGATTGACTTATCTGACAGTGACGAGCGCTAGAGATCAACTTAAGACCGTAGGTATGCGTTCTTGTCATGGAATGTGTGCTGCAAATCGATTGTTACATGCGTGTGAATATATGTCGGAATGTAAAAAGGTTTTTAATTTCAACTGTGTAAGTTAAAATATGTGATAACATCGTATCTTTCGTACTCCGTAGCTTTTGGTGACCATTCGATCAGCTCCCTTTCCTTCCAATCAATGACGATGTAGTAGTTTGCCTTTCACACGCGTCATTGTCTTCCTAATATCGAAATCAACTGTAGCTACTCATTTTAGCAAAATAATGAACCTGAAAAAGATATGAAACGCAGTTTCCGTTCGCGGCGCGTCGGCCGCCGTCGCCGCCCGCAGTGTTATCCCCGGCCCGGCCGGCGCCCGGCCGGCGCGTTGTGTCCAAAGCATACCGTGCTGCCACCTGGCGAGACTTTTCGGAACTCTTAGCGCGAACATCCCCATTGGTCACAAAATCAAAAAATTTGAAAATTTTTTGAAAAAAAATTCGAGATAGCCAAAATCTTTTTTGATCAATTTTGAGTCCATCGGTATATATTTTTCATACCTAAAATATTTTTTCTTTGAGATATATGCCCTCAAAGATTGGTCTTTAGGGTGACCTCTCCAAAATGCCGGAGGCTATAACTCTGTGACCTTTTGTCGGAGAGGTCTAATATTGGCAGAACCGTCTCCAGCGTGTCAGATTACCCAATACACAAAGTTTCAGAATTTTTAAAAATATAAGGGTGTCATTTTTTAAAAAAATTGGTCGTTTTGTCCTGGAATGCCCCTAAGATTTATGGTAGGTAGCAAAATATCTCTATCTTGAGCTGCAGTTCAGGCACAGAAATAATAAGTACAACTCTGGCCTATATATGGCTTTGACTCTGCCGGATGAGTCAACCCCAACCTGCTTGACTTTAAATACAACAAAAACTGACGGAAGCAACAAACTAAAAACTCGACGAAGGCCATACAACTCGACTATAACGTTTTTAAAATCTACACATTATAATAATTTTCAGTCCCGAATTGGGACGCCTTGATTGGGACATAAAGTAGATTTCTATTCATAAGCGACGCTCGCAAGAGCAGCCCAGACGCTGATTCGCCAACACACGAAAAAGTAGCAAACGATAGTGAAAAAAGCAGTTTGGATCAAACCCTGAACACATCAAAAAAGTCTTTGTGCGCAATGACTGTAAAAATGTGGAATCTTCTTCATAAAGGAAATTTGGTATATTTTCGCAGTATAGCAAGCAATACCCTACACAATCTTGCCCTACACGAGTACTCTTGCCTTCGACACGCCCGCATAACCCGCATAACCTAGAAACGTACCAAAACGATGTATTGCAATCCGCATCTTGGTCCGGAATCTTATACCATGAATGGTCATCGAGTGCCTACTAGTGGTCATTTAGTCTAGCGCGAGAAGTTTATACGACGTGTTTGTACGACCTGCTTTCTAAAAAACTGACTTTCACCAATGAGTGGTCAGCAGGAAACTCGGTGCTTGGTTACCTTGGAAGTTGCAACGTCGACCTAAAAGCTTATAGGCTCAGGCCTTGCACAGATTTGGATACTCAGATCTTGCGATACTTTCTTTGATCCAACGCCTTGGATCCAAATCGGACCCTCCCCATTTAGGTCGAAAAACCGAAGTAAGGCACCACTATTGGGTATTAGCCGCCATCTCATCACAGAAGAAATATAATCCAAGAAGCAGTAGCATTTTTTATATGAAATGAAAAATGGGGCAATAAAACAAATTGTAAATTGCATCCGCCAACGAACATAAAAATAGTATGAAATAAAACACGCTACATGTATTATGGCGCACATATAAGCAAAGGTGAGACAGCCTAAGCTCTACAACAATCGATCGATTCACACACGATACGTTACCAATAGTACTCGCCGTTCAATGACCAGATAAGCACACAATAAGTAATAAACATCAATCACTAACAGCTGACACGAGCATCACAAGTTCGTAACAGCAGACAGTTAAATACGCTCGCTAAGCGAAGACACCCACACTGCGCACAAAGGCACCTTTCCCAGCACACTATGCCGACAGACTAGATGACGATAGACAGCAGCTATCCCACCGCGGGCGAATCGGATCGGAGTACGACACGGAAGCAGTGGGCAGCGCGGATACCAGCCGGAACGCAGCGGCGAACAGTCAACTCAGCGGCTCCGCTACCCGATTTAATCCACTTTGGCGGAGTCTTGAAGCGGAATCAGATGCCACACGGCAAAGAGCAGAGCATTAATTGTTTGGATCAATGCACATCCTCGCTCGCGATTTCAGTACGCAATAGACTTCCACTTTATGCTACGGATAGCATCCCATAATATGACCAGGAAAGAACGCTATTAGAGACGTCCCCTACGGTTATCCCCTATCCGACCCCGGCGACGCTTGCCCTACTGTGCGTGCCCTGTGCGCTGTCCGCTACACCGGCTCCGCTCGCCATGACGGTGGAAAGTCAAAGCTGCACACTCACGCACACACACATCCCGCGCCGTACCAATAACACAGCCCCGTTGGCCACCGGACAATTTCTCAGCGAAAATTATCACAGGAAGGACCCTGCCCCCGAGGGGAGATGCGACATTGCAACACGTCCGATTAAGACACTTTTCTGCACGATGGTATTCGAGGGCACATTGAAACGGAGGCTGCATACAACACTTGGAAGGGTCCGTTGTCACAACAAGCACACATTTGTTCCCTTTTAAGTAGTGATGTTGCGCATGTTGAATGGTAAAGATGTGATTCTACAGATCTCTCATAGTTCAGCAGAGAAGATGCATCGACGATAGTGATATCATGCACATATGAACATAAGCCGAAGGCATCTATAAATTTACGGTAAAAATACTGCTAAACCATGGGGATATCCCCATAGAAACTTTTCGTGTCAGCTTCTTCAAAACTTACCAGCAGATATGGCTTAGAAGTTAATTAGTTGAGACACTGAAACAAACATGCAAGAATGCCTCTTCAATTTATCATGATGCATACCTACGCTCCAAATCTTGCTCCAAAAGTTTATAATCACTCATCCAGTTACGATTCCAACAACGAGCAATACAATGTTGGATACGTGAAGCAATTGAATTTCAAAGTAGATGCAATCAACTAGTACCTACTGATGGACAAAATATAAGGCATGTTTTACAACTTTTGCTTTGAAATAGTTAGCCTATAAATTAAGTAGCAATTAGATGTCTCAGCTCAGAAATAACATACGGATGGTCATCTACATCAGGTACAGATCCTATGTTTAAGTGAAAAATCACTGTGAACTGAAGGAGCTAGCTTGTGAAGATGCACAAGCCGTGTCGGCCGGATCGGCTGCACGGCTCATCATCCGAGCCCGTGTTCCCTGGCCAGACGTATGAGGGATGCACGCAGTGACAGAGATGTGACATGGGTCTAGTGTGAGCGGCCACAGAAGGCAGGCGGCGACTACTCCTCCTTGATGTCTTGTCGGGCGTCGCCGGAGCGCAGCACCCGCACGGCACCGCGAGCCATCAGAGCGAACCAGTGCAGCTGCAGCGCCAGCATCAGCACGTTACCCGTGTGACAGTACCACGGAATCTTGGCCAGCACCTGCCGCGGCGGAGGGTAGGGGTTAGTGAACCGTGGACCAGGAACCATCATCAAAGTCAATCGCCTCACTCCTGCCGGGAGCTTGAGGAAGGTTAGGACCACAATGCAGGAAAACTTTACTCGAAGTGTGCTACGAAGTTCAGAGCTCATCACGTGAAACAGGAGAATTTTATCGTGAATGTGAAGTGCGGATGTCTTAGGGGTCATTAGGTCATCAGAACCAGGGAGGACGAGCATGGAATCACTAACGTCACCCGAGCCGGACATCATTGCACCAAAATAATTAGTTCTGATGAGAAAATGCTCACACTGACAATACTTAAGGCTTCCGGCTCCAGACCGTACAAAATTAGCACAGGTATGCCCAATGGAACTTCATGCGTTAGTTTTCCTGTCAATGTATGTACAAACTGACTCTGCAAACTGCGTGGTAGGTATTTTTTTTTCGACAAAACCGAGAATAAGGCGAATATCATGCAATCGGTCATTCGGAAATCGTAACAGCAAGACGCGCGAGACTCCGCACCTTAGATTGGCATAATCATCGTACTCATTTTCCATCCATTTTGGCAACAAAACCCAAAAGTTTATATTTGCCCCCAAAACAAACTTTTGCATTTTGTTGCCACACAGGGCGCATACTCTGTTTAGTGATAGACCTAATCGAAGGAGTGGAGCATGGCGCATCTATCTGTAGTGAGTTCCGACCGACTGATAGCATAGCCTTTGAGTTATTATCGGTATTAACGAAAAAAAGAATACCTACCACGCAGTCTGCTGAGGACTGTACCTACAGTTGCAGTGGCAGTAATACCTCATAGATCTGGCGTTAAAATGTCAGCCAAAGTAACTAACTCATTGCGTTCTTTTGTTGCATGTCTATTGAAAAACGACGAATTGTTGAGGTATAACTTACCTGCATGACTGATACTTCGTACGTTCTTGCACAGGCGACGTACATAAACGGAAATATGAGAATGCGGCAGATGAAGAATGCGACCACCATCATAACACCGTTCACCTTGTATAGAAGCGTAGTCTTTTTCTGAAACAAAAGGAAAATTTTGATGTTAACAGAGACAAAAATAAAAAGAAAAGAATCAAGTTACAACTCGTCACCATGTAAGCTTATGAATACTCATGAGCAAAATAAGTGAATACTTATGAATATACTATAATACTTTTGGGTAAAATACACAACACTTTTGTCGAAGACGGTGTCTCACCGCACTCTGAGTTCATCCGAGTGAGATAATAAGTGGTTAGATGTATCTGACCCACGTACTTACGTACTAACATTGGCACGTAAGTAAGCACTAACATTGGCACGTAAGTTATGTAATATGTACATTGGCTATCGGAAACATTTTCTTAAAACTGAGATCATTCTCGTAGTAGCTCTGACTAAATGTCTCGCCAGGGGACACCATGCGTTACAACTCACATCAAACGCTGCCAGGGTGGCTCTGAGCGCCACGAATGGTGTGCTCAGCTCCAAAAGGAAGAAGCAGCCAATCACAAAGTCGCCCCTGCTACCGCGGAGGTGCTGTAACAAAACACAGGGCACAGCAGATGTGTTAGTAGGATATCGACCATATCACTGTCAGCCGGGGGAGACTCGTTTGTCATTCTGATTGTTATCATCTTCATCTTCATCTTCGTGTTATCGGGGCAAGAGGCATGATGTCCTGTAGGGCCCGTTCTCGCCGATTTCCATAACTTCACTTAGTACTCAGTCTGTTACAGGAGTGGAGTACCAGATCGACTCCCAGTGCGCATCCAGCCTGTTCTTAAAGACGTTGACTGAGGGTGAATGCACAATTTCTGCTGGAAGCCCGTTCAAATCGTTAATACACCGTACAGAAAATGAATTCAGTCTGGCACGACAGGTTGCACGAGGCTTCCGTAGTTTAAGTGTGTGACCCCGAGTTCGCCTTTATATCGGTAGCCCAGGAAATCAGCACGATTAATAAGATATTTATAAAATTATCGATAACATATGTAAACGCATTCTCAGAGATTAAGCCGTTGCACTACCCCATGCGCGGTTCGACCCAGAACAGCGGCGACCGCACGCCGTCTGCGAGCTCAACACTCACCAGCGCCACTGGGCCGCCGAGCAGCGTGATCGCCACGTGGTGAACAATCAGCAGTCGCTTGACGCGCACAAAGTCGCGCACGCGCTCCAGCAGCGAGCCGCGGTACTCGAGTTTGGCCGCGTGCACGCGGTACATGGCCCAGATGTCGTAGACGAAGTAGAGCAGCACCAGCCACGTCCAGTCGTAGATGAGCGGCGCGCGCGCGTTGATGATGTCGTGCCCGGTGCGGTTGACCGTGTACCAGCCGACGGCGACCGCCATCAGCGCATTCACCGTGGCCACCATCCTGACAGAGCGGAGGACCAGCGGGTAAATGTACACACTATGTATGTAGGTGGACGTATACAGGAAGTTAAGCAACATGCGACAATGCTCAGCTGGCGGAAACAACATTACTCCGTCTCCGATGCACAAGGCCTAAAACATCGATAAATGGCGGAATCACGAGTGAATATCTTTTCGCAATTAAACAACAGAGTGCTCTCAATCAACAAAATGTTCTAAATGACAAATGGCGACCGTAAGGCGCACTGAAAGTGCTGAGGTGGTACCGGTCGCAAGAAGCCCAAGCGATCTGGACACTACAAGCTGTCAGGATTTAAAACAGTGGAATGAGTCAGCTCACTTACTCTTCTGCGACCAGCAGTATTTTCCATTCTGGTATTGAGGACGTGACTATGCCACTTTTGAACGTGTTGAGAGTCACCGTGTGTAGGGTGTGTAGCACACAGGTGCCCAGGGCCACTCCCAGCATAGTCTTCCACCCCTGAAACACAGAGAAAACACGGATGAAGACCTCGTGCTAATGTGACATGAGTCACGACTCACGCACATCCGACCACAAAACATGGGCATCTGGGGTAAACAGGGCAATTAAGAGAAAAGGGCAATCAAGTTCCAACCATATCTTCGGCACCATTAAAGATAGCACAATACAATATCAGGGTTGACGGGTTTCTACATACGAGCCAGTTCTACAAAGCCCTTTCCTTGCCCTGTGAATGATCATATGTGGACCTATAATTCCTTCATGCAAGCTCGCTGGCGAGACAAGATTCACACCGGCCATAAAGAGTGCAGCGGGGATGTCGAGACTCTTGGTCGAGACCACGTAAGAGAATTTCTGTATCTTGCTTGATAAACCTCTCATTTCGAATATCAAAGTACGGGGGAACCAAATGCAGACGAACGTTGGGCGCGGTTCCATGCAATCTATTTAGTAGTGTCTGACTGTTAGCGAAACATGTGGTTAAGTGACAAGCAGTTTGGCGGATGATGTAGCGGTGTCCAGACTCAATGCATGCGTTTTCATTGGCTACTAACTAAGGCAGAAAGCAGTTTTAGCGTTATTGCCAATATTTTAAAGTAAAGTGATAAGGGATGGTTCAGCTGTCAGATGAAATGGTCCCTTTCTCCACAGTGTATATACCTTTCTCCACTTGTTACATTTTATATGAAAGCTTGTCATGACAACTCACCGGAAGCATTTTGTGTGAAAAGAGACTAAATAAACATAGTTTCATAGCCGTTTTAGAGCAAGAGCATTCCATCGACCAAAAGACACTTCATGTAAAGAAACCTATGCATCAAGGTTTTGAAGCCAAAGTCGTTAAGATCATGTCAGCAGTTACAAGCTCAGTGCGGGAACTTATAATGCCATTACAGACTGGTTCGCCTTCGCAAGGCAATAAAAAATCCTGACGATCAATCATAACTTTCCTGCAAAACCTCCCCTGCAGATCGACCCTGAGTCACTCTGCAGAGGTGTCCTACTGAATGGGTTTGCACTGCAGACTAAGAAAAGAGCCAAGTCCAATGCAAAAGAGCCGACCTTCACATATCACTGCGAAGCGAAACTGGTTTTTCAGTTATCTCGTTTGTCAATGCCATCTCTCGTGTTGCGTATCCCTGACCGATATCGTACTATGCCATTCGTCTCTGCATTCAACATTATCGTTAAAACGAGGTAGTGATTTCGCACTCAGAGTCGTATCTATCATACTCATTTTTCAGAAATGATGCTTGCTGCATGCTAACAAGCACCACAGAATGCACTGGTATGTTATTTTGAAAAAAAAGCATATGCCTCACATTGGATGGATTACAATTTATGGGTCATAACTGGTCGGAACAGTCGTGTAATATTTCAGCTTTCTATTGAAGCTCTTAACCCGCGCCGGGCCGGTGCTCTGAGATTCCGCGCCGGGCCGGGGGGGGGGGGTGTCTGAACACCCCCCTTCTAACTCGGCTCATGGGCCACGTAGCGACACGCGGTAAGCGGCAATCGAAAGAACGTCCAAAATAAGGACGAAAACACTTCGGTCATTTTTTGGTTCAGGTCAAAGGTCAGGTCACCAGAGGTCACCAAAGGTAGAATGTTGACTATTTCAACATTTTGGAAACTGGCAACGGCTATCTCAGGAACCGATAGAGCTACAGCGCCTCCGAAAATCGCATTCGATAGCCCTTTCACAGACCTTTCTGAGTAATGTTCTCAGATTTGACCTCAGGTCAACGGTTTAGCCTCCAGAGGGGAAAAACTCAAATAGCCGTTTTTACGTAAACCGTTTTTTCGGCAATAACTTTTGACTCAAAAGAGCCATGACATTACTTTTGCCAGCATCGTGTTACTCTCGTCGAGACGCGTCGAATGAACTATAATTTGACCTTGAAAGGTCAAATTTAAAATTTGACCTAAGGTCAAGGTCATGACCTGACCGGAAAAGGTCATGTTGCATATCAGTCGATCCGCAATGCCGAGCCGAACACAGCTACGGCGTTTTCAGCGCTCTAGCACGCCTCTATCAGAAGTTATTAGCGAAAAACTGTTAGATTCTGTTCGTGACTTGAGATGACCTCGGGGACATAACGAGGGGTCACAGTTGCCATTTTCTGGTTCAGTGTGTCAATTTTACCTACATCTCGATGTTTGAGTGTCTAGAAAAGCGTTCGTGCAAAACAGACGCTTTTCAATTTTCTCCCATTGACTAGTAGGCCGCAAAATTGACCTGACCTTAGGTCACCGATATCACAATTCCGAGATATACATTTTATAGATAGTGTTGCTCTTATCAATCGCTGAAAGTTTCAAGGCAATCGTTCAGTCGGTTTGGCTATGACGAGCATTCTTATTTTTTCTGAGGTGAGGTCACTTGGCGTGACCTGGTGACCTGACCTAAGATGACCTGGGTCTGAAATTTTTACAACATGTGCGGAAAAGATGCACGAACAGAACAGGTGTGCCAAAAACGGCGGGAGCCGCTGTTTTTGAGATATCTGCGAAAAACCATGGGGGGGGGGGTGTTCAAACACCCCCCCGGCCCGGCGCGGGTTAACAAAATGAAATAGGTTACTCATCCTCCATCAACATTATTTTGACCGTTTCGAGCCACGAGCATCTAAAAGACCATTTTAACTTCGCCATGTATAATAGACTAAGTAGCTAAATGCCCTTTACTACTAACATCTGGACAATCAAGAACAATTCGTAACGTTATGACTTATGAGTGAGGTGGCCACTTCCCAGGCAGGGTCCAAAACATGTGAGAAAGTAGCTCCCAGCTGGCTGACCTGCCTATGTAACTAGCGTGTACTCACAGCACTCAGTAGGCGCGATAAGGTTCAGTTCCGGTGGCGCGATTGATACCACAGCGCTCGGCACATGTTGATAAGCGTGTTTACCAGAGGCTTACAAAACCCGGTTAGCTCTCGATAGGGGCCCCTGCGTTGTTTAGAGCCAGTGAAGGCAAAAAGAGTAGGGACCGAATACATAAGCATTACGTCTAGAATAGGGTGGCACTTAGCAATAGGGTGAATTTTATGTCATCTGATTTTTAGGCGTGCGGGTGGTTTTCTGGTTCCATTCCCATAAAAAATAATGTGTGCAAAATGATTTGGAAAGATATTGATATTTAGGGGTCGCGAATTGAGGTCAAAGTTGACAGTTTTGGGAAAAAAATCAACTTTTTTGAAACTACTTTTAACCTATTTGGAATAACATATGCGGTCATTAAGCGTCATTTTCGACGTGTTTTGGCCTTTAGTTGTATAACAATTGCTTATCTCAACAATTCCGGCCGATCGTAGCCAGTCCAGGTCAGGCCAAGACAGGTCTGACCTGGGCTGTTTTACCCATGCCAGGCCTGTTTTGGCCTGCGACCGGTACCTTCTCACAGAGGAGGTCATACCCTGTGATTAGTGTGAGGAGTGACCGGTCTCTCCTGGTCCAAAGGGAGGACGAGCCCCACGGTTCTATCGGTTCTTGAGACATGTCCCCTTTTCTGTCAAAGAGAATGTGAAGAAGAGGTTGGAGTCAACCAATCACCGGCGGGCGAAAGCAGAGGCGAGAGTGTGCCTTGAGCTGCACCAGTCCATTGTGCTTTCGGGCAGTTCTTCCGTGGGCACTTCTTCCGACTCTAGTGCCAGCGCCAGCAACAGACTTATCCGGCCGTTGCGGCGCGCACACGAAGGAAATGTCTTCGGCGATGGCGACCATGAGAGACCCTTAACGTCGACTCACACTCCCAGGCGCATGCGGGCGAGTGAACTGGCCTCGACCAGGCCAAACTGCCCAACCGTAATGTGTGAAGAACACGTGAACCTGTTATCAACTGCGGCACGGAACTTAGGATACGACTCCGGCTGAACAGCTAGTCCTGAACCGCAAGGGAAGGAGCGTCGACCGATTCTTGGTCCTGGTGTTGGGGAGGGGGGGGGGGGGGCGGGGTGGCCAAGCTCCTCGCCGTTTCCAAACTCCAGTCCATCCAAGCATAAGAGGCCATGTTCACAGCGCTGGGGGACTGGAAGCTGGAGAAGCGGATCTGCGGCCTTTTGCTTCGACGCCACGACGGCGAGCAGCATGCTGGTGAACGGTACTTTAGCCCACATCGAACAGAAGGTGGATTGGCCGTTCTTTAGCTGGCCTGCCGGCACCACGTGTAAGAGTTGGTCCTAGAGAAGGCCTTCTCCACCTGCCCTAGAATCTCGAGCGGCCTCTACATCCAGCTGTTCAAAAGGTTCAAAGGCGGGTGGGCGTTAATACTTCATTGACAGGATCACACCGGTGGCGTTCGCCTTCGACGACGTTCCGGAGTGGAACGAGCTGCTGGTCAGCTTCCATCGCTTTCTCGACTACGCGTAGCTCCGGGAAGACTACCGAAAACTTCTGGAGATCTGTGTAATTGCTCTCGGCGGAGTTTCAAGCACGGCATCCTCTTCTCCGCCTCAGAGAACTCCACTGAGTTAGGTGGATGGCAAAGGCCATCCGCACTGTGGATGTCTTCCTATTCAGGGAATGGTTCCGGCTGACGGCGGCAGAGGCCCAGGTCATCAGACGCTGTGCGCTGTTCGTTGTCTGCACGTACGCCGCCGCCGCCGCCGCCTGGTCTCGGACTCTACTTCCCGCTACTGCGCCGGCTCTGGACCTGACCTTCGTGAACTCTGAACTCGCTCTGCGCCTACCCCGACAAGGAGCTGTCGAAGGCGACAGTCCCGGTCTTCGGCCGTCACCTGTAGTACTTGGGTGATCGGCTGGTGACTCTGGAGCTTTTCGACCCCGACCCTCGGGCTCAATCAAGGCATGGTGCAGGCAAGAGACTTGTAAGAGAGGGAGGACGAGGACCCGCCCTATAAGTCCCTAATGGACACCATGAGCGCCACTCTCGCGACCAAGACGTTGGCTAGCTTCTTCACACCATCGTTTAAAAAGCTTTTGAGGATCCACGACCTGGACGCGGGGCTCATCATCAATGACCAAGCCCACTGGGAGGACAGCAGCTACCAAACCACCGCTCGTGCAGTCCGGGAGCTGCGGGTGGTGAATGACTTCACCAGGCGCGGTATGGCGCTGATGTAGGTCTGGCTCTCATCAAAGACAAAGATTAGTGCCAGTTCTTCCTCCATGTTGTTGGAAAGATCACAGAAAACGCTAACCTGACGCCCGAAGATCGACTGCAACTGCTAACCAGGCTACACACAAAGGGATCTGGGTGCCCGCTGCCCATGATACCCCTCCCTCCAATGAGGCGCCAATAATCTACAAAAGAGGAGGAACTGGAGTACTGGAGTACATAGACCAGCGTTCCGGCGTGACCGAAACTGCGTGGAATATCAATAAACAATATGAAAATGACTAAGAAATGCCTTATTATCATCCGATTATAGCTTAATGGCAAAGTCAGAAGCGATTTTAATGAAATTGAAATTTGTTACCAAAATCTCAACTCTGACCTTGATTCGCGACCTCTAAACATCAATATTTTTCCATAAAAATTTGTCTACCTTATTTTTTACGGGAATGGAACCGGAAAACCACCCGCACGCATTAAAAATCAAAAATTGATTTTTAAGTGCCACCCTAGTCTAGAACACTTATCTGTGGCAAGTTGCAAGAGTAGATGATGTGCGAGACAAATCAAGTGCATAACTGAACACTTGAACACAAGTCTGAAATCAAACATATTTGCAAACAATATTAGGTAAAAAACAAATGATGAGAAATGATGATAAAAAACAACAAATGAAGACGCCGTGCGTCGCTGGGACAAAGTGGGACAAAGAGCCAGGGGTTAAGAATACGGCAGGGACACTGCTGAACGCTGATCATCTGAGCATGTACAGCCTACCGCTAAAGTAATGTAGGGTTTTACCAATCTCAACGGTTGGCTTTGACTGGCGATTGTTTAATGCGGAGTGATCGAAAAGAAGATGTCAATAGCAAAGTTGCAGCTGTAAGGGTGACGATACATATTAGCTACATTCAAAGTTTCATTGTAGTCTGGCTAATCGTTCCTAAGCTTCATAAGCAGAACATACCCATGACTGAAACCCCACATTACTTCTGCTGTGGACTGTACCTATGTCGGGACTAATAAAAAACATTCGCAAAATTAGGAACTAGAAAATTCTGGTAGATAGTTGTCAACTCTTCCTAACTCGAGTACTCAATGCCCCCGCACAAGGCATTAATGCACATTGCATAACACATAATCTGCCGCCCAGCCGCTGAGTGGGCAGCGCGGTAAAGCCCGCGTGACCACGGATCCCGTCACCGCGGAGATCGTGTCCCATCGTGTGCAGTGTGCAGTCGAGGGCAAACTGCAGAGTACAGGGCTCTGGCGCCGTAACCCACCATAGTAAGCAGTGGGTGGTCAACTACAGAGCTCTGCGCCACTATCTGCCAAACTACGGCGCACCAGGGACGAGCAGATATATAATCTCAATATTGGCCAGATATGCCCAGGGAAAACTTCCAAAAAGAAAATCTAAAAAGGAAACGAAGGTATAAAAGAAAGATGATATAAAACACAACTATAGAATACCGAAACTACAAAACGAAAACCAAACTACATGATAAAGGAAGGCGTCTCTTGAAATCTTTATCTCCCGACATGATGTCTTCATAACCAAATTGATAAGCATCAATCATGCGAGAAAGAAAAACGGAAAACCCCAACGGTCGAAATCATACCCGATGGTAGGCCCCGTCACCACAAATAACCGGCTATCTAGTGATGAAATCGATCTACGCGAAGTTTAAAATATTCAGGCAAAAGAATATCATTCGTCACCTTTCACCCTGTCGAATACCAACTTTGCGAATCAAATCACAAGATTCTCCTTACAACAAAAGAATCAGAAATGCCCATTCCCAATGATCATAAAAAGCTATCAAATAATAAATTCTGAGCTATAATACGGCAAGCGAAGAAGCTGGAACCTCAATGTTTCCGAACCAAGTGAAGTATCATCGTGCAAAGCTATATCCATGCAGCCAGTGTGGTCCAGTGAGTAGTTGCAGTGAGCGCTGTGCAAGCTACTCGGCTGGCCTCGGTCGGCCCCTACCTCGATCCGATTCGGTGACGGGATTTACCTGTAGGCTGCTGTCATCCCGCGACGCCGTAAAGAAACGAAACAGCAGCTGTAAGGCGGGCAACACGAGGGGGCCGTCCATTACTGGTCCGAGGGAGGGAGCCAGACGCCGCTTCACAGGGCCGGTGCGGAGCTTACAAACTATGGACATTGTAGACTGGACCTTAGTGATGCCACCACAAATATCAGCGGTTCCCACCAAATACCCCGACCTGGGTCTGCCTAATCGCTGAGTAATCTAGTTTGAGTAATCGCACGACTTTACCACAGAGAATGACACGTACAAAGGGGTGGCGCGCCCAAAGCGGGTTAGTTGACGCGTACTGATGCGAGACCGGCACGCCCACACACCCACCAACATTCACAGTTGCACCCCCCGCTGTTAGTCAAAGCCGACTCACTAACCCGGGGAAACGCACCCGCCGAAAACCGACCCAGTTACTCGGCTCGGACTCGGGCGACGCTGCGAACGTACTCACCATGAACATTGTGCCAGTTGTGTTACGTCGTCACCAATTCAGCCAGACCTAGAACAGAAAGACATGTGTAAGACAGGGCCGCGGTGGCTCATTGAAATACGCGTGTGTATATGGGAACGGGGCACAGGCTAAGGTGATCGTTGACTTGCTCCGGCAGTTAGCATTTCACGGGTTTGTTTGAGAGCTCTTCCTACACCCACTTACCCACCCACTTTGATCCAGTTTTTCCCTACTGTCCCACTCCCTGAACCCTCACTGCTTACACCCGCATTCCGTTTGCCCCATCATGGGGAAGCGGCGCCGTCAGCGCCCGCTTTCTGACTCCTATACCGACTCCGACTCTGACTCCCCTCCAACCTCTACTCCTGCTCCTGACGTCACTCCCGCCTCCATGGATACCGACTCCCGCCCAATCGTCACCCCTCCCTCCTCTGCCCGCCCCTCGACTGATCTACCCGGTACCGACCCTCGCTCGTCCACTGACCACGCCTCTGACCTTCGCTCGACCTCTGACCCCGCCCGGCACTCTGACCCTCGCTCGTCTACCGACCTCGCCCGGAGCCATGACCCTCGCCCGTCCACCGACCACTCCCGGAGCTCTGACCCGCGCACGAACTTAGACAACGCACCTGCCTGTGATTCGGTTGATCGCGCTCTGCTCGAGCCTTACTTGCCTCTCCACGGTTCTTTTCTGGTTATCAAGCCCTGCGACGACGACGTTTCTTTCCGGAAGATGAACGTTTTTTGGCCTAGGAAGCAGATCGCTGCTATCACTGGTTCCATGGATCTAGCTATCGAGGCTCCGGCAAACGGCACTCTGATCGTAAAAACAAACTCCCGAAAAGAAACCAAACCGCTTCTGAAGACCACGACTTTCTGCGGCAAGAAGGTGACAGTCTCGCTCCACCAAAGCCGAAACTCTTCCAAGGGCACGATTTTTGCTCCGGAACTCCGTCATATGTCTGAGGATGAGATTCTGTCTGAGCTGAGGGGTGATGGTGTAAAACACATCCGCCGCCTGACCACCTTCCGCGATGGGCAACGGCGAGACACTAGTCTGCTAGTTCTCACCTTTGACACGACGACTCTGCCTGAAAAGATCACGATCGGCTGGGTTAGGAAGGACGTCCGAGTGTTCATTCCCAACCCCCTCCGCTGCTTTAAGTGTCAGCGTTTCGGTCATGGTAGTTCTACTTGCCGCCAGTCCGCCAGATGCCAGAAGTGTGGAGAAGCCCCACACGAGGGCTCAGCATGCTCCACTCCAGTCAAATGCCTTAGCTGTGACAGCACAGATCACTCTGTTTCGTCCTCACAGTGCCCTGTCTGGCAGAAGGAAAAACGCATCTGTGAAGTGAAAGCCAAAACCGCCTGTTCCTATCCCGACGCACGACGCCGGGTAGAAGCAGAGAACGCCACTCCGACTCCGGGCAAATCCTATGCAAAAGCCGCCAGCACTCAAACTGTCTCATGCAGTACTCAGACCGAGCCGATCGCCGCGCTCCCTCCCCTGGAGCTTCTCAAGCCTCTCGCTCCCAAACCGGCCGCATCCACAAGCACGACCCAAACCACTGAGGCTATCGAGATCGATGAGCCAGTGCCCTCGCCTGACTCTCAGCCAGCTGTCTCTCCCGAGATCGCCCAGAAAACGAAACCGACCCCAGGAACAAGCCGTACTACTGACTGGACCAGAGTACAGGGGCGCAGCGGTGCCCATCCCCAGGCCTCCTCTCCTCGCACAGGGGATCGCCAACCACGTCCGCCGATTCGCGTCTCGATGGGTAGGAACCGCGCGTCGAGCTGGGCCTCGCCCAGCCGTGGAAACTCCTCTCGTCGACAACCATGAATACGCACACCATGCTACAATGGAACTGTCGAGGCCTGCTTTCTAAGTGGGCCGAACTAAAAAACTTTTTCTCTGTCTTAACACCGGTACTCATTGCTCTCCAGGAAACTTGGTTTTTACCAACTGATCAGTACAATTTCAATTTATCAAACTACACTTTATATAGGCACGATGAGCTTTACGGACAGCGCCGCCACGGTGGTGTGGCGCTATACGTACAGAATGATTATACACATAGCGAACTCGATATACACACAGATCTACAAGCCGTTGCATGTACCATGTACATCAACGGTAGAGACATAGATGTATGTAGTATTTATATTCCTCCGGATTTCGATAATTCCGAACTTCTTCGACAGCTCAACCATCTCGTTCAGCAATTCCGACATCCATTTCTTCTTATGGGTGATTTTAATGCCCACAGCCCAGCTTGGTGGGATGAACAGTTGTTAGACGGTAGAGGGAAAATAATCGAAGACTTTATTGACGTCCATAGGCTAGTTACCCTTAATCTTAACCAGCCGACACATTTTAATTTATCTCACAACACAGAGTCAGCCATTGACTTATCACTCTGTTCTCCGTGTCTCGCCCCTTGGTTTCTTTGGAGCGTTGATAGTGACATCCATGACAGTGATCATTACCCGATTTCTCTTAAATTTAGTTTTTCAGTTACCGGAATACCATCATTTGTTCCCCGTTGGAACCTTAACAAAGCCGACTGGGTGAAGTTCACCCAACTTTGTGAGGCTCAAATGCAGGATCGTTCTGCAAATCCAGAAGACGGAATATCTCACATTACAGAAACAATTATTTCAGCAGCCAAACAGAGCATTCCAATGACAAAAGCTTGTAAAAAAGGCAAAGCAGTACCATGGTGGTCACCGGTTGTGCAGCAGGCCATCGCTAAGCGAAAGCGAGCCTTTCGTACATATTTAAGACTCCGAACGGACCAGGCCTTAATCTCACGAAATCAGGAGCGCGCAAACGCCAAGCGTATTATCAAGATCGCTAAGCGTGAGTCATGGCAACATTTTCTTTCTTCGTTCACTTGTAGTACACCACTCAGTAAGATATGGGACTTGATCCGTAGAATGACTGGGAAGCAGACAAGTGCAACTTTCCCAGTTCTCCGTCTTCCAACGGGTCGTGTAGTTAGTGAACCAAAGGAAGTTGTCAATTCATTAGCATCACAAATTTCACACACTAGCTCCGACGCAAGATACTCTCCAGATTTTGTGGCTGCAGCACGTCGACGTTTTCAGGTTGATCATGCATCTTTTCATTCTAACAATGACGAAAGTTATAATGTTCCTTTCACTCTCCAAGAACTCAACAATGCCATAAGTGCCTCCGGGAACACCTCAGTCGACCCGGACAAATTACATTACGCCTTCTTTCGCAATCTTTCAGAGCGTTCGAGACTTTTGGTTCTCAAAACGTTCAATTCACTTTTTGCCAATCATTTATTTCCTGAAGAATGGAAGACAAGTACAGTAGCAGCGTTATTAAAACCAGGGAAAGCGACACACAATCCTACCAGTTACCGACCTATAGCCATGACAAGCTGCTTAGGAAAACTTTTGGAGCGCATTGTTTCTAAGCGTCTCTCGTTCATTCTCGAGCAGCAGGACATGCTTTCAAGATTTCAATGTGGCTTCCGAAACAATCATAGTACAGTAGATCAATTAATTCGACTTGAAAGCGATATTCGACTAGGTTACAAAAAGAAACAACACACTACAGCAATATTCCTAGACATTAAAAGTGCATACGATATGGTCTACAAACCAGCCTTGATTTGGAAACTCAAGAAACTTGGAATTAAAGGAAATCTGGGCTATTACTTACTCAATTTCCTCACTGGTTCCAGACGTTTTCGAGTTAGGCGTCGTTCGATTTTTTCCGACTTCTTTGAAACTGAAAACGGTCTTCCGCAGGGCAGCTGTCTTTCTCCTCTGCTTTTTAACATTATGATTGATGACTTATTCCATGATATTCCTTCTGGAGTTAAGTTTTCTTTATTTGCGGATGATAGTGCCATATGGTGCACTACACCCGATTATGACGTAGGCATTCAAAGATTACAAGCTGCACTCGAAAATCTTGAAAGATGGTCTGATAGATACGGATTAGAATTTTCTCCAGAGAAATCTGCATTGATGATCTTTTCGAAGCATGTTTCTCTTCGACCTTCACGCCTTCCAACTTTGAAAAACAAAGATATTCCACTGGTACCTCACTTTAAGTTCTTAGGAGTCGTCCTTGACCCACGGTTGAATATGCACAAACACATAAAACACATACGAACAAAGTGCCAAAGAAGACTTAATTTATTCCGGTGTCTGCTTAGTACACCAGCTGGCGCAGATCGACTTACTTTACTGCGTCTTTACAAAGCACTTGTTCTTCCAGTGATAGAATATGGTTGTGCGATGTACGCTGGCGGTAGCCATGCAGCTCTGCAAAAGCTAGAGGTTGTGCAAAATAATTTTCTTAGGCTGGCATTAGGCGCCCTTAAAACCTCTCCAATACATTCTCTTCAAGTAGAAGCAAACATACTTCCCTTACACATTAGACGCATCGACCTTACCTTACGATATTATGCGAAGATTAAACAGTTTCCGGAGCATGCAGCATTCGCAGCTTCGTGTCGGGACGCGGCCGGCCGGCCGCGGACCATTTTCAGAAGTGGCGGGCAGACCGTGCGTCGAGTACTTGCTTTCTCGCGCGGCGGTACTGGGGTTCACTAGCATTGTTTAAAATATTTTCATTTGCCATGAACTTGAAATTATACACTGTAATTAACGATCATTTGTCAATTATTACAAGTTCTTCAAAATTCTTCTTTGAAAGCAAATGATTTCATTTCACTCAAGAATTGTCTTGTCCACCACTACAACCGCCACCCAGCCGCCATCCATTGGAACAAGGCCCTATATACCAGGTAGGGTCGTCCGGCGATTCTACCTTTTCGTGACGTCAGCTCGTGACGTCATTTGGAGTCAAGTCTCGAAGCCCCGTTCAATCCCCATGTAAATGAGCGATTTTCGAAGCACTGTAGAATGAAGTCTGCACAAGATATATCAAACCTAAGTATCTTATCTGAAAGAGCAGACAATTTTCTGCAAGTTATTTTTAACGTGTTTTTCGCTAAATCTTTTGCTTTTTTCACAAAAGCGTAAAATGTCCCCCCATGTCTCCGCAGCCTCCCTGCCGCCGGCCGCCGCGCGGTCGCGGTAGTGTAGTGGTTAGCGTGCCCGCGTAGTATTCCAAAGGTCCCGAGTTCGAATCTATGCGGTGCGGAACTTTAATTGCAATTCCAAGCTGAATATATGCACATCCATAATAAATTATTATTCGTATAGCTAAACTGTCACCAAGCTATCCATATAAATTGACTTCACCCAAAATATCGGCAAGATTCTATTAAAATATAAATTCAAATATGGCGGCTTGGACTGCCGCGTGCGTTAGGCTCCGCCCATAGCTCCGCCCACATGCGTGACGTCATTCGTGTTAGTGGACACACGCGGAGATAGGGGACGACATGGGCCTGCATTGGAAGAGATAGGCTCTGCGGCACAAAGTGTCGTTTTAAACTGGACTGGGAACCAATGTGTGATGACATTTCGAGCTAAATTTATGCTCATTGTGTACCTAGAAGCATTGGGAACAACGCTCTGACTGTACATTTTTAGATTTTTGCCTCTAAATGAAAATATTTACAATCAAGTACTTTGCGAGCGCAGTTTAGAAGCTCCCGTAATGTTAAAGTCCTATCTCCTACAAGTATGTAAATACTGCTCTAGGGAACCAACAGTTTGCATCGTACTAGCTTTAAATTATATCCATATTGTTCCCAGTACTTTGCTGAACACTGTGGTGAGTGTACATTTTTCGTTTTTTGCTTTACAAGCGTAAAATTCGTCTGGTTCTACACCACTTCATTCGCCTCCATAGCCCGGTAACGGCGCCGCGCGGCGCGGCCGGCCGGCGCCCGCTGTAGTTCCAAACACTGCCCGATAGATGGCAGGCGCAGAAGTGGTCCCAGCCGTCCCGGTACGTTAGGCCGCGTTCGATGTCTCCTCGGACGAAGAACATTCTACGCAGAATATTCTATTTTGCGTTCGATGAAGCACACAGGTGGACGACGAGACCGGCCATTTTGTGCGCCACTTACACAATGTGCGTCAGTTTCGAAAAAGGCCCAAGTTTACGTTTCCATAGAGACCGCGCACAAATGTCAACAACTTCTGCAAACAGCTGCTGCGCCGCTTTTGAAATACGCGCCATCATTGCCTCTCTGCCCACCGTAGTACGCTCAAAAGATTCTGCGCGGACGACGAAGATTCTACGTGACGTTACGTAGAATCTTTGCCGTCCGTGCGACATCGAACGCCATTTCGGGCCCGGACGGCATAGAATCTTTGCCGTCCGGGAGACATCGAACGCGGGGTTAGATGTGCTCCCTCGACTGCATTTTAATTATCTCGGACGATGCGAAAAACGAACAGGCCTTACGATAGCATCTAGAGTTCGAAAATATGAAGAAGAATTGGGTTACAACATGCCTGCTGTTCTTCCACTACCTCGTCTTGGGTTCGCACCATGGTTATTCCATCATCTCGCTATTTCTTTGCTTTTCACAACATCCAAAAAGTCTCTCTCGCCTGAAGAGGTCCAACAAACGTTTTTGAAATATCAGACAGAAAATGCAACATATCGTTTCATATACACAGATGGGTCGAAAGCTAACGACCTCACCGGTATAGGCATTTTCTCTCCAGATTTCATTAGGATGCGGAAGAGGCTCATCAATAACACTTCAATATATTCTGCTGAATTATATGCAATCTTAGTCGCACTCCAGCTGATCAAACAATATCGTGTCCAGAGAGCTTGCATTTGTTCCGACTCGAAGTCCGCTATTCAAAGCCTTCAGAATTTGAACACCTCACAACATACACACATAAGTATAGCCCAAATTCACCAGCACCTTTCGGAGATTGGTACCAAAGTACAGTTTTTATGGATACCTGGTCATGCTGGCATAATGGGAAACACCATGGCTGATCACTATGCCAAGAAAGCCTTGAAACTTCCACACATTTCTCAAGCACACTTCGATATTGATTCTATTCGCACTTCCATCAAATCTCGCTGCAATCATCTTTGGCAACTCAATTGGAATACCAACGGACCAGGCTCACATCTTTATCGAATCAAACCAAAGATCGGATGCTGGTCATCTTCTACTAGACATTCCAGAAAAGAAGAAAAGACGCTAGCTAGACTTCGCATCGGCCATACTTATCATACTCACTCATTCATTTTTGATCGTCGGCCTCGGCCCACCTGTCCCCGTTGCAGAGTGCCACTTAGTATTGAGCATATCCTCTTGCACTGCCACAAATATGATAATGAAAGAAACGTTCTGCATCAATATTGTAGGCAGAATGCACTACAACTTACGGTACCGGTTTTATTAGGAAATGATTATGAAGACCTCTTACATCTCTTATTTTCATATCTTACCGCAACAAATCTCATAAATCGTTTATAACATTCACATACTACAACACAACACACTAGACTTCACAATATATTAACCATGCTACGTATATAAGTATATCGTTGATCAACACAAACGGTGCGCAATGGTCCGCAAGGTCCGAAGCACCTATTCAACAAAAGAAAGAAAGAATGGGAACGGGGGGAGGGGGGTCGGAGCTTGTGACACTCGAACAGTTTTTCTTTTATTTCCATGCCGCCAATGGAGCAAAGTCCCACAGAGCATGTCCAATGCTTTCTATGGGTCTATGGGACACTTTTTATTCCGTAAGCGCAGTCTTGCGAAATTCCCACTAAATCAGGCAAACGGTGAACCATGAGTGGGGATCAATAAGCAAATGCAATTCTTCATAAACTATATTTTCAGAATATACCAGTGCAAAAAAAGTATGTTGAGAACCAATGGTCTTGAGTCTTTAGACCGCACACACTCAATTATAGCAGCTACCACTTGCCACCACAAGACAATCCCTGCTGCACCCTGCCCACGCGCACACCGGACGCGCTCTGTTGGAAAAGTTGGCTCACAGAGCGGAATATGGACTGTCACACCGTGACTGGGCGGTCCGTAAAGTACCAGCGACCACGTGACTGGGCGGTCCGTAAAGTACCAGCGACCACGTGACTGGACGGTCCGTACAGGGCCAGCGACCACGTGACTGGGCGGCGCGGATCGGGCGTCTGGTCGGCACACGGCGAGCCCAGTCCGCCAGTCTCCAGACGAGCCCACTCAAACCGGCGCTGACCGACTCGAACTCCGAACTTCAGACTGCGATCACAGCGTAATGGGGAGGAGCTGAGACAGCGCTGTGCCATACATACTGAGTGTTGGGTCACGGTGGGGGCCGATAGCCGCGCCGCTCGGCCGCTGGCCGCCTGACACGACTCGGTGGCGTGATGGGGGTGGGGTGGAGGGCGGCCCCTATCTATCGCACCCGCCACGTGGCCTGGAGGCAGTGATGGGGGTGGGGTGGCCGGCGGCCCCTATCTATCGCACCCGCCACGTGGCCTGGAGGCCGTGATGGGGGCGGACCCGACGGCTCGCACTGAGTATCTTCGTGTGCGCAAATATTCGAGCACAATTATTCGACCACTGCAGTCTTCGTAATCGCGGGTCTACGTCCATCCACATCAGGATATCTGTGACCATGACCCTTAGGCCTTAACCCACAACACTCCCTAACCCCTTCACCAAATGTAACCCAAAGATCCTCACCCCTATCGGCTACCAGAGATAACAATTCCGAGAGCGTGAAACTATGGAGGTGGGTACGGGAGGGGGATCGAGACTAGGACATCCTGATCCCAGTTTGAGAGATTATATCAAAGGTAATGTTTCCTATGCGTGGATTAAAAAAAAAGGATATGCGTGGACGAAATAATTGCGAACACAGATTGGTAACGACGGAAATGTTCGAGCGTTTAAAACCATGAAGGCCCGAAAACAGTATTTCAAATGTATTTATAAGTCTTACATACTTATACGAGAAGGACAATCTGTAAATATTTGCCTATATGAATATAGGTGAAAAATAATATTTGTGCAAGAGATTCTCAAACAAATGCAGACAAACCTCTGCTGACAAATATTTGGTATGTCAGTCCCATTCTATAAGAAGGTTAAACACAGGAACCATTCAACTAACAACCAGTCAGTTTAACTGCATCGCATATTGAAACCGGAAAAATCCTGGAGTAGAATGCCTCTTGGGGCTGCGGTAAACCATTACGGTAAGAAATCACCTTTCCCGCATCTGAATGCGGGAAAATAGTCCTTGCAGCCAGCAGTACCCATGCTTATCGTCCTTGCAGCAACCGGCTCCTGGAGGTCTTTGACGACTGACTAGTAGCCACTGCCCACTAGTCATAGGGCCTGTTCCAGCGCCTCCAGAAACCTCCAGAAAGCTCCAGAAAGCTCTAGAATCCTCCAGAGAGCGTTCCAGCGCCTCCAGAAAGCTCCAGAAAGCTCTCGCCAAAGCTCCAGAAACCTCCAGTAGCCTCCAGAGAGTTGGGAGGTCCAAATTTCTCTGGAGGCTCTGGTCTACAATTATGGCGCGCATGTGACAATCACGAATGTAAGCAAAGGACTTTTGACTGACTATTTTACAGCTTGAATGTAATAAAAATTACATTGCTATAATTTTGTTAATCTTTCTTAATAAAATTGAAAACAAATTTAGCGTTTAAAGAGAGAACAATCGTCATACTTTTGGTATCTGTGATGCCAACCTCCAGAAATCTCCAGATTGCGTTCCAGCGCCTCCAGTGAAACCTCTGGTAGAGCCTCCAGTCAAGAATTTCTACTGGAGGCGCTGGAACAGGCCCATATACCCTCGCACTCAGCGAACGTGGCTCCGCTGGGAACGAGGAACGCGCCGCATCGGCCGAAACCAGACTGGAAAACATCCACACACTACGCCGGACGCCCAAGAGACCCTCATCGCAAGACGTGATTTTGCGCTGAAATTTCTGCATGATTTGCGCCGAAAGATGGGTGCCTATTTGCGTCAAAATTAAGCAGCCTTTACATAAAGAACACGTGTGCAGTGTGCACATCTACCGACCAAAGCTATGTTAACCAGACAGAGCGTTGCGGACCTTGGACGCTCTCCCATGTCCGAATTAGTTGATGTTTTAATGGAAACCCAATACCACAATAAGCGTAGCGCACTGTATATAGGTACCGTCGTGCCGTGAAACAAGGCCCGGGCCGGAAGTTCCGGGGCCACAACAATCGGCGGGGCAGTGTGTTCGAGGCTGGCGGACGCCGGCGAGGGCCAGGCAGCGGAGCAGCACGTGCTCAAACACATCAGCCTCTTGTGCGAGCACCGCTTGTCCGGGCACTGCTGGCACGCCGCGGAAGGGAGACGGCAGATTCGGTGCTCGTACTGGAGCATAACTCGGCCGGTTCATTATGCGGCCTCGCGTCAATATAGCGCGACAACTGGTTCGAGTTACTATCCAAGCCACTCTTCGGGAGCACGCTGCCGTTCCCCATCCCCAGAGAGGACAGAGAGGACGCGGTTTCGGTGCACCAGATGAGGGCGAGCCACTGGGGCCCCTCGCTCCAGTACGTGCACCGAATCGGCCGTCTCCCCTCCGCTGTGTAACAGTAGTGCCCGGACAAGCGGTGCACCGCGACGCTCTACGCCATGTGCTGGGAAGAGGCTGGTGTGCCCGAATGTGTGCTGCTCCGCTGCCCGGCCCTCGTTGGCGCCCTTAGTGGAGGTGTGCCCAGTATCAATTAGTTCACTGTATCCGCACAGATGACAGAACATGGCAAGTGATTCTAGTCATTTATGACCTTGACTGGTAATGCATTTCACTGTATCTACAATAGGTGTCCGTTTGGAGTTAAATAAAACACTGCAGATATCCACTTGTATCCCAGGCCGTGTGTATGTCGAAGAAGTCCTCCGGATTCGGGTCCAGCCGTGCAGCATTACTTTATCTTCTGTATACCCCAGTAAGGTTCATTTTTACAATCGGTAAAATCAATATGAATTATGAACACACAAACCTATCCGACAATAGCTGTCTTAAGAAATTGGTCATTATGAAATTGTTCCCAATTTTAGGTGCGGCATTCCCATAATAAGGAACACTGACAGCGCCAGTGCATGAAAGCACTCCCAAATTTGAGAACGCAGCGAAGTCAGTGAGATTGAGATGAGAACTCAAACTGATTCAAGGCGTATACATGCGTAGCGTAGGTACCTACCTGCAAATTGGCCAGCTGGCAGCTGGAAGCTAAGATAACAAAGCTTGGTTTACAAAAATGTTTTTAATATTTCTGGTCTATCAAAAACATTTATATTTCTGACCACCTGTAATGACTATACCGCTTCCACCAAGGCCATCTATAGAATGTGTAGATTGTAGAATGGTGTAGAATGTAGAGAATTTGATGACCAATATTCACGCCCCCGCCCAAGGCTATATAAACCTGAGCGCTGTTCGGCAGCCGGCTATTTTGTGTGCAGGGTATGACGTATTTCGCGAGCCGACGTCACAGGCGGTGACGTCGGCTCGCGCGCGAGCCGAGCGCCAACGACAAACTAACGGGAACCCTCGGACACCCTCGGGGCATAAACCGCGGAGTAGCATATTGAGCGAGTCTTATAAGGAAAATTCATATATTTTCGTTTCTCAAATGATAATCAGGGTGTCTCTTACCTTTTTACATTTCATTTAGGCTTACCTAACACTTCAGTTGCCAAATATATGCAATTTATTCAAGCGAAGGTATTTTCAATAAATATCAATGGTATAGACCGAAATCTTTTGAATAAAAACTCCAACCAACAGAAATAAAAATAACTTAATTTATTCCAACCATTTCCTCCAAATAAACAACATAAAAACTCACTTTTACACACATCATTAACCCTGTTTACATAGCATTTAGACATTTCCCTAGCTGGCCTAGAGATATCACAAAACTGGCCAGTGACCTTTTGCAACTACACAAGTGACTGTATTCAATGCTACGAGGAGCACTTTTTCTGAATTCAGGCATGATACATCAATAAATTGCAATAAATAGGTTATTTTCGGCTCGAAAAAAGGGTACTATTTCATGCGTACAAAGACTACTTGCAAGCACCATATCTGCTGCCATATCTCCCTGCACCCCTTCGTAAACACTTTGCCATATTAGCTAAATCAAGCTATATAAATCACAACATATGCAGATATTCCTTACAAAAACAAAATATAAAGCGATATATAATATAAACAAAAGTAAGATATAAAAGGCTGTAAAGAAAAACATCTTAGAAAACAAGTATTTGGCCCACCACTAATATCGAGTACTGCTGTCTCTCGGCAGACAGCTCTGCACTCTGATTGGTGGAAATCAAGGCTAACTAGTGCTGGGCAACGAAGTTATGACCAAGTACAGCATGCTTAGGAACGATGATGACGTAGTTGGGGGTGGTAGATTTAGCGTGAAGACCCACCAACAGATTATTTCCTGTCTTATTACTATTGGCAAAAATAGCGAAGTTGGGTTTATCAACAACAGCATTAAGGGTTCTTTTCTGAAAATATAAAAGGATTCATCAGACTTTTCTAAAAACATCAAAATATGACTTCTAAGTGGATCACCTGAACCGCCACAAAATAGCTTGAACGCCGTGGCTCCCTAATGACGTCATTTTCTGATTAGCAAATCAGCGCCGAGCAAGGCTTACTCTGATTGGTCAGAGAAATATCGGGAGTTTTATGTTGAGGGGACCGGATTGCGCCTTTGGTTAGGAATTTTTCACGGCGGTGGTAAAATCCTCTGGCTTATGCTCTGGCTTGTCTAGCAGTGCCATCTATAATAGAAGTCTTCAACTAGCAGTTTGGCACTTATGATCGCCTAGATGACGCTACCAATCGGTTTAGGTATTTGTTTGACTTGATGAATGAGCGCAACGTGATTAAATAGGTAATTACTGACTCTCGAATCTGCTTAGAAAGTCATTTAGAGCGTATGTGATACTTGCTACCAAATATCTTACGCACTCAGTTTCTGCTTGGTGTTTCCATGCCTTTTGAATCGATCAAGAAAATGTCACTGCTCAGAGGTTGAAGGTAAGCGGGAAAAGGGGTGTTACATATTTGATCTTTCTATAAATGAATGCAGAATATGAATAAATGCAATCCACTAAATATAAGCTGCAAGGAGTTCATCGAACTCAACAATCAGCTTTATTTTCATCGCTTTCATGGAAACAACTTAGTCTTATGCTTAAATGTTGGGTAAAAACTTTGCAATATTCCACTCATATGATGCCCAAATGTACGACGTACAATTCATTTGAAGCCCATGCGTCGTTTATTATCAAAACTACATAACATGAAGAGCATCATAAACTTGGCAGGCTTTTTCTATTTGGTGGCCAGAACTCCATTACCACATTTCTAGATTTTGTATTTGCTGCGCAGCATTTGTCGACATGGCGGAGGCCGAGTCCGAACACCTGAAAGTAGATCGAGCTGGCATGTGAATCTGGCAACTCCTATGTAAACGGGGCTATTCATAATAAAGCATACTAACACGCCGCTTTTGACAATTGCGGCGTCGAGTGGCGCGCTGCTAGCGCTCTTTTTCGATCGCAGAGACCCTGCACGCGCGCGAGCACACTACGTCACGTCCGGGGGGCACAGGTATATGAAAAATCGCAGTGACGTAACACTTTTCTCGCTTCTCATTGGTCAATAGCCCGTTGCCGGGGTAACGTGCACGTATGTGAGCGCGGGCAAGAGTACTAGCCGGCCGCCGATCAGGGCCCTGTTTCACCGGTGATAGCAGCAAGCTGCTATCACGTTTCGCGAGCTGACGTCATGTCGTGACGCCATACTGTTGTCGTAATGGGTAGTTCCGGCGCACGATTGCCGCGACCTTGGCGGCGGCATTAAGTGACGTATGAGCCTAAAAGTAAGAGTTTACGCAGTCATGATAGTATATATATTTTTGATATATATTTTTTCAATATGATGTATTTAAAAGAAGTTGGGTTTAGGAAAAATTTGGACATTAACTTCGAACATTTAGCTGATGACGTAAAACAATATTGCGGCAATCGTGCGCCAGAATTGCCCCTTACGTCAGCAGTATGACGTCATCACATTACGTCAGCTCGCGCAATTTGATAGTAGCTTGCTGCTATCACCGGTGAAACAGGGCCCAGAGCTCTGGGCCCTGTTTCACCGGTGATAGCAGCAAGCTACTATCAAATTGCGCGAGCTGACGTAATGTGATGACGCCATACGTAAGGGGTATGGCGTCATCACTGACGTAAGGGGCAATTCTGGCGCACGATTGCCGCAATATTGTTTTACGTCATCAACTAAATGTTCGAAGTTAACGTCCAAATTTTCTTTAACCCAACTTATTTTAAATACATTATATTAAAAAATATATATATTAAAAATAAATATACTATCATGACTGCGCAAACTCTTACTTTTAGAGGCTCATACGTCACTTAATGCCGCGGCCAAGGTCGCGGCAATCGTGCGCCAGAACTGCCCATCACGTCAACAGTATGGCGTCATGACATGACGTCAGCTCGCGAAACGTGATAGCAGCGTGCTGCTATCACCGGTGAAACAGGGCCCTGGGCCCTGTTTCACCGGTGATAGCAGCACGCCGATTTTACGACTTGTCAAATTGGGTTTCCATGGAGACATCAACATGCCCATTGCTCCAACACTACCACAAGTGTGACGTCAGCTCGCGCAATTTGATAGCAGCGTGGTAGCAGCAGCCCGTGAAACACCGCCCTGATATAAACCCGCCCTAGGACTGTACGTAAATGAAGACTAGCCTCGAGGGAATTCTCTTAGCTATTGACGTCATCATATTGAATATATCTGCTTATTTGCATTTGAATAAAGCTGATAAAAATATTCACAACAACAAAATTTTGACTATTATCGCTTGAAATAGCTTCATACAAATTTCTGACAAAAATTTCTTTGAATTAAAATTCATAAGACAAATGATTTTTATATATCACGTGACTAAAGGAACCTTGACCTGCCTGAAACTCTTTTGTCTAGCTTCGACCAAATTGAGTCGCCATGTATTGCTACCATATCTAAAAAAAAACTTCAGCTCAACTCAAGGCCATGCTCAACTCGAGTTTTGCGGGTTTTGCATCAGCGCTTTTGGGTTTGCTGTTTTGTTGGGTTTGCTTGTTTAATTTTTAATTTTGTCCTTATACTCTATAGGCAAAGTTCTTGCATTCTCTCTTGAAGTGCAATCGATTATTTTTTTAATCAAATTTGAATTGTATGAATTGGAATAGACGACATGATCCATACCGAATAAAGCAAGAACTTGGAATGTGAATTCAAATTCAGAATTATCACACTTGATTGTATTGTATGTATTCGATTCGAGGGAATGACAATAATTACACATGGTATTTTAGGATTGTATAATTGTTGTCATTCACTTAAATACAAAGGATTTGGAAGCTCAATCCTGGAAGTTGAATTTATAACATTTGATACATCACAATCATGGATACATCTGAGGGTTAACCTGCTACTTACCATCAGCGAATTTTACCTATTTAACTGACCCCTGCATGAATTCGGCACTTGTGTAGCATGTAGACAATAGATAGTATTGCGCACAATCCTAAATGCTAGTTTATGACAAGACTAAGATACCCAGTATGATTGGTATTCTGCACTCTAGTCTCTTAGCAGACGTTGCCCTTGCTGCCATATTGATATCTACATATCACGGGCCCCACAATTGTCTTTTCACAGTCAAATATATAACAAAACATAATCTAACCTGACCTAACCCTACCTACAACCTACCAACCTACAACCTGCAACTTACAACCCACCAACCTACAACCTACCCTACTAGATATGGCAGCAGGGGCGACATCTGCTAAGAGAATACCGTATGATGTTCTGGGCCCTGTTTCACCGGTGATAGCAGCACGCTGCTATCAAATTGCGCGAGCTGACGTAATGTGATGGCGTCACACTAATGACGTTTCGTGTAGGTAACCGTGAGCTTTTTCATAGCTGTGTTTGGAACAGGGCTGCTGTCTTGTTGAATACGTTTGATACATTTGTTTGATCGGACGGCTGTGAAGATGTTAGCAGCAATATTTGATGACATCACACAGGTTGACGACGTCTTGGTTTGTTGAGGTTTCCATGGAAACTCAATTTGACACTTGTAATAGCAGCGTGCTGCTATCACTGGTGAAACAGGGCCCTGAAGTCCACGCTATTGAAAGCCCAATTTCAGGTGTTTGACCTGATCTTGACCTGATGTTTAGCCTTTAACTTTATTTTTAAGGTACTTATCAGAAGTGTCATGTCTTGCTCTTTTTATAAGTTTAGTCGGAACCCTTTTAATGGAGTGATTCACAAGGACAGAGCACCCACTAAGCAGAGCTTGATGCATTGGCCCTGCACTCTATCAGGTCATTTCCCTATTTTGCACTCTTTTTAAAACTGAAGAAATTCACAAAACAAAATCATGAAAAGAAAGAACACATTGACATCCTTCTAAATTAGAAAAGTGAGATCACACATAGATGCTTATGATACCGTAAAACGGGGTGTTAAGGGACAGTTTTGAGGTGTTTTGTTATATAACTCAAGAAGGGTTGGAGATAGAAGCATCAAATTGTCAGCATTTTATGTGGAATTTGGTGCTTTACATGCCTGCTATAAAAGAGTTTTTAAGCTTTATACCTGCATATTATTTTTCATTATTTTTCATCACTGTCCCTTAGCACCCCAATGTTGGGTGTTAAGGGACACCTATATTATTCCAAGAAATGGTCATCAAATGCCCACAATTGGGGTGTGGAAGGGCACACAATTTATTTATTGAAATGTTTTGCATATTCTGTCACAAAACAAGTAAGGTTCATTCACCACTAATGACCTTTTTAGCCAATTATGTGTAATGCAGTTTACGCTTGTGGAAAATGTGCTAATTATAAGGTAAACAGAACCAAAAAGTACCCATCTGTCATCAATAAAAACCCATGTTGAAGCTAGTCACTAGTCATTATGTTGCCCTCTTTGTTTTAGCCTTTTTATGATGACATCACATTTACCTACATCAGTCTCCATTGACCCATCATTGTAAAAGAGAGTGTTGAGATGTTTTGTTACATAACATAAGATGTGTTAAAGATAAAAGCATGAACTTGCCAGCATTTTATGTGGAATTTCGTGTTTTCCATGCCTACTGAAAGAAAACTTAATGAAATTATATTTATATATTATTTTTTATTTTTTCTTCCCTATCCCTTAGCACCCCACATCCACCTCAAAATATGCATGTATCCGGAAAAGAGGAAGAGGATGATGAATGAATGGGTGGATTTGCACAAGTTTTTCAGGAAACATGTGCAATACATGTGACAATACACCTATGCATTCATTTTCCCTGTACACCCACTAGTTTATGTGGTACACACAGAGTTTTGGAGATGTTTCAATTTTGTGAAAATGTAGCATGATTTTCAAATCCATTTTTGAACCAAATCACTTGCATGAAAAACCATACCAGCATGGGTGGAGAATGTTTGAAAAAGTTACCCCGGCCGGCGACCGATAGTCGCGGGAAGACGATATACTCACGTTGTTCTCAACGGTCATCATCAAACCCCTATTCTGACGCATGGAATAGGGTGCTGTGTTTGCTCAAGGATGAGCGTTGTATCCGACACCGTATTATTCATAACATTTTTGGAATGATCGAAAAGGCAATTTCCTTTTAAATTATTATTTCTTTTTACTTAAACTTCCAATTTCACACCGAACCCAAACCAAACCATATGCCATTTTGAGTACCTAAATGTTGCGTTTTCAGCTTTTCATTGTGTCTCAAAATAGCTACAAAAAGACAACTCACCATAGTAGAAGCTTTACAGAGAAATTGACAGATCGAACCAAGCAAAGCACTAAAATAGGTCACTGACATCCACGGGCGTAGCCTTTTTCAATGTTGGGCGGCTCTTATAATACAAACAGGGAGTCGATCCAGGAATATCGACCGGTCCCGGTCTCGTAGCTCAGTTGCTAGAGCGTTGGATTCCGCGTGGCGAGAGCACGCGGCCCGGTTACAACAGTCCGAGTTCGATGCATGATGGCCGCTCGGTGTTTATGAGCACCCTGACGGGTACGCTCATAAACGGGTGTGGTTGCGGTTGGTGGCAGGTCAGTTGGAGGCAATGAGGTCAAGCAGTAGTTTTGAAAAAGTGCGCCGAAGGCGCGCCAAAATTTCGAAACTGAACAGGATTTGAGAGCAATCTTGGCATTGGCGACCACACGCGGGTCTTAGGGTTGGAGATTATGGCAAGTTAAGTAAATGGTAAATACCTACCTGATTTGCAATATTACGCCCATGGAAGTCAACATTCGAAGAGCGTGAGTTTTCTTTTCTCGTATGGAGACAGCTTTTAGGATTTACAAGAGTAGAAAAGTTACCCCGGCCGCGCCGGGGTAGGCTGAAAGTTACCCCGGCCACGGCCGGGGTGGCCGGGGCAGGTTCTCCACCCATGCATACCAGTTTGTCCTATGGTCAAGGGCAAAACAGTGTCAACTACCACACTGAAGTTTTTATTGAACCTTCTCAAATTAGGAAGTTAATATGACTCAAAGTTTTTCCCATGCAACTGTCCCTTAGCACCCCCCATTTTACGGTACTTTTTACACAAAACATAGAAGTTACACCCAACCACTCATTGAGGATGGGTAAGGTTATGTGGTACCTATATAAGTAGATTCAGGTTGTAGGCTAGGTTGTAGGTTAGGTTGTAGGTTGGTAGGTGCAGGTTGGTAGGTTGTAGGTTGGTAGGTTGTATATTGGTAGGTTGTAGGTGTAGGTTAGTAGGTAAGGTTAGGTCAGGTTAGATTGGATGTTTTTATTTCTGCTTGTATTGTACATCATTAAATGATTGTATGAACATTTTTTTCTAGGTTAATACATGGTTTGTGGCAATATGGTGTGGTTTTTATTCAATTTTTAGCCCAGTGGCCGTATCCACAATCACTGGTTAAGGGTAGGGGTAGGTGTAATGGGTAACAGGTTATTTTTTTGTGGCCGTATTCACAATCGAAGTCTACCCCTGATGGTAGCGTGGCGCCACGCAGACGGCACCACGCAGGCCAGGTGCTGTTTGCGTGGCGCCGGGCGACCATCAGGGGTAAACATCGATTGTGAATACGGCCACAAAAATAACCCGTTACCCGTTACTCTTGCCCAACACTTAACCCGTGATTATGAATATGGCCACAGGGTGCAAAAGAGGGATTTGGCAATTGACCGTCTATTCTCCAATCACGCAATTTCTGTTCTATGGCAGAATTTAGAGTCCTAAGTTAAATGTGCACACAGCACACATCGCTGCGCATGTTCGGTCCCCTCACAGACTTTCACTGGCTGATTTGGTGGTTGGTGACTGCCTGCCACCAACCGCAAATATACCTATTAGGAGGCTCATAAACATCGAGCGCCTGTCTGCTTCAAACCCGGACTTTTATAACTGGGAGCGCGAGATCTCACCACCTCTCACCACACAGAGTCCAATGCTCTACCGAGGCTGAGCTATGGGACTTTCATTTGCTGTCTCCCCCATGCTTACTAGTTACCGTAAAATGGGGTGTTAAGGGACAGTGGGGTGTTAAGGGACAATTGTGTGGGAAAAACTTTGAGTCATATTAACTTCCTAATTTGAGAAGGTTCAATAAAAACTTCAGTGTGGTAGTTGACACTGTTTTGCTCTTGACCATAGGAGAAAATGGTATGGTTTTTCATGCAAGTGATTTGGTTCAAAAATGGATTTGAAAATCATGCTACATTTTCACAAAATTGAAACATCTCCAAAACTCTGTGTGTACCACATAAACTAGTGGGTGTACAGGGAAAATGAATGCATAGGTGTATTGTCACATGTATTGCACATGTTTCCTGAAAAACTTGTGCAAATCCACCCATTCATTCATCATCCTCTTCCTCTTTTCCAGATACATGCATATTTTGAGGTCGATGTGGGGTGCTAAGGAACAGGGAAGAAAAAATAAAAAAATAATATCTAAATATAATTTAATTAAGTAGGCATGGAAAACACCAAATTTCACATAAAATGCTGGCAAGTTCATGCTTTTATCTCGAACACATCTTAAGTTATGTAACAAAACATCTCAACACTCTCTTTTACAATGATGGGTCAATGGAGACTGATGTAAGTAAATGTAATGTCATCATAAAAAGGCTAAAACAAAGAGGGCAACATAATGACAAGTGACAAGCTTCAACATGGTTTTTTATTGATGACAGAAGATTACTTTTTGGTTCTGTTTACCTTATAATTAGCACATTTTCCACAAGCATAAACCGCATTACACGTAATTGGCTAAAAAGGTCATTAGTGGTGAATGAACCTGACTTGTTTTGTGACAGAATATGCGAAACATTTCAATAAATAAATTGTGTGCCCTTCCACATCCCAATTGTGGGCATTTGATGACCATTTCTTGGAATAATATAGGTGTCCCTTAACACCCCACATTGGGGTGCTAAGGGACAGTGATGAAAAATAATAAAAAAATAATATGCAGGACAAATCTTAAAAACTTTAATGTGGCAGGCATGTAAAGCACCAAATTCCACATAAAATGCTGACAATTTGATGCTTCTATCTCCAACCATTCTTGAGTTATATAACAAAACACCTCAAAACTGTCCCTTAACACCCCATTTTACGGTACTGGTTCTTGAACTGGGGGCGTTTACCCCCCCCCCCCCCCGCGCCCCCCCCCCCCAGGCCCAGTAAGTGGTGTGTGGTGAAATACCCTGGCAGCTGCCAGGTTAATCAAAAGTTGAACATATTGCAGTCCGAAGATGTGGCAACACGGGTTCGGAGAGGCCGACGTAACCTTGCGTTTTCATTGTATTTAATTCATCTGCTCTGCGAACTCAAGCTGCAAACTCGGCTTCCAATGACCCCACACCGACAGCAGCTGAGGGCTCATGCCGGCCTGTGGGAGCCTCACGCTGGAGCTGAAGGAGAACACACCGACCTCTGAGGGATATACCAGGTGTGAGGGTTCACTGGGCTGACTGGCGATCAAGGGTATTATTTCCGGGCATTGAACCCTCTCAGTCTGGTGTGAGGCTTGCGAGGTTCTGAACCTCGCCGGCACAGGCCATTTCGCTTCGACGGCACAAGGTAAAACTTACGATTGCACCAAAACTACTTCGTAAATGTTCAAATGGTTGCCAAATTCTAATTCAGCTCCAAAAACTAGTCTAGAAGCATGTAAAACTAGAAATAGTGAACCGAGGTCATCAAAGGTCAATGACCTGAACTGACCTGACCTTCAAGTGACCTTGGCATACACCCTAATGCATGTGAGCAACATCAAATAACATGTTTGAACGCTTGAAACCACGAAAAGACTGCAACTGCGCAACTAATGCGAGCCGACATACGCCGAATCGCGATTCGGGCCAAACATGGTCTCGAAAAGTAGGTCACAGGTAAAAGGTCATTTGGATCAGGGTCATGAAATATGCAGGGTAGGTGAAAAAGTTATCAATGCGAGGGTACTGAAGGTTTCGTCGCGATCGGCCGCTTTTTACGCGAGTTATTTGCGAGAAACCTTAGGGTGGTTGCATTAGCCCCCCCCCCCCGTGCCGCCGAGGGTTAGGACAGAAATTGATGCCTTATTGACCACATTCTGGCTCCCTAGTTGTACACAAACAAAGTGTGGAATTAATCATGTGGGCATCAGCCATCAACATCGGCTATTTTATCGGCGGAAGCCGGAAAGAGGCCTTTACATACATAGCTAACGCTCCTCCCTGCCTCATTCCAGAAATACATAGTATTTACTTATGGAGACCTCTCAGCATCTTCTGGCTGTCATCATCAGTTTCTTTGTGGTTTTCCCATTGGTGAGTACTCATTTTACATTTTTACGCTATGTTATTGAATGTTAACATCAATAAAGCAATATTTGTTGTATGCTACAATGTTGCTATCGTTCCTAGCCTGATTCAAGGGACCTGGTTGCCACAGTCCCCCCCCCCCCCCCCCCCACCCACCCGGCCCAATGAGGCTTGACTTATTATCCACGCTGATCTTGACTGATAGCACCTTATCGACTATTGTGGATTATTTAGCATACAATTTCAGATCGGTGCCCGGTGATGACACCTTGCATCGTAACCGCGCGTAGGCGGTAGGATATATGAATTTCGCACACTACACCAGTCACCAGGGATACAATGTGTGACCGTCATTCGTTCTCAGTTGAGAGTGTCGTGGTATGTTCTAGCATCTGCACGCGAAGCAGGACGTTGTGTTCAGGTACGGTCTGCTGGAGACAAGGCCGACAGATGGCGCTCAGGGCCGACGCTACTGTGTCACCTACTTCCCCAAAGTGCACAACCTCACCATGGACAGCACCAACACGGTGGGTGGTGCAAAGATGGGTGCTCTATTCCAGGTGGTAAGATGCAGTGTAAATGTAAAGTTATGTGTTGAGTGATACATTGTCAGTAGTAAACAATGTTCTATGTTTTTAATATTGTATGCATTATTACTCTACATTTGTCTAAAAATTGGACATTAACATCGAACTTGTATGGCATATTGCATCTTTCACTCTTAAAATTGTGTTTTGTCGGCTTCTGGTCGTTTTTTTTTTCTTTGTGCCACGACCTAATTGCAAGCTGGCTAAATCAGAGCGACCTCTGAGATGTCACATATCCACCTGAACCCACCTGACCTCTGTGTCTCTGTGCGTGTGACCCTCCAGACGAGTCACCCGGTGTCGGACCTGACCGAGTGGGACGGCTGCGGTCCGCCGCCGGCGCCAACGCCGGCCACCGCCGGCCGCTGGGTGTTCCTCAACCAGTCCAAGGCGGCCAACTGCTCCATCGACCAGCGGGTGGCTAACCTACTGGTGAGTGCCGCCTGCGCCGACCCCGCTCTGGCTTTACCGCATACTCTGACTGCTATCCCAGTCGTCTCACCACTGTGCTTTATCAGTATCACAGCTCAACCGGCCCTGCTCATTCGTCCATCGGTTCCGGTTGACGGTCTCACGTTCATGCTCCAACCGCTCTGTTTGGTTACCTCACTGTCGTCCTCAACCACCAGCCAGCTATGTTGAGTTGACTAGTAACCCTCCTACCGATTCTCTAATGTTGCAGACGCTGCAGGCAGCCGGCATTGTGATCCAGGTCAACGAGTCGTACGATGACCTGGCCGCCAGCACCAACAGCTCGCCGATGCCCGTCACATTCATCAGCTGGCGCCACGTGCCAGCGATTGTGGTCAGTACTGCCTACCGTCGGTCCCAGTGCGTTCAGCTAGTCGCTGTGACGATTTAAAGGCCCCAGGGCAGCGGCGAATCGTTGTTCGGCTTGGGCTTCTTTCATCTTGATTATTAACTTTGCTGCATCTCGACGCCAAGTAGAATGCGTAAGTGTAATTTTAACCGTTAACTTTTTATTAAAGGGAGTGACCCTCCCACCTTAACATTAGTTTTGAGTTGAGATAGCCAAGTTTGCGGCCAGGCTCAGAAACCACCATTTATCCTGGTCGCAACACCCGCAGCTTTAAGGTGTTCAAGAAATTTCTTCCTTTTACTTGCAGGGTGGGACCAGCGTGATTCCTATCTCTTAACCATTACGGGAGTCTGATGACGTCATCAGGCTTTCGAACGTCCGTTAAATGTTTGACTAAAACGTTTTGTAGCACGCGGTGGTATATGCTGCTTTGCGCGCAACAAATGCCGCACTTTCAAATAAAGTCGCTAGGTTACAGCGGAGATCCCAAAAAGTAAACAAAAGTAAAAGTCTAATATCTTGAAAACCGGTGAATATTTTTCGATGAAATTTGGTAGATATTCGTTTTTGCTCTTTCTGAACCGAGCGACATCACTTTCATGCTAATTCATTAACTTTTTTGAAGGTGGGAGGGTCCCTTTAACTCTCGCTGTCAGTTTTGATCGGAAATCGATCGATATCATGGGTGGGCCAGTGTTTGCTGTTGTGTTTGGTCAAGAGGCCGATTCCGATAACCATGCCTATTTGTTAGTCGTAGTATGTTATGGCGCTTTGACCTGACGTGTCCGACCCATCACAGAACGCCTCTCCGCCGGTGGAGGCGATCCAGTACGGGATCCCCGAGGAGACCCTGTTCAACTACGGGCTCATCATCATCTGGGTCATCGCCAACACCACCATCCTGCTCGGGGCCATCTGGAGCGCCACTGTCAAATACGAACTGTAAGTACAACAGACGATTATACCACACTATAAGCATACTTGTACGGCAGTCGATTAAATACAAGACTACGAGCTGTGAACAGGGCAGGCGGGCGTGTTAGCATCAAAGATCAAAGATGAGTTCTGAACTGCAACTGGCAATCAACGAAACGGGCATTTCTAGACTGCTGATGCTGTTGCTCAGCAACTCATGCTTCTCAAGAAACATATTAAATACGTCGTTGGTCTTGGAATACATTTTAGAAAGGTGTGCGAACCTGTGAAAACTGCCGCGACATCGCTGGGGATTTTGTGCTGAACGGCAGAAGGGCATGCGATCTGGCCATGCCATGGGCATCAATCCCTCACTACCACGCCCAGCTTTGTCGCCTGCCACGGACTGACCCCGGTATCCACCGCCCGGCAGACACACTCAGGAGGAGCAGGCGCGCCGTGACGGCCCGGCCGGCGGCCGCTCGGCCTCAGTGACCACCACCCAGCCGGCGGCCGGCGAGCTCTCCTCCACACCTGTGACGGTCATCTCTGCCGTGGCCGCCATCGCGCTCATCATCACCTTCCTGCTGCTCTCCTACTTCTTCCCCAAGGTTATGTGTAAGTACCGTTAGAAGGGTCTGAATCGTGCTCGGATGAGGATATGAGTTACGACTGAGCTGGGTGTCATTGTGGTTTGTGGGTCAGCTACCTGTCATGTACAATTATGATTCAGTTTTATCCTTAAGAGTAGGATTATTTCAAAACTTTCGTAGGCGAACTTAAGTTTATAGAAGTTGTGAGTGACGTTTCCTTTTGTAAGTATCATAACAATCAGCCATTGAAGGTCTTATCAAATTTGAAAGCTGCCGTCGTGAATATGCTTTAAATTTTCCGCGAACTTATAATTGGCCATGTAGTGTCTCTGAGCTCCATGTTTCCACATTTCACCGTGTCTGTCTGTTGGCAGATTACGTGGTGCTGGTGTTGTTCTTCATCGGCTCTGTGTCCGGGGTGTACACCTGCCTGAGCGCCGTCAACGCGCGCATGCCCTGCAGCTGCGACCTCGGACTGTGAGTAGTACAAACTGAGATGGCTCTGACCTCGGACTGTGAGTAGTACAAACTGAGATGGCTCTGACCTCGGACTGTGAGTTAACTTTGGGCTTACCTGAGACAGCTGTGACCTCGGACTGTGAATAATGCAGAGCAGACTGGGTTTCATTAAATGCCGAATGGAAAACCCAGTGCAGGCTGGATCTCGGTTTGTAATGAACAATTAGTTCAGGGGAAGGCCCAAGAAAGGAAAGCTGGGGGTATCGACCGGTTTGCAAGGGCCAACTATGGGTAAGCCAAGGGAGATAAGCTGACAGTAATTGGAGTAGACAACCCTAGTTAGCTGTGTCCTCGGACTGTGCCAGTGCATTGTTCTCGCCTCCCTGACTCTCCGTCTACCCACAGGGCTCCGGCGGTGACGACGCGCTGCCTGTACACTGTTCTCACCTCCCTGACTCCCCGCTGCCCTACAGGGCTCCGGCGGTGACGACGCGCTGCCTGTACACTGTTCTCGACTCCCTGACTCCCCGCTGCCCTACAGGGCTCCGGCGGTGACGACGCGCTGCTGCTCGTGCCGGGTGCGCGTCTCCCAGCTGCTCCTGTTCGCCGTATCGCTGGCCGCCGGTATCGTCTGGCTGGTGTTCCGTGATAACGACGTCTGGGGCTGGGCGCTGCAGGACGTGCTTGGAGTGGCCTTCACGTGAGTTGTGCTTGGACATTGTAGCGCTTAGTTTGCTCGCTAGCAGGGTGGAAATTTTATTGCGATTAGCTGCATGACACTGTCCGTTATGAGTGGTGTTGAAACTTGGTGAATTTTAGTGCTTGGCTGTTCTTGTGAGCAGTGGGGAGGTACATATTCTAGATTAGTGCAGCGGCCGACAGGCGATCTTTTATAGGACGGCTCTGTGCGCCCTCTGGATCGGACGGAATGTACGATTTAAAATGAGAACAGCAATAGTTCAAATTTTTATTAGTTGTTATACTAGTCATCACTCTATGCCTGCCTAATTTTCTCATCTCAAATATGTGATTTGCGTGGCATGATTAAAAGATAATCCGTGACATTTGGGCCGCATCGACGGAGTAATCCGTGACCTCGACGTCCTCTTCCAGAGCCCAAACAACCTTGATTCTTGATTCTTGACCGCCCGTCTGTTTTCAGGCTATCGCTGATCCGCTCCTGCCGATTGCCCAACCTGCGCATCATGACTTTCTTCGCCGTCGGTCTCCTCATCTACGACATTTTCTTCGTGTTCATCACACCGTTGTTCACAGCTGTGAGTATGACGGAGTCTAAATATTTGCCACTTGAATAGAAGCAATGCTGAAACACTTGTATCTTTCCGCTAGCCTAACGATATTTATGCATAAGGGCAAATGGTGTAGTGATTGCATTATTCGATGCGATAGTAGATGGGACAGAATACGATACCTTTCACCAATCTGTTTTCCCTTGTCAAGCTGCTGACCACAGCTCCCAGCCGAAATATGTTGCATGTGTCCTGACATCTGTCGTTCCGTCTTTTCAGAACGGCAAGAGCATCATGGTGGAGGTGGCCACCGGTGGCGGCGACTACATCCTGCCCATGGTGCTCAAGGTGCCGTACATCGTGCACTCGCAGTACCCCGAGTGCCAGTCGCCGCAGTCTTTCTCCCTGCTCGGTCAGTAACCAGAGGGGAGTATCTGTGGGACTGGGGTATCGGGGCGCATTGGTGAAAACTTTTTGTGTAAAGTGAAAGAACCACTGATATGAAACCCCGTACAACCGCAGCACGAGGTGGTAGATACTAGATAGCATACAAAAAACTTCCTAAAGCTTCTTTCATAACTAACTAGGCCGCATCAAAACTTAGCGTAGTTGTATCAGACAGGCGTATAAATTGGATGAAATGTTCTCCGTGCGTGTGCGTTTTGTGCATAGCTACCTGGTATTTATATGTATTTCCCGTTTTCTGATGGATGCGGGCGCACGATCCGTCACTGACATGTAAAATCTCCTTTCTGCAGGTTACGGAGATATCATCGTGCCGGGCTTCATAGTGGCGTACTGTGCGTCCATTGACAAGATTCACGGTATCGCCTATCACGCCTACCTGGTCACGGCGGCCACAGGTGAGGACTGGGTACTGTCGAGGTGCAGCGTGCCCCGTGTCCGTTCCGTGGGCGGTCACGGTGTGATGCTCGTACAGATCGCAGTGTGAGGTCGGACGTGGGTCTGTCGTGATGACCCTTTATTTAACCCTCGCCCGTATTGGTGTTTTGCCAGCCGCGAACGTAGGGGGGGGGGGGTCCGTTGGACCCTCCCCCTTGCCATTTCGCCCCTGATCGAGCTAGAGCTTCGCGGTAAAAACGAGAGTTTGCCCGTGACAAGAGGAAGCCGATGATACCCAATTTTAAGGTCTAGGTCATTGGTTGACCTTTCAGGTCAGGTCAATGACCCAAGGCTGGTATGTTTTCGGGGCGCTGATCACGAAAATTATGCTAGATTTTAGCACAGATATCTTTATGCATTTAGGCCAGGTCGGGTCAGGTCAGGTCAGGTCAACCAGTAGGGGTCCTGCCGGGCATTCGTAGTACGTGTCAACCGCCTCTAACAACTTCGTAGCATGTTACAAAGGCACCAAAACTGCTTCGTAAATGTTCAAATAGTTGCTAAATTCGAATTCAGCTCCAAAAAGCTAGCCTAGAAACATGTAGAAGTAAAACTCGGTCACAGCCCACAGGTCAGAGGTCATTTGGGGCAGGGTCATAAAATGTTCAGGGTAGGTGTAAAATTGCTCAACTCGAGGGAAATGAAAGTTTCGTCGCGATCGGCCGCTTTGTACGAGAGTTATTCGCGAAAAATGAGGGTGGGGGGTCCGTTCGACCCCCTTCACCCACATACGAGCGAGGGTTAAAGTGAATGTGGAAGTGACATCGCTCTTTGTCTACACAGGGTATGGCGGTGAGCCTGTGATGACACTGCATTGGGCCTGGTGGTGACCCTCTCTGTATCATTTACAGGATACGGCGTGGGTCTGATTGTGACGTTTGTGGCGCTGTACGCCATGGAGGCGGCCCAGCCGGCGCTGCTGTACCTGGTGCCGCTCACCCTGCTACCTGTCGTGGTGGTAGCGCTCATCCGACGGCAGCTCAGACTCCTCTGGCACGGAGCCAAACAGGCGAGTCACTAACGAGACTGTGGTGCGGTCTCTCTCTCTCTCTCTCTCTCTCTCTCTCTCTCTCTCTCTCTCTCTCTCTCTCTCTCTCTCTCTCTCTCTCTCTCTCTCTCTCTCTCTCGCTGTCTTCCTCTTTCTCACTCTCACTCTCACACACCTTCTCTCTCTCGCTCTCGTTCACTTACTCACTTGCTCTGTCCCACGTTTTTCCTTCCTTGCAATAACGGTATTAACTGCTCATCAACTAACCCCGGACAAGTGAGACGGACCAGCCTACGCACCTCCGTCACATCTGAATAAACAACCAGACCTGGACCGCCATGCGTATGTGCGCCCCCCCCCCCCTGCCCCGTGATGTGCGTGGTACCTCCGTATGAAGAGGTCACTGACCGGAGCGGTGGACTCTGACCTCCCCCCCTCCCCGCCCTTGCTCATCATCTGGCAAATGCATCAGTTGCCAGGCCGGCCGGCTCTGCGGGCTGGGGTGTGGGTGGATGGGGGACGTTTTTCACACCGTGCCGGCCGGCGGCGGAGGAGGGGGAGGTAGCCGGCGCGGGGTAGAGGATGGGATGATACTGAGCGTGGGAGAAGCATTGGTTCGTCTCAGGGCGATGGCGCCTTGGTGGACCGCCAGCTCCCACCGGGTACGGCTGGGTCAGGGAGGCAGTCTGTTGCAAACGGAACCACAGCTAAGGATCTGTCTATCCCCTCCGCCCGTGTGCCATGCTCGCGTCCTGCCCGGTAACTGGTCACTGCTCCCGACAGTGTCTGTTTTGTCTGCCACTCAGGCGGGGCGGGGGGACACAAGAACGGCTTATGACCGACTTTGCGGCCTGTGCGCGGTGTTTTTGTTTTGTCATACGGCCCCTGAGCCGTGGCTCCGCTTGTTTGCGTTTGGCGGCACTGTGACGCTGCCGGCTGGCCAGTGTGGGTCGGAATAGCAGGGACGGTCGCTGACCGACCCCAGGGGAACTTCATACATAACAGGGTGACAGCGTGGGGTAGGGGGGACGCACAGCAGACGAACCTTCTACCGTCCGCAAAGGCTGTCTAGGGCGACACAGCAGCTGCAGGGTGATTGAGCATTAATACGTGCCTATCGAAGCGCCATTCTACTGACCATAGGGGCATTGATCATACCTCTAGAGCGTGATGTCGACCTCAAACTCAGAGCGCATAATCGATATGGCATCGGTAGCAGGATACATGGCGCACTGGCACAGTTTCCATGCAAGCTTGTTATGTCCACAGGCTGAGAGGATCAGTGCAGTGGTCTTCATCAGATCCCAAGATCCCAACAGCGGTATTTTCCAGTCATCAGTCACTTCTTCATAAAGCGCGGAATTAGGTGCCTGAGCTTTTGCAACCGCTTCAATTTCCTTTATTTTTCTCGTGTGAAGCACATGTGCTTTTCTCAACACGGACAATGGTTGGTACCTCATCGTACGAGTAATACGATAAAGATTATCTAAAAAACGACGAAAATCATTGCCGCCAACGTTATTCGTTTTCTTCCCGAAGCAGGCCGCGGTAATGTGAGCCTGACGAGTGACGACCCTGGACGCCCTGTCCCCTTCATCCGGCTGGACCGGGCGCTGTTTGGTTTATCGTTTTTGCAGTTTCCCGAATAGGATACGCGGACCAAGTCGCGCGTTGCTCTGTCGTGTAAACGCTGCCGATAATGTACAGTTATGTGCCGGTGTATGTATTTCATTCATGTGATTCATCGCATAAACCAGACATGCTTTCGGCTGCAAGCTGATTTCCTGAGCTTATTTTCGTGTATTTGTGGCGATCTTCGAAAGTGGAGAGGCATTCAGTGAAAACTTCCACCACTTCTTGCAATGGATTTGTTGAACTCAGTCCTACCTTATGTCTTAGCCGTATTTCGATCTGCGGCCCGGTTCTTTTTCCTCGCTGTTCACCCGACTGTGGTCGTCAGTCGACATGGCAAGGCCTGCTTGCTGACAGACTTTGGGGCGTACGGGCTCCAGAGCCGCAGGACTGTCGCCTTTTATCGGTCACAGATTCTCTTATCTTCATCAGCTATCTGAGCAGCGTCAGGTCTGACAGTTCGGTATTAAACCTGATGGGATATGGTAAAGCTTCTTGGCTCGTCCGCGTAATGAAGTTTCGTGAAATCATAATCGCTTTTTATGTAAAAAAATCTTCTTTCTCGAGCTACCTAAAATGCCTAGTGTTTTATTGACATGTCTTCCTAACGAGAAGTGAAGCCTCAAGCCTGGTATATCGGATCAAAAGCATCCATTCTTTACAAAGGAGTTAGATTAAAAACTATCCTGATTCAGCAGATTTCTTATAATCTGATCACGTTTCCTGCCATAATAACGGGAGCCCGGCTCATGTCCACCAGTGCCGCGGACGCCACGGTCCGGCCGGCCGGAAGTGCTGTGTTTCTGTAGCGGCTCGGTAGCGCTGTTTGCCGGCCGGACCGGGCCGGGTGACGTGACACGCCGCCTGGTGCGCCTGTTTGGCTGATGATCACACCGGTCTCTCGGTGCGGCGGCACGGTCGCTGCCGGACCCGGAACGCGCCGCGTCCCGCTGCAGCCGCCGGTAACGAGCCGCCGCCGCCGCCAGAGTTTATTTTCACAACAGCACCGTATGATCCGGGCCGGACATAGCTCACTTTGTACGGCTATTTATTTTCACGGGTCTCGTTAGAAACCGAAAATGTGTTTTGAGGAACTCGAGACAGTTTTTGTAAGGCTTATCTGAGGAAAACGGTACGTCACCCGCTGACTCGTGTGACATGCTAGGCACTCGTGCGAGGCTGAGCTAGCTCAGCTTCAAAATTTGATTTTCTCATCGCCTTAGAGAATTAGGCTCTGGCCGCTTCGTATACCTCATTTGCGATGCTGCGGCAGTCTGCAGCACGCGCTACATCTCTGGCTGCGACCGGTCTGGAATCGCTATAGCCATTCGTTGGCCATTTGCTTATTATAGTCATGGACTACCGGTGCCGCCACTCGTGGGCCATGAACAGACTGTAGTCATCATTGACGGAAATGGTAATGTTTACGTTTTAACATTTTTAATGCGAGAAGTAAATCACAAAAATACTGTTAAAGTGGAATCAGCCTTTGAAATACGTAGAATCACTGAGAATCACTCATCCCCCAGAATTTTCCAACCACACATAACTGGGCCCGGGGGATAGGGGGTCCGAGGGCGGCGCCGGCGGCCCCCGAGACCGGCCCGGCGCGGTGCGTCGGCAGACCGTTCCCTCGGGACGGACCGATGGCCAACGCCAGCGTGCAAACCGAATTCCTCGCCGGCCAAGCGTTGCAAGAAGCTGGAGCGATTTGCAAACATTGTCAGAGGCAGGTTGGCAGTGCTGTAGCTGGTTCGTCTCAGAGATCGGCGATGTGTCTTGGCAGACTTCCGCTATGACCGACAGGAACCGCTATCACTGGCCGTGCGGTTTTAGTGCTGGCAAACCGCTGAAATCGTTTGATGTGTTGTGTGCTATTGCATGCGTAAATACTGCGGTTTCAGCAGCTCTTAGATTCTCTTTTTTCCACTTCCCAAGCATTATGCCTTTTGCAAAATGCATAACCAAGTCCGTATAGTTTCTCTCTCTTGTATTGTATTCGAGTGTAAATGACGATAGAATTATAAATCTTCATCTCCGCTTGAATGTATTATGTAATTCAACATATATTTAAGTGCGGTACTATAGGAAACGAGAAGTGTTAGAATGTTCGCTGATTCTTGGATATTACATATATTGAACTGAATTTGCTTGCGAACATTGTTTTATTTCACGCTCCGAATAATCGTGCTGGGTGTATTGTATCGTTCAATATGTACACAGTGCATTCAGCATTGAACACTATCATTCACCGATATTATATTACTCATCACACTGGCTTGATCATCTTAATTTGTGTGCGTGCAGAGTGCACTATTCTTTTATAGACTGTGGCATTGTATAATAATAGATGCATATGACCAAGATGTGAAGCGTCCCAGTCACCTCTAGCTCTATGTGAACCTGCTTATCTTGTCCGACGGATGAATTCGTCTCAAGTGGCGCGTTTATGTGATACGGCTACGGAATTTCAAACGTTTGGTCTCGACATTGTGAGAATGTTAAACCCGTGTGCGGCCCCAATGTCTGTGTTGCATCCTTTTCTGTCCTTTTTATCAGCAGCAGTAATTGGTGTTAGTCAGTTCGGCTCATTAGGTAATGTCTGTAGAAACGCCTAGGGTGCTGAGAGATAACCAATGCTGTGTAGCAGTTATCGTGCAATTTGTTTGTTTTACAGAAATACCTTTTCCATGTGAAAAAAAATCTTAGCTGTTATTGGCAATATCAATAAACCTCGTGTTATCATGTTTTTCCATTTCAGTATTATGAGTTTGATGGGGATTTGATGGGAGATTCTCTGACAGTTGCGACGCTCTCTTTGTCCGTGGCTGATATGTTTCCGTAAGCTAACCGTCTCCCCAACTCTGCCCACAGCCGTCCGGGGGTGAGCTGATTCGGGAGCACGCCGACTACAACTCCGTCTCCCCTGTGGAGGAGTAGGGACGCCGCTCACTAGTCCACCGTCCGCCTGTTCATCGGACCGCCGCTGCCGGCTGTAGGAGCTGTCCGGGAGCGCTGGCTGGCTGAAGAAGGTGCGTCCCAGGTCACTGGGATGCAGCGGGTGCGGTCCGAGTGTGCGGGAGGCCGCGGTCCGGCGGCTCCGGCTCTGAATACCGCGGCTCGGCCGTCCCGTGGGTGCCGGCGGGCCTGGCCAGGTCGACCGTCTCGGTATTAAGGCAGTGTCAGAGAGCCGGCAAGGTGAGAGGCCGTCCGCTCCGTCCGCGCTGCGCCCCTCCCGTCCCCGATGTGCGCCGGACGCCGTTTGACCGACCTACGGAAATGCCTGGTCAAATGTTTACGGCCGCTACAAGCGCTGTGTCGGTCACAGTCCAAAACGGACACCGCCCAATGGCCACTCATCGCCAAACAATGTCAGACAGCTGCGCTCTGAACCTTTTTTTAGGTTATTTGTGCACTGTTGTTAGCCTTTTTACCCACCTATATATCATAATTTTGGCTGATTAACGTTTGAATTGCTATTTAGATACTTAATTTTGTATATTTTTCTCCTATTCATGGTGAAGCATTATGAAAAGATGGGACTTACTGATGTGTTACAAGGAATTTTGATAAGTTTTGCCCGCGCACATGCTTCAGAACTGGTTCAAAGGGCAAATTAGAGGCAGTGTGTGCTACAGTAGAATTTTTATGACACGTGGTGGTGTTTCTACGTGTTAAGGGCTTCGTTTCATAAAGCGAGTCCGTAACTTACGCCGGTTTTTGGTCTTTTGTTGCAAGTGCATGTGAAGCGATAAAGTTATTTCCCCCTCCCCCTTCTGTTCTTGCTTACAAGATAAATAAATTCAACGATTCAAACTATCGTCATCGCTTCACATGCACTTGCAATTCAAGACCAAATACCGACGTAAGTTACGGACTCGCTTTATGAAACGAGGTCCAGGTCGCTCATTGTATGGTGGCAGGGCGTACCAACTTCTTTGGTAATGTTTAACATTGGTATCCATTGACCTTTGTACCATTTAATATTATAACTATGTAGTTCAAACAATGTTGTGTGATGTTTGTACTCACCGGTGGGGGCTGGTGTATTGCGTGACTTTCGTATATGCCCGATATCTACTGGCTGAAGCCTGAAGCTGTATATTTTTCTCATGATACAAACGCGCAGCGAAACACTTCTCTTGGTTTTGGTTATGTTCTGTCGTTACTTAACTTTTCGAGACAAAGTGCAAAATTTCACATCGCTCAATTTTTTTCTGGTCGTCACATGGATATATTTTTAGATGAGCCAAGTTGTAAACATTTTTTTCTGTACTTTACTCTGGTTGCAGGTAGAGCGTAGGTAGCTCAAACAGCGAAAGTTGTGTTTGCATTATTCAGTTATCAAAAGTATAATTAAAAATCAGGCGTAGTTGTTCGTAGGATCTCACGATTTACCCTGTCCGCACGTTCGGAGTGTGATCATAAGATATTTTTTTGTAGAGATTAGTGCCCACTGCAGTCGTAAACCTTTTCGCCTACCTACAGTAGACTGTTTTCCGACATCTTTCTCAGAGTTTTTACCGTACTCTCTTGTGCTAGTGGATGGCGTTCGTGGTTATATAAAACCACGTATTACATGAAACCAAATACATACATGGTTGTTTTATCTGTGTTTTGTTCTGGAGTAAGTAACTGCTCACTGACATTTGATGAAACAATAGGTAAAGTCTCGCACTGGTTCGTGCGTGGTTTGACACATGAACGAAGAGTAGCTTTGAGAGTAGCCCGCGCCCCCTTGAAAACTTGGATTTCCACGGGGGGAGGGAGGGACGGTGAACATCTCCTTTTCTAGCTCGGTTCACGGGTCACGTAGTGACACGGTAGGCGGGGCTCGAAAGAGCGGCAAAGTCACGAATAAATCACGCCAGTCATCCTTTAGGGTAGGTCAAAGGCCACGTTACCAAAGGTCAGCAAAGATCAAATTTCGCCCATTTAGACAATCTTCTAGCAATTGGTTCGTAACTCGGCAACCAATAAAGCTGCGGCACTTGGATAAAAATACAATAGCTCCTTTAAAGCTCTTTCGGGTTAATTTCCTCATATTTAAGTTGAGGTCAACGATTCAGCCTCCAGAGGGTGACACTGTCGAAACTGACATCTTTGCGGAAAATGTTTCCCCTGTTTTTACTCACATCTTTGATCTTGCACAGGAGCGGTTTTAGGGCGGGACATGAAGACGTGTCCCGTGACGCCTTGACGCGTTACGGTCAATTAGCTGGCACCTCTCCGCTATGGTGTGGATTGGTGATGTCACATGACCAAAGACCTGTGCTGTCTGTCATTTTGTGTCCGTTTTAGGATGGCTAAATGTAATACGCGGACATATACGGTCGAAAGCAAAATGATTTTTCCTTACTCTGTTGATGTGATGATTCATTCATTAGGCACATCGTGAATCGATATTGACCGTTCAAAGTTAATCGTCATCGTCATCCTTTACCGATTTGTGAAGACCTATGAAGCCCTGAAGTGCCAAGTGATGCCTCTTCTGATGCGCTGTGATGCCCAGTGCAACCTTTGACGCCCGCTGGCGCCTGGAGCGTTCCTGTCTGAGGTAGCAGCGCCTGCGGCGGCCTGGTCTGGCGGGCAGCTGTCGCTGCGGCCTGCTGAGACCGGCCAGCACTCAGCCGTGCTGCCTGTCCGCCTCCAGACCTGTGCTGGACGCATTAGCAGCCGTCTAACATAAACAGTGGCGGCCGGCCGGGCGGGCCGGGTGGCCGGAGGCCGTCGCGGCGGCTCAGTAGAGGCCGGCGCAGCCGCGGACGGCGGCCGCTCCCCCTGCGCGCGCCGCCCGCCGGCCGCCATGCCGCCCTCGACGGCGCTGCCGCTGCTGCTGCTGCTGCTGGCGGCCGGGGCCAGCGCCAAGGCACAGGAGACACAAGACTACTACGACGAAGATTACTATGGCGGTAAGTGGCCGCCGGCGCGGCGGTCGGTCGGTCCGTGCGAGCGGAGGGAGGGCCGGGCGGCTGGCTCCCACTTCGGAGGAACCCGCCCGAGTGGCGGTCCCGATGACACAAACCGCAAACCATTCAAAGTTAACCACAGACAATCCTTTCTGCAGGCGTAAACCACCTCGAAACAGCATTCCTTTACTTGATGAACGAAATCGGGCAACTTAAGTGGGCTCATTATTTGTACCGCACCAGCGCACACTGGGCCGGGGGCCCGGAAAAGTGCTAGAAATTATCTGTGATTGAGTTGTTGATCTCAGTGACAAGCAAACATGCTAAAAACGACGTGGGGCTGCTTAACCCTCGCCAGACCTATTGTCGGACCCCCCTCCCCCCCTCGGCCAGCCGAGGGGGGAGGGTTGGTACGACCCCTTTTCGCCGTTTCGCCCCTAATGGAGCTAGAGCCACGCGGAAAAAACAAGCGTGTGCGCCGTTTCAAGACGAAACGATTGATACCCGATTTAAAGGTCCCAGGTCAACCGGTAACCTCTGAGGTGAAGTCAAAAAGCCCAAGGTAGGGTTTAGTTTTTGGTAAATAATTTCGCAAAAAATAACCGCAGAGCAGCGATTTTGGCACCATCGTGTTCGCCTGGCTCAGGCGCGTCGAATGGTATACTTTTTGTCAGGGTGAGGTCAACTTAAGGTGTTGACCTCGAGTCAAGGTCAGTTCAGAGCCCATCAGGCCACGAACTTAATCGAAGGAAGTCGTATTGCATATCATTCGATTCGGGAGGTCTTCCCGAGTCCATTGGTGTCTTTCCCGAGTCGCTGGCTCAATTTGATCATGAGTTATTGACGAGAAACTCCTATGACCGTAGTGACGTCATAAATGACGTCACGGAAGGTCAAAAATGCAAAAGTAAAGCATCGGATCTTGCAAGGAGTGCATGAAATCACGATTCCGAGTGCTTGAGATAGTTTGAGATCATTTCATGCGCAAAAACAACAGTTTCCTTATTTCCCCATTGACTTTTATTGGTGAGGTCACGTGACCTCGAAGAGTAGCAGGCATTAGCAAAAATTGCGAGTAGGGCATGACAGAAAGATGATTAGTGGTTTGTATGGCATGGTCATTTTTAGCGGCTCGAAATAACATTTCTCAAAAAGTCTGACTAAAGAGCAAGTTGTTGTTGATTATCACTGACTTGTGTTTGGGGGTTAATAACGACTGAATTTTTTAGTTTGGGCCAAAATTTTTAACAGCATTGTGTGCGTTGATCAATTCTGAGCTCAGGGACATATATTCTATTCTGATTATACGCGTTTGTTTTTCAAAACATCCAGCGCTTTAAAGAGCGCCGGGCCTTCAGTAGAGCGGCAAGGTGACAATTGCCCCTACATCATGTGGTTTACTTGCGCATATCTCGAAAAGTAGCAGGGAAAAGCAGCAAAGCACCTATATGGAACGAAAGATGAGTAATCAGAGGCTAGTATAAAATGTTCATTTTTAGCTGCTCGAAATCACATTTTTATAAAAGTCTAATTAAAAAATTAGATATGATTTTTAATTACGTCTTGCAGCTGCTTGCAAAAAGCTAGCTTATCTTGCAGAAAAGCTATGCAATATGTAAGAATGATGTTGGCACAGTGAACAACAGTGCCCTAAACTAGTCTGTGAGGAAATTTCGTTCAAAACGACGATTGGTCAGCTAATAAATTACCACTGAAGATCATCATGAAAATCGGTGAATGTGGTGGCCACTAGAGAGTCTAAATTGTCTTGTGTTTGGTGACAACTGACGACCTTAATTTTGACCTTAGGGAAAAACTGGCATCGGAATCGTATTCTTCGATCAATTTGGGATTAAATGATACCTATTTTGTTCATATTGCGGAGAGTCAGTTTGGGGGAATTTCTAGCGCTTTTTCGGGCTGCCGGCCTACAGTGCAGCGAAGCTCAACTCAGGGAGCCTCGTGAGTTCTCGAACAAATGCAGTGAATGTCAGCTCAGCTGTCATCCACTCCGATTTAACCTCAATGCACAACAGAAAGAAACGCTAATGGTACAAACTGTCATTAAACGAGCGAAGATAAAGGAGGTCTCTGTCCTTTGCATCACCGAAATCCAGCTAATTTTGTTTTATAATGACCTGGGCGGTCATATAAATGTAAATGTTATCGGCTCGGCGGCAATACATTTTTAAAGTTCACAAATACCTACATTTGCGGGGACTCGATAACGCTAGAGGCGCACGCGCCCCGTATTGATAAAGGTTGCTACAAGGCGCTGATGCTTATGTCTTAGTTTTATACGGCTATTTTAATCGACAAACTCTTACATGATCACAAACATGAGATATGGTCGATGCTCGGAAACAGTCCGTGAAAATTTGGCATGGTTAACACGATAGCGAAACATTAAACATTTTGAACGTGTTTAGATCACGATACGTGAATGATACAACACTGCTCCCATTTCATACGAACAGATAGGGTGAGTGTCATGTCCGCGTGCGAGGAAATCAGGTATAGGGGAGACCAGGGTTAAGTGACCACCCTAACTTTTTTTTTCGATGCCGACGCGTCATCATGTAGACAGATTCTTCCTATATACCTATGCCCTATACCAATATGTACAATCCCTATTACATTGCCTTTCCGTTCAACTACGTTTCATTTCTAAAGGCGTTCACTTATGAATGATATTGACAAAACCTTTTAAACTATGCATTTTGGCCACTCGCCCCAAACCCTGCGGCAAAGCGCGGACACCGGCGACTTCTTCGCCCCGATACGAAAAACAAGATAGTTGTCTCATGTTCGACTGGTGTATTTGATGCTGAAAAGGTTTCAACGATGACGAATGTCTATTTTGTCATCTCCCCACTTGTATTGTAGGCAAACAATAAAACACATTCGTGAAAAAAGCATTCCTAATTGCATTTTTGGTGTCTCGTATAACCAAAAAGTGGGCAAGATAAACGCATTACGACACATTTTAATGTCTGTTGTCCAAGTGGAAACAATTTATAGAATTTGAAGCTATCCACTCTGTCCTCTGCCCGTCCACTTTGCCCCAAGCGTACTGTCCGAGACAAAATTATTTCAGCTCTGCTATTTGTTTGACAAAACGCATTAAAATAGGCAGAGGACATGTACGATAACCACTCAATGCAAGATTGAGAACGTTTTAATAAACTTTTAAACGGCCATGGATGCCAGGAAGAGTCATACTAATTTATGGATTTAAATAAATTATAAAAAGCGTAAGAATAAGAAGCGCATAACGTCATCATTTTTAGCACACATTATCCGGGGGGTATGACCCCCCTCGCCGTTTTGCTTCTAAAGGAGCTAGAGCATCGCGGAAAAATGAGCGTATGCGCCGTAACGAGACGCAGCGATTGGTACCCGATTTTGAGGTCTCAGGTCAACTGGTGACGTCTGAGGTCAGATCAAGTGGGCCAAGGCACGGGTTCGGTTTTTAGTAAATAACTTCGCCAAAAATGGTTGCAGAGCCGCGATGTTGACACCGTCGAGTTTGTCTAGCTCAGGCACGTCGATTAATACTTTTTGTTCGTGCGAGGTCAACTTAAGGTGTTGACCTCTGGTCAAAGCCAGGTCAGAACTCCTCAGGTCACGAAGCCGGTCAAAGGAGGTCATATTGCATGTCATTCGATTCCGCTGATTTTCCCGAGTCCATTGGTGGCTTTCCCGACTCGCTAGCTTAATTCGATAGGAAGTTATTGACGAAAAATTCATATGACTTTAGTGACGTCATTAATGACGCCACGCAGGTCAATAATGCAAAAGGAAAGCATACAACTTCTAAGGAGTGCATTAAATTACGATTCGTGTGATTGGGATAGTTTAAGGTCGTTCCTGGCGCCAAAATAACAGTCTCCATATTCTCCCTTTGGCTTATAATGGTAAGGTTACGTGACCGACCTGTCCTCAGGTGACCCTTAGAAAAAGTCCGAGATATACAAGCTATGAAACCCCTCGAGGATACTATGTAGGTCCTGTAAGTTTCATCTCCATGTGAAAGCTCCTCTATCACTGAGGGTGTTTCGAATCTGTGACATTTAGGATCGTGCAGAGGTTTACTTATGACCTCATAGGTCAGTGACCTAACCTGCCCTGAAAGCGCGATTGGTGTAAGAAGATTCTACTTGAATAAAAAATCAGGTATGCCAAGTTTTAGCGTTCTTTTTCCGGCGCGTTCCAAGCTCGCAAGAAAAACCTGTGGGGTCTTCACCCGTACCCCCTCCGCCAGCGAGGGTCTAATGGTAAGTCGGTATGCGGCTGGGAAAACGCCAAACCGGGCAAGTGCTGTACTGTTGTTGATAATTATGTGTTGATGTTACGTCAAACATTTCCTTGCCGCAATATTTACGTTGACGTTCCATCAAACTTAACAATTCAATTATATCTCATTCGTTTTCAATATATATTCTGTTGTAGTTGTCATTTTAGTCTAATATATAAGCATTTTGAATGTGTACAAACTAGCATAACAAAATTAGAAGTAAAAGTTAGCCAACAAGCTCGAATAGTTCATTCGTGCGTGACTGGGCCGAGTTTGAGTATGACTCTTCCTGGCATGCCTTCCATCCGGTGGCTCTCGGGGCGGTAGTCGGCCGGCCTGGGCCATTTTATTTGGGTCATTCGGATCTAATGTAAACGCTGGCCAGCCGGGCCGTCCATATAAACACAACACCGAGTGGTCAGGCGGGCGGTCCGGCGCCGGAATTCGGCGACGGCAGCACGGTGAGACGGCGGCGTGCACCGCTCGCGCCCGCCGCCTCATCCGCCACATCGACCCCGAGCGGAACAGACTTGAGATGGAAATACTTTTATCGGCTGATGGATGGGAAGCCGAGAAAACACGATCGCATTTTTCGTCGATGGTTTATCTCCCGGCGGAGTGTTGTGGGATTCGAAATGGATGCCTAAAATACACAAAATGTTTACCAACATACAACATTAAATGTTCCTAAAAATATTGATTTCACCGAAGAATGAAATAAACTTTACATAATATGGCTATACAATGAACTTTTATTTTTTTTTTAGTGAAGCTGAAGAATTTTTCACCTTTGTTATTTAGGCGCTAGATTTTCCAACTTCTAAATAGAGCATCAAGCTATTATCTACATTAGTAGGTAATGGTATAACATATATTCGCACACGGCTGAAAAATAGCACTTTCAACCATACGTAATCACTGCTTTTCGACATAACTAAATACGCTTAGGAATGCTAACCAACAGTGCCAGCTAGCATTGGCCCTGTGTAACTCATCCCATGTAGGAAGGTAGATACATTTTCAGTCCGTATAAAGCGAAATGCTGCAAAAAGTAAATAGGCAATGGGTTGCTGAGACAAGTAGAATCGTGGTGCTGTTTTCACGATCCTGTATTTGCTGTCGTTAATGTTGCTGCCTTCATGTAACTCTACTTTGGTCGTCGTGCTGGTTTGTCGTTTTATTCTAACGCCTTATTGCACCTGTTGGGCACCTATCGGGTCACAGCGCCGCCGCCCGCTGCGGCTGTGCTGGTGGGCCCGGCCGGCGCACCCAGGACCGCCACACCGCCCCGGCCGCCGCATGGCATGCACCGTCCGCGCCACAGCACGTACCAGTCAATGCCGCCAGCTGCTGGGGCTGTCGTGGACCTGCATGTTCCGGCCGGGCCGGCCCGCACCGGTCAGCGGAGGTGAACGCTCGCAGCGCAACAAAGCACGCTCTTGGGAGAGCAAGGTGTACTTTGGTTTGGCTAAAAGGACGTCTTCGGGTTACAAATTGAGGGTAATGTGGTAACAATAAGATGGTTAATGCACACAGCCATGCACCTGCCGAAAGCCAACGAGCTGAAGCTGCCGTCCTGTGGGTGGTTTCCTAGCAGGCTACCAATTACAATATATTCTGGAACGTAAGATCAGCGGTAACGAATCGAAAGCTTAAAATAGTCCTCACGTTAAGGGTCTCTTTCATCAAACGGCAGTCTACATAATTTTGCTTGGCTCATGAGTTCTTAATCCAGACTGCTAACGAGCTCGTGGTTTTATTTGCACACGATGTTGCTCACTGCTGCTTTAAATAACATCCCTAGGAAATATAATTGAGCTCTGCCTTAGTAAAACACGCCAAATATCTCATCCAGTTTTACCTTTGCTGTGTGAAGTGAGCGCAAGAGAGGAAGCGGTAGGCCGGTTAGGGTGAGACATCTCTTGATGCGATCGTTCAAATAGTCGGCAGCCACTTCTATCGACTGAGCACTGGATGAACCTTTCAAAAGTGAGTAATTGATAACACTTTTGGGTGATAACGTTTACGAAATCTTCTGGATAGCTAATCGAAAGAGAATCTATCCGTTTGACAAATTGTTCACCTCCGTTGGCCATTGGTGTAGTTGGGTTGCGCACCGTGGCTGTCGCTTACACTGCGCCCTGCGCCGACCTGTTGCAGAGGGCTACGACTATTATTACAACGGCAACGGCAACGGCGCCACCGACCAGGCCACCGGTACGCCGGACGATAGCGTAACACCGCCGGCTGACCCGGCCGACGGCCAGGGCCGCACTTCTTACAGCTACAACTACGAGAGCAGCAGGACCACCAGCGGCGACACCGCCACAGCCGGCGCACGGGACGACAGACTTCGTCAGGAGCAGGAGAGACGGCGCCAGGAGGCCGAGGCAAGAGCTCGTGCAGAGGCAGAGGCAAGAGCTCGCGCTGAGGCAGAGGCAAGAGCTCGTGCAGAGGCGGAGGCTAGAGCTCGTGCAGAGGCCGAGGCCAGGGCCCGTGAAGAAGCCGACGCCAGGGCCCGTGAAGAAGCTGAGGCAAGAGCCCGTGCGGAGGCCGAAGAACGAGCAAGGCAAGAGCAGGCGGCGGAAGAGGCCAGGCGACAGGCGGAGGAGGCAAGGCGACGAGAGGCGGAGGAGGCCAGGCGGCGAGAGGCGGAGGCGCGCGAGCAGGCGGAGCGGCAGCGTCTCGGTTTCGGCCGGGCGAGCGAGGGCGGCAGCGGGCAGGCCGGCCAGTTCCCAGGCGGCTGCTCATTCGACGGCCAGTTTTACGCCGACGGCGCCGAGTTCTCCCTGGACGAGTGCGGCGAGTGCCGCTGCGAGAACGGCCGGCTCAACTGCGACTCGGGCCTGTGCGGCGGCGACCGGTGCGACGGCGTCCAGTGCGAGGAGATCGAGTGCGACACGCAGCAGTACATTCCGCTGGGCGAGTGCTGCCCGATCTGTGCCGGTCAGTATGCCGCCCCGGCTGCCCGGGCACGCTCACAGACGGACGCCGACGGCTTCAACCTCCTCCCTGGCTGACAGCGCATCCACAACCCGGGGAACCATTTAGTCTACTGGCTTAATACCACATCATCAATGGATGCTTTCTCACATGTTTGGTCGGGTTATGCATGTTGCGAGGTCTACCTTCTACTGGCCTTACCCCTGGTCTGGCCTGCCCGTAGCTCTTAGATGAGGCGCGCGGCAGTAGCTGCTTTACCGCTTCCATTAACCACTGACTCGGCAATGGTGGCCTGCACGTCCTCTGCGTTTGATACACCCGAAACTCCTGCTTCACTTTGATTGGAAGTCTAACTTTGCCGCTATAATGTTCACCGAATACCTTCGAATTATTATGTTGATATCACGAAATGGTGTGGTAAACAAATATTGTCTTTTCAGCATGAGAAGAACAGTGTTGTGCATTAATTGACGTCATGTTTGCGGACGTCCGTGGAGTGTGTTTCTAAAATCGGCTTCTGTCCGTTTCAGTGACGGACCTGGGCACCGGCCAGGGCCCTGGCACCGCTGCACGGGGACCGGGACCCCAGCCACCGGTCAGTATATCACCCCAATCCGACACGTCCGCATATGAAATATTGAGGTCGACCTTTTGGTTTTCAGTGCGGTATTTTTCAAATAGATTAAGCGTTTTACGAATGACGGTTTAAAAGTTTCTTAATTACCAATGCATTGTTTTGTGTTATGTCTTCTAAGACTTATTTTTCTTACCCATTTTCTAACTTAATTTTCTACGTAATTTTATTGCGCACTGCTGTCTATCTCTTCTTATTCTCTTTTAATTTCACTCCCTCCTCACGGCTCTATCCCCCTCTGATCAACAGGATCTGCAGGGTGTCACCGGCGACCCCGGCCCCACCGGTCCGCCGGGCCAGCCGGGCACGCCGGGTACACCGGGCACCCCGGGCCAGCCGGGAGGGCCGGGACCCACGGCCGACCCGTCCAACTACATCGCACAACTACAGGCGTCACTGGGAGGCGACAAGGGACCGGCCCAGCCGCTCTACCTACAGGCGCAGACCGGACCGGCCGGAGCCCGCGGCGCGCCCGGTCAGTAACAGTAGATGAGGACAGAGTCGAACTAACTACATAGGGGACTGAGTCCAACTACGCAACTCAGGGCTGGATGTGCCAGTGTGTCATGGTGCAGTTTTTGCAGCTCATAGCACGTCTCATTATTACAATTTCGGACGTGATTTTAGCCTTAGGGCGATATATTCCTACACCTAGCTGGTTGTCCAAAAGTATTTGATATGTCCGCACATTAATGGCAAATCTTGTCTAAGAGTGTCTCGCTGTCTTCCTGTCGTTGTCTCCCTGTCTGCCTACCGTGCCACTCCCCTATTTGTGTGTGCCCCTATGTCTGACGCCGTTGTCCGTCGACGGCAGGCCCTCCCGGCCCGTCGGGACCGCAAGGTTTCCAAGGAGTGCGAGGAGAGCCAGGTGATCCAGGACCTCCGGGCCCCGTCGGCAGCCCAGGACCCAGAGGCGTGCCCGGTATTCCCGGAAAAGATGTGAGTCCCAGGTTGAGAAGAACGCTGTAATGGTTAACACCTTTCTTACATTTCTCTTTGTTGACAATAAAATTATGTTTAAGGTCAACAAGATTTGCTGGTCATTTTGCAGTACATTTTGATGGTTGCATGCTGTGCATGAGCACATGATAAACGAGATATAAATAGTCGAAAATACTGAACGGTGGAAGATACCTGAGCAAACTTACGGAGCTTTGACAAACCAATGTTATCGCCCTTGCAATCTTAATACCTTGTGACCTATATGCCTGACCTCAGGGTGAGAACGGCGAGGACGGTTCTCCGGGCCCTGCGGGCGCCCAGGGCCCCACTGGGCCCCGCGGCCTTCCCGGGATGCCTGGAATGCCGGGACCCAAGGGCCACCGCGGCTTCCCCGGCACGGACGGCGCCAAGGGCGAGATCGGTCTGCCCGGGGAAAAGGGTGGCATCGGACCGGCCGGCCGGCCAGGGGAGCCAGGACCACTGGTAAGGAAGCGTCTGTGCACTGAGAAAACAGTGTCCCGATTTTCGGGCTCAGAGACCAGTTTTCGGGCTAATGTACCATATTCAAAACAGACAGCACATTTCGAGAATACTTTCTGAGCTAGCGCCACATGGGCTCATACGATCCCTTAAATCGGTATCATTGATCGCAGAAACAGAGCTCAGTCAGTACCCATTATCGGTGTCAAGCTCTAAAACTAGTCTCACTATGATACCAGTTTTCAGCCTGATCCCCATTTTCGAGCTCACCTGATTCCAGTTTGAGGGCTCAAATTGTGTGGTGAAGCCAATATTAGGGCTCACGTCATCGCTTTTCGGGGCTTTGGTAAAAGCTGGATTGCGTCAGCTGGCTGGCCAGCTGGCGACGCACGAAAGGTATTTAATTTTAGATATACCTAAGCGCGGTAGTAGGATGGACATAAATATTTCAAATGGCTTTAAATGAAAAATTGATTGGTAAATATTCATTCTTTTATATCTAGCATTGATATGTAAGAAGCTCTGCTAGCGCCACCATACGGCGCCAGCTGGCAAAAAATCCAGTTAATACCAGAGCCCGCTTTTCGTCCGATGCAGCCCCTCCTCCCCCCTCCCCCGTGTCCAGCAGCTGCGAATAAGACGAAGCCGCGGACAAACTTTTTTTTTTGCTCGGCCAGCCTAGCGCCAGTCTCGAGCGGTGGGACAGTTAACCGGCAATTTTGGCCGGGATGCAAAAGTTACGTTAAACCGGTTTATGTTAACCCGGGAGCAAATAACAACGTGGGAGCCTATCTTAGGTGTGGCAAAGCTAACGGATTACTTACTTGTTGCCGAGGTGCCCAAAGAAGGTACTGGAACCGAAAACACAACATTGGTTCATGTCTTTATTAACCCTCGCCGGCCGAGGGGGGGGGCGGGTGCCGCCCCCCCCATAGGGTTTTTTCGCGATAGCTCCGAACACGCTGGCGATAGAGAGCTGAAACTTGTCATACCTGACCTTTGATCCAAGCCGCATCTTTTGACACCAACCGCATTTTTGGGTCAGGTCAGGTCACTGACCTATGACGTCATAAGTGAACCTCTGCACGGTCGTCAGATGTCGCAACTTCGCAACGCCCTCACTGCCAGAGGAGATGTCACAGGGAAATGAAACTTGCAGGATCTAGTATCCATTATGAGTCGCACAACTTGTATATCTCGGATTTTTCCTAAAGGTCATATGAGGTCAGGTCATTTTCGTGACCTCACCATTATAAGTCAATGGGGAAAAATTCAAACTGCTATTCTGGCGCCGGAAACGATCTCCAGCTATCTCAAGTACACAGAATCGTGATTTGATGCACTCCTTGCAAGGTTAGATGCGTCACTTTTGCAATGTTGACCTTCCGTGACGTCATTTATGACGTCATCAAGGTCATATTAGTTTTTCGTCAATAACTCCCGATCAAATTGAGCTAGCGAGTCGGGAAAGCCACCAATGGACTCAGGAAGACCTGCCGAATCGAATGATATGCGATATGACCTCTTTCGACCAACTTCGTGACCTGGGGGTGCTGACCTGACCTTGACCTGAGGTCAACACCCTAAGTTGACCTGACCCGAACAAAAAGTATATCATTCGACGCGCCTGAGCAAGGCGAACACGATGCTGCCAAAATCGCGGCTCTGCGGCCGTTTTTTGCGAAGTTATTCACCAAAAACTGAACCGTACCCTGGGGCACTTGACCTGACCTCAGAGGTCACCGGTTGACCTAGGACCTTAAAATCGGGTACCAATCTCTGCGTCTCGTAACGGCGCACACGCTCGTTTTTTCCGCGACGCGCTAGCTCCACCAGGGGCGAAACGGCGAGGGGGGGGTCGTACCCGCCCCCCCCCCTCGGCCGGCGCGTATGTAGAAAACCAATAGGTCCGGCGAGGGTTAACATTCATACACACAGTCATACTTGTGCAAGGTGTCAGTGTTCGGTTGTGGGGTGTAATAGCCAGGGAAAAAGTTCTATGAACTGAAAAACCCGGCGCCTATTACTTCGCAACATGGTTGTGTATTCAACATGAACTGCAAGGAGTGCAGACGACATTGCCTGTGCTAACTTAACGTCTCACGGGCAGCGCCGCGCTCTGACACCTTGGTCCCAGAAGCGGCGGCGTTTCTGACCGCAAATCACCGGAGAGCCGGTCGACGCCGTTGAGGGGACTGAGCAGGCCGCTGCCAGCTCCACCTTCACGTCCGCGCGGCGCAGCTCGGTGTGCGGCGGCGGCTCATCGCGCGGGCCGCACCCGTCCGTCCGCTGCACGAGCCGCTTTTCGATCCGACAGCGCAACACCGGCACGCCATTGTGCTGGCTGAGCGGCGGCAGCGGCACGTAGGCAACAAAACAGTAGAAATCGATGGGCCTGGATCGGCGTTGCCAGCAACGCCGGCAGCGGCGCGGCGGGAGGCGCCAGTGCCGCCGTCGGGGACGTGTGCCCTTCGCTGCGCTCATTCGAGTTGGCCGGCCGGCCGCGCGGCGTAGTCCTTTTGACACGGTGCGAGAAGAGCCGGATGAAGGTGGACTTTTTATTGGCGTTGCTGGTGCTCACGCCGCCGGCGTCCAGTTTGGGCGGCAAGTCCGAGTACCAGGAGTCGGACAAGTCCCGCGCGAACGCCGCCAGCCGGTCGTCGTCACTGCTGGCGGCGGCCCGGCCGCGGCCCCTGCCAGGCCGCGCCACCTTCACCGGCGCAGCCGCCTTCAAACTGCCCTTGCCAGGCGCGGATACAAGGGGGGGCCATGGGGGCCATGGCCCCCCCCTTGGCCGATTTTTTTCAAAAATAAAATAAAAAGTTAAAAAGTTAAAAAGCTGAAAAGGGGGCCTCCTGAAAATAAAGTGGCCGAAATCCGATGAGCTTTTTTTTTTAACCTACCCACTTAGTTATTTCTTAGAAGACTAGCTGAGAAGACTCCTTTGTTAGAAGATTGGTAAAGCTTTTCATAACTTCGAGGTCTCTTATACTCGCAGAGATGACCACTTTTACAGGGCCTCCTAACCTGCACAGAGGGCCTCCAAGCCTGCACAGATGTTGAGATGTTGCCTGAACAGCTAGATAAGCTCAATAGACGCAGTTTTTTGGGGGGGCCCAACAAGTGGGAAGATGGGGCCTCCAACAGGTGGGATTATGGGGGGGCCTCCTGGTTTCTAATGGCCCCTCCCTTGGAGATTTTCTGGATCCGCCCCTGGCCCTTGCTGGGCGGCGGGTTGGTCGGCGGAGGCGGCAGCGGTGCCTCGACGTCAGTCCGAGTCGCTGTCACTGGGCGGCCGCCGCGGAGACGGCTTCTGTTTGACCCGCAGCCGGCCTGGGCCGGCTCGGCGCCCTCGGCCGGCGGCGCGCGCCGTTTCGAGCGTTTCACCTTTTCACTGTTACTCTCGCCTGGTCCTCAGCGTCGAGCGGCTCGGCGCTGTTCGGTTTCATGTGGCCCATGCTGCTGGGAAACTCGGGTGGGGACAGCTTTCTGACTGGAGTGCCGTCGAAGATGGAGGAGACGGGGGTGCTCGCAGAGTCCTTGCCCAATGCCCATGATAGAGCCGAGGCTCCACTGGACGCCCAGCTTAATCGGGCTATCGCCGCCCTCCTTCTATGGTGGATTCTTCGGCCCCCTACAGCCACTAGGGCCATCATATACTCCCAGATGGCGGCACCTAGGGGATGAGGGGGGGGGGTGTCTGGGCCACTTGTCCACCTCGTGGCGTCGCCAGCGACGCCTGCGAGTCGGAGCAAATGATTATGGGGTCTTCCTCGAAGGACGGGTGCTTCAGGAGATGTTGCTTTGCCGTTTTGGGCGCCACCATCTCAGATCGGTAAATGGAGCAAATCCTCCCCGCCGCCTCCCGCAGTACCAATGTTGTACTGTCTGGGTGCTCGGTGAGGACCCCAGCGCCGCCTTCCTATTACTCCCCCGGTCGCAGCCCCGTCGACCCAGGCCCACGTCGCACGCTGGGGGAGCGCTCCCAGTCACGCCTCCGCAGCACTCCTCCTCGCTGTCGCGGACGCCCCGATCGGCAGCAGGTCCAGGTGGACCGTGACGCCGTCTGTTGGCGTCTACGGGGGCAGTCTCGTGGATAAGCGCGCCTCGGCGGGCAGCGCCACTCCAGTGGTCCCACACCGCTCCCCCGCGCTCTCTCCAGCCGGTCACTGACTTCAGTCACGGTTGGGGGGGGGGGGGCTTCCGCCACGACGCGGCGGGTCCTCCGACGGGAGGGAGAGCGCCTTCGCCAGTAGGCGCGATGCCAGCGCATCCCTCCTCATCTCTCCATCGGCACGACGCCCGCCTCGGCCCTCACGGCGAGTCTTGGAGCATGGAAATCGGGCAGCCAGTGATGACTCATGCCACCATCAGCATCTCCGCCTCCAGGACGCCAAGATGTGTGGCCGCAGCCGCAGGCAGCCACGCCGACCCCGCTGCCCGCATGCCCAAGTAGTCTCGAATCGCTGACACCTCTCCTGAAACAAGAGTGGTGTCGTAAACTTAAACCCCTTGCTGGAGCCCGCCAGCCGCGACAACACCGCCACACCAATTTTTGTGACCCCGGAACTTCCGTCCCGAGCCTTATTTCACGGCACGATGCTACAGTGCGCTACACGTATTGTGGTATTCAGCTTCCATGGAAACATCAACTAATTTGGACGCTCAAACATGGGAGTCAGGAGTGGTTAAGGCCCAGAGCGTTCTGTCTGGTTTATAAAACCTTGGCCGGCAGATGTAAACGTGCTTTTTGTATAAGTGGCTTAATTTTGACGCAAAAGGGCACTAACCTTCGGCGCAAATAATGCAGAAATTTCAGCGCAAATTGCAAAATAGCTTGCGCCGAACTTCGGCGCATGACGGCTTCACGGGCGTCCGGCGTACCATATGGATGTTTTCCAGTTTGGGCTGCAGGTTTTAGCTCTAGGTTTTAGACTGTAGGTTTTGGGTTGGGTTGGGCTGGGCTGGGCTGGGCTGGGCTGGGCTGGGCTGGGCTGGGCTGGGCTGGGTTGGGCTTGGCTGGTTGGGGTGGTTGGGTTGGGTTGGATTAGGTTAGGTAAGTTTAGGTTAGTTTAGTTTAGGATAGATATGAATACCTATTTTTTGTAAGTTGAATTATTTTTTTCATTTTGTAGCATCATATGCCTTCCATCTTTGAACTGCCATATTCAAGCACCAGAATAAGTATGGACTCGAACCTTTTCCAGTCTGGATGCCTGTATGGAAGTTGTGCAAAATCATGCAGCTGAAGGTATTGTAACCACAAATAAGAGCTCATGACTCAAGTCTCAACTTGTCCATAATTGGTTATCTTGATGTATACTTGTAGACCCTTCCTCTTACTTGGCACACAGGCATGGTGTCACAGTGTTCTAAAATTGGATTTCAATTGGGTGTCCCAATAAAAAAAATCTGAAGACAAAATGAGATAGATTTAGTCTTTCCGCAAAACTGCATAATGCCATTTTTACCTCAGATTTTGTCAGAACCTTCACAGGATCTGAAATGAAATGATGTAGAGTAGATGCATCAACTGTCAAGTCATGCGTAACCTAGCAGCTGGCTGTTGAATCAAACTTTTGACATATTTTTTTAGCAAAGATGAAATAAAGCCACTTGTCATATTTTTAGGATGAAAACATTTTCCCCATCATGTGTGGTTATTCACCTAAAATTCTGAAACATGGAACACTGTCATACCAGCATTCCATCATGTCAACCAGCATTCCGCAGCATGTTAGCAGAAGCAGCAGCATGTTATAAGTATATGAAAGATCCAAATAGGTTGTAGGTTGGTAGGTATTGGTACTAAGTTTAACTTAATAGGTTAGTAGGCAAGGTAAGGATTAATTTTAGTTGAGCATCAAGATAACCATTACGAACAAGTAACAAAATCCTTACCTACCCTTGAAAGCATTGCTTCAATCACATCATCACGAAGAACCAGACAAAATTTTTGCACATTCTTACACTATTTGACATCCTGAATCCAGATATGATGCTTTCATGTGGCGCAAATACAAGAAAAACGAATAATCAAACCCGTGCGTATTCGTATCAACGGCGCCACAATTGTAGATCAGACCTTTTCTGAACAAATGCCACCACAATTTTAATTGATAAGGGATTAAAATGGCATGAGCATCAACATCTTGATTTTTTCTAAAAGATAGCGATAACTGATAACTAATAACTTACCATTCATTTTGAAATCACGGCGGTAGGTACACCAACACATGGCACTGAAAACAGCAAAAGACGGAATGGCGGAATGTCGTATGGAGCCCTAAAACGCAGCTCGAATTGAGCCCGAAAAGGAAGACGAACTGATGCCGCTTTCGGGGCTAATGTACTTTGAGCCCGAAAAGGGCGCCTAACTGATCCCGATTTTAAAATCATACAGATTTGAGCCCTGTTTTGGCACTCATATGAGCCCTTATTCAAAAATGTTCTCAAAGTGTTTTCTGAGTGTATGTAAGGGACCGCCATAAACGGTTGGAGGCATAGTGGGGCCTGATGTCTTTTACATATCTTTAAACAGTGTCTGAATGAAATTTAAGTTGCTTTACCATTTTCGTTCTAGGATGTGCTTCGAGTTTATTATACATGTCTAATGTCTTTTTTGCCGCCAGTAGCAGCCTGTCATTTGAGTCACTCGTTCAGATATGATCAGTCCCTATCCCAAACATGCTTAGATTACTGCCGTCTACATATATCGACATGAACTCTGATTCTGTATTTGTGCCCGTGTGTGCGTGCCGACAGGGTCCCGCTGGTCCCCGCGGAGAGCGAGGCAGGGACGGACCACCCGGTCCGGCCGGTCTCCGCGGCATTGACGGCATCGCTGGACCGCCTGGTCCACCGGTAAGACTTTCCGACAGTAGGCGCTGAGGTGTCTGAATCCACGCAGGCTGTGCTAGAACGCTTGAAAATATTGCTGTTGCAATATCTACCGATAAGCCAAATCACTACCCGCGCGACATAGCACAGAAGTTGGCTCCGTTCACGAGCGGGTATTGCGGTACAGCCTAACTTTAGGCGCCTACCACTAGTGTCATCTAGCGGCCGGGCGATCAACTACAGTCTACAAGCGGGCGGGTAGCTGTAACTTTTACGCTCTGCACGATAGAAGGAAACGGTTTTAAATGGAACACTTTTACAATAAAATAGATAATATATGACCTCTCTACTGCTGATTTGGTGCACCGACCTGTGATACCCTTCTCTTCCGTCCAGGGCGCAGCCGGCAAGTCGGGTCCTCCCGGCTTCCCCGGTAGTCCTGGAGCTAAGGGAGACCGCGGCGCCGAGGGACCCAAGGGCAGCGTGGGACTCCAGGGACCTCGCGGTAAGTGGTTCTGTGCCGAAGGCCTATCTCATGAACCAAGCGTCATGTTACTGTTACTCACTCTCTGTTAGTCTATATAATGATTTGGATGTGATGAAGTTATAGCAGACTTAATAAATGTTGATTAAAATAAAAATTTGTGAAGCACTTATCAATGCGTGCTTAAACACGTGTTATAAATACGTTTCGTATAAGTTACATTTCCCGCATATTCCGATCTTATTTACCGTACTCTATGTGTTTTACGATAAGTGTGACTTCCTGGACGTCCCTGACGTTCAAGCTGTGTATGTTGATTAAATGCCCTGAGTCTGTCCTCTGACCGAGCGGCATTCTCTTTACCAGGTGAGGCCGGCGCGCCCGGTCTTCCCGGCGAACAGGGCGCTCCTGGTAGGCCCGGAAAGGACGGAGCCGATGGCGAGAAGGGCAGCTTCGGAGCCCCCGGACCGATGGGCCCGCCAGGCTTCGCCGGCCCTCGCGGCCCGCCGGGTAACTCCGGCAGTCCCGGCCTGCCCGGACAGAAGGGAGAACAGGTGAGGGTCGGTCTGACGGAAATGATGGGTATTTTAGCGAGGTCGGGCTCAAGACACTACGAGTACAGGGCTTAGTTACGACTCCCTGAGGTCGTCTAATATCTCAAATCATCAAAGTACTATAAGCAAAGAGCCTGCTGTAGCTGAGTTGCACGTTAGACAATGCCTCGTCCATGAACTGTTATCGATGCAGCTGTATAACCGTAATGTTTTGTTTTGTTTCAGGGTCTCACCGGCTCTCGCGGCCTGAAGGGCTCCGTAGGCTCCAAGGGCGACTCCGGAGAGATGGGAGCCCGCGGCGCGCCGGGCCCGCCCGGATCGGACGGCCGACGCGGCCGGCGGGGTCTGCGGGGTCCGCCGGGTCTGCTGGGCCCTCAGGGCGAGCGCGGCCCGCCCGGCTCGCGCGGCCTGCCCGGTGCTGACGGCCCGCCCGGTCTGAAGGGTTCCGTGGGCGACCGTGGACAGCCGGGCGCCATGGGACAGAAGGGCTCGACTGGAGACACCGGAAGACCGGGACCGCCCGGACTGGTGGTGAGTGCTGACTGCTGAGCATCGTGTGCCGAGTACCGAGTACACCTTTTTATCCTTGAATTAAAACGGGTACGAAGAAATTTTCGAAGAAAAGCATTGTTTCTCTGCTGACATATTTATGCTACACTCATTGGTAAAAGTACTTCGAAATAGCTTCAGAGCAATGGATAGGAAGCATGCTAACTGCCTCGGATACCTTGCTATGTTTTAGGTTCCTTTATGGAGCGTACTGACTGTAATCTGCTCGTTTCACAGGGCGAGCGAGGTCTGCAGGGCCGCACCGGCAGTCCCGGCCGTCCGGGCCGCACGGGAGACCGTGGTCTGCCCGGAGCTGACGGCAAGAACGGAGAGATGGGCGCCACCGGAGCGCCGGGTCTTCCCGGACCCGTGGGACCCATCGGAGCTCAGGGTCGACCGGTCAGTTACAGTGGGTGGGCCGTGACCAGCGGTCTGCTGCCTCATGTCTGATGACTATTGCCCGGTGACATTAAGAACCGATTTAAGGAAAATCTACGGGCGAGTGAACATATATTCCTCATGTTTTTAGCGTGTGCTACAATTAACAAATGCGTAAAATAATCAACCAAGGCAGTGCATTGGTCTACGTTCGAGAGTGTTATGTAACTGGAATAATAGAGGTGTTTTACTTTTTTTCTACGAATATGGCTTATCATAACCAGTCATCAATGACCTCTATGATCACATCTTGTGACAAGCTAACACATATTCGGTTGCCTTTGCAGGGAGAATCAGGCAAGGACGGCAAGCCTGGCGAAGCCGGTCCTCCGGGACCACGTGGCGACGCTGGCCGTGACGGACCAATGGGACCAATTGGACCGCCTGGACCACCGGGGTCGGCCGGCGCCCGCGGTCCCGTCGGACAGACCGGTGCCCGCGGCTTCCAGGTACGACCACCGAGGGAGTGACGGATCCTAACGGTTAGACTGCCGGTGTCCTCGTTAACATTGGCATGTGATTGTTTGAAATATTTCTTACTTTTGATGACGACAGATGGCGTTGCAGTTTTGAAGCTACGAAACACGGCATGTCTGACGATATTGTGATCATTCCAGGGACCTCCTGGAACTCCGGGTAGCCCGGGTAACCCCGGCAAGGACGGCGAGACTGGTCTGCAGGGCCCCACCGGACCGCCCGGAGAGAGCGGTCCCCGCGGCGCCCGCGGCTTCCGAGGTGGGTCCGATCGCACGGCACAGACTATAGGCCCTTACACAGGCTGTGTTTGGCACATATCTGTCTCATGTATGACCAAGCGAACGAGACTTTTGCATTGTTTGGTAACTGCCAGATACGTTTTTCTTTCCTCGAGAGATGGCATGGCTAAGAGATCTTTGCCTAGTTCATTTGCTATCATGCCGTCTCTAGTTATATTTGTTGTCCGCTCGGCACTTGCCCATTCCGTCAACAGGTGAGCGCGGCGCCATGGGTCCTCCCGGAGAGGCTGGCCAGCGCGGCGAGCAGGGCGCCATCGGTCCCGATGGACCGCCCGGCCCCATCGGACCCACCGGAGAAAAGGGCCACCGAGGAGCGCCCGGACTTGTGGTCAGTAAGACCTGAAACTCGCCGGCTTCAATAGTGTTATCGTAGATACTACTGAGTTGACGGATGCCTGTGTGGTCCCGCCACTGCTATCGGAGTTTTCCATATTTGACGAAATTATTGATGTACTGAATTAGACAATGAACATTGCACATTGCGGATGTTCATGTTTTGTTCGCCGAAAACCAATGCGTACTCTAACGCGTCGGCTTGTTGCAGGGTCTGCCCGGCAGGCGCGGTCTGCAAGGCCAAGCTGGCCCCAAGGGCGAGATCGGCTCTCAGGGCAAGATAGGACCGGAGGGCCCCGCCGGCCGGCCGGGCCCGCAGGGTCTCCAGGGAGAGATGGGTCCCATGGGCCCGCCGGGACAGTCCGGAGAGCGTGGAGAACCGGGCTCCCCGGGACCCCCTGGAGAGATCGGCAAACCGGGTCTGCTGGGCGCGCGCGGTCCGCCCGGCCCGCAGGGTCTGCGTGGCTTCCCCGGTCAGCAGGGCATCACTGGATCGACCGGCCCAAAGGGACAGCAGGGCCTGCCTGGACAGAAGGGAGCTCAGGGAAACCCGGGAACCGAAGGTAAGGATGGTCTATGAACGGCGCTCTCCATTAAAAAATAAGCAATGTCCGTCGACTTAAATTAAACAATAAAGAGTTGTTATCCAGTCGTATTGCAAGAAACATTGTAAGTAAATAAAAATGTATATTGTTTGGCTCGCACAGCCCAGCCTGTTTGTTCTAAATTGTTCTGCTTCACCAGGCAGTGACTGACTGATACCGATTTTGCAATCCACAGGAAAGCCTGGTCCGGTGGGCGCTCCGGGCCCTTTGGGTCTCACGGGAGCCAAGGGCTCTCGCGGAGACCCGGGACCGGTGGGCCCCTCCGGCTCGGCGGGGCCCCCTGGCCGGCCGGGCGAGCAGGGCCCACAGGGCCTCCAGGGCGCCACCGGCCAGCCGGGTCTGGCCGGCCTGCCGGGCATCAAGGGCGCGCAGGGCGACATCGGCCGGCCGGGCATGCCGGGCGCCGCCGGCAACCCGGGCAGCCCCGGACCGGAGGGCGTCAAGGGCAGCTCTGGCTCTCCGGGCCTGCCAGGCCTGATCGGACCCGTCGGCCCTCCGGGAGCCGCCGGCGAACGGGGCCTTCCGGGTCTCCCCGGAGGCCCGGGGCCCAAGGGACCGCAGGGACAGCGCGGATCACCGGTAAGTGCCTTTCTCTGTGCTTGTAAACAGACGTTTGTATTTATTTGTCAAACATTTCCGTTTATTTTCCATCGCTATGAAAAGGCACAGAAGTGACGTTTACCTCTCATCCTCTGCCACCAGGGAGAGCCGGGAGAGGTGGGATCTCGCGGCCTGGAGGGCCCTCAGGGCCAGCCGGGTCTGCGGGGCCCGCCCGGAAACCCGGGTCCGGCCGGAGAGCAGGGCCCCATCGGTCCCGAGGGCAAGGTCGGCGCGCCGGGCATCAGCGGCCGTCCTGGAGACAAGGGACCGCCGGGAGACGCCGGGCAGCCGGGCATCGCAGGACCGCCCGGCCTCCAGGTCAGTAGCGCATCACCCGCTAGTTGCCACCGGAGTGTCCATCAACTAGTGACAATCGTACGACGAAGAAACACCGTTATGAGATGTCACTTGGCTCGATAAACATTTTTCATTGTTTTTAGGGTCAACAATTCTCTTCAGATACTATCGATTCAGATTAGTTATCGTTTGCTCGCTGCTGTAATTGATATAGTCTTCGGTGTTGCGTGATCTTCTTGGTCATATGATGCATCAATGTTGACCACCATCTCTGTTGTGCATTAAACGCCGTCAGTAAATCCAATCTTTTCACGGTATACTCTGATGCACTCCGTAGTCACTGATCGTTCACTCCTTTAACATGCATTGTCTTTTGACAGGGCGCCCCGGGTCCGGTCGGCCCGCCGGGTCCCACCGGCGAGCGGGGCGAGCGTGGCGAGCCCGGTATCCAGGGCGTGGAAGGCCCCACCGGCGAGCGCGGCAAACAGGGCCCGCCCGGCCTGCAGGGGCCCCGCGGAGAGCGAGGCCCCGAGGGCGGCAAGGGAGACAAGGGCCACCGCGGTCTGCTCGGTCTGCAGGGACTGCCAGGCCCGGGCGTGAGTAAATTGGTCATCTTACTTGCTTAGAGCGCTTCCGACAAAACGTGATTAAGATTAAAATGTGTTGAATTTAAAATTTTTAAATGAATATATAAACTGATAAGCTATAAAATAACAGGTTAAACGACATATTTATCGTTCAACTAATTTAATTCCATGCCCTTCTGTCTATATAGGGATAAGTGGTCAATGTCAGTGTAACTTTTCTGATTGTATAACTATGTGCAGCTATCTATGAAAAACATTTTACGCCTGTCGCTCGTCCACAGGGTCCTCCTGGAGAGAAGGGTCCGCCGGGTACCCCGGGTCGGCCGGGCAACCCCGGCGAGCAGGGCATGAAGGGCCCGCCCGGCATGGACGGCGTGGCCGGTCCACAGGGCATCGCCGGCCCGCCGGGCCCGCGCGGCCCCGCCGGTGACTCGGGCCGGCCCGGCCAGCCGGGAGCGCCCGGACCCGCCGGCCCGCCCGGTCCCCCCGGAGAGTCCGTCGGATTCGACGTGGCCGCTCTGCAGGCGTTCATGCAGCCGTCATCGAAGGTAAGATAGCAGGGGAGAGGCTCTTATGTTTTTACGTTCTGAAAATCGCCTGGCCGTCTGTTAGCTGAGGCATAATGATCACTTATGTATTTCTTATGTATCTTTTCAAACGTTTGCACGTGAACCTATATAAGATTCAACCAAAGAGGATGCTTACTGCAAATGTTACAACTGCAAATGTTACAAAAGCCGACCTTTTTTTACTCCGTGTGCAAAGATTAGCACACACTTGTTAGTCACTTCTAGCAGTCTGCACACATAACGAACAACACGCCCAGCCTCATGTCACTCACCGTTTTCATCGCTCAGGGTCCGGACCCGCTCAACAGCGACGAGCCGGCACGACTCGGCAAGGATCTGACCGACGACGAGCGTAAGGAGATTGTCCTGATGGCCTACAACCAGCTGCAGGACAAGTTCAAGACGCTGATGAAGCCAGACGGCAGCGCCGACGCTCCTGCCAAGACGTGCCGCGACCTGGCCGCCGCCTACCCGGACAAGGAGAACGGTCAGTCGCGGGGCTCCCTGGGTGTCAGCCAGACTCGCTGGTGGGATGTGGGATGGCTCGGGGACAAATCCCATGTCGGGATAAGGAGAACGGTCGGTAAGAGGGCTTACTGGGTGTCAGTCAGGCGCACTGGTGGGATGTGTGGGAAGGCATGGCCTATGCAAGACGTCAGAGATCATTTACGCTTTTTTCGTGAACAGGTAACAACAGCTATCGAAAACAGAAGCACATCGGACACTCAAACAGGCGGTGCATGAGTCGTGAATAAGTCGTTTGTCTGATGCTGGATTATCAATCGAACCGTGTTGACGTTAGCTGACGGCCTCCTTTCTGTGGTTCAGGCGACTACTGGATCGATCCGAACGGCAGCGACAAGAAGGACGCCATCTTTGTCTACTGCGACATCGGCCGGCGGATGACGTGCATCAACCCGAACCCGCCGGCCACGGGAGAGATGGCCGCCTCCAAACGCAGCCGCGAGCACCAGTGGTTCTCCGAGGACATCGACGGAGGATTCGAGGTCAGAAACTACGCGGCCGTCCGACCCCTCGCTCGAGGCGACCGATCTCACCCAATACTCGTACAACACCCTCAGCTAAAAATTTTGACTTGCAGTACTGGGACCCGCAGTTGCTTCTGTACACACTACACCTTTTGTCAGTTTATTTCGGGGCGTAGTCGTCCATTTTAGAACTAACGAAATGTGTGTAGACATACCGCAATATTATGTACAAGAATCACATAATATCTCGGCGCAGGTTAGGCAGTCGGCGGTAAAGCATTCAATTTCGGCACAGCGGCAAAACGCTCCATTTTCAGCGATAGCGCAAGTAGAATCGGCTGCGCCAGCACGGGTTTAGAGGTAGCGCACGCTATTTAGCAACAGTAACAACCAAATTCGGCACTGTTCATTCAATTTCGGCGGGTAACCGGAGGCACCCAGGTGATTCATATTTTCAGGAACGCTTCTTGAGCATCAAATGAATCCCCATACAGCTTTGTGACTTTGAGATATTCTCAGGGGGAGAAAAGCAGGCCATTGTTTGTTTAGCGTCACAGTACCTACCTAAGATCGTTTTGCTGTTTCCCGTTTCGAATTCTGATGTGAAAATTGATAAACTTTACTGAATTAGTACCTACCTACTATCTATCCTAAAAAGATAACATCTGTGGGCTGGTTTCTTTTTTGTATTACCCGCTCCTGTCCGCACATGGCGGACGACGATCGAAAAGGCAACCGCCAATCGTTGTTGGACTCGAGGCAAGCCCCGATTCTCTTTCATTGAAGCACGTCTGTGCTGTTGTCACTGTGTGCCAAGTTTTTGCCCAAAACATGAACCCATTTTATCAAAAGACCTGTTATTTTACTTCACTTTGAAAGCAACCCATCACCTCGTCAATCAAACATAACACAATTAGCTCAGCCATACCAGAATAAGTCCTACCAATCGGTTATCGTTGCACTTCCTGTTATCATCTCCTATTAATCAACTGCCAGCGTGAAATATCAAACATCCCTTACCTACTGTGTGCAGAAGGACACGAAAATAAATTAATCATTCCGTATCGTATCATCACGCCTCCCCTCACCCCACCCTACCCCCACGAACACCACCAGACCCAGAGGCTTAGCGCCAACATTCTAACCCGTTCCATGGACAAGACTCGTGGTTGCGGCAGGTGTATTTTTCTCCCCCCCCCCCTCGCTGAGCATCTGACTGTCCATCCGGCGCTCGGCGCATCCTTTCAACAACCGCGCGACGACACCGGGCGACGGGCGTCTCTGGCGCATGGGCGGGGTCAAAGTTCAGTAGTCGCGTACCCTGTCGGCCTGGTTTTGTTCTCCGCCAGCTTCGTTTTAACCCGCGCACCGACGGGGGGGGGGGCGGATATCCGCCCCCCTGAGGTTTTTCGCGGATAGCGGGAAAACCGCGGCGCGTAGCGCCGCGAAATTTGGTATGACTATTCTCTCATCAATTTTACACATGGTGTGCAAGTTTGAACCTCCTAACTTTTAAGGTCAGGTCACTAGGTCACTTTGAATGACCCAACCTCAAGTCACTTTTTTGCAACTTTGTCATCGTGCCAGAGCTACAGTAGATGTCGGAGGCCTTTGAAAGTCGCAGGATGTTATTAGGTCATTAGTAGCTACAATTTGTATACCTCGGAATTTTGATGTCGGTGACCTAAGGTCAGGTCAATTTTGCGACCTCCCCATTATAAGTCAATGGGGGAAAAATCAACTCCCTGTTTTTACCACTAAAACGGGTCGGAATGGCCCCATATACCATACATGACTTCACATACGATCAACCTTCACTGCCTTGAGGTCTGTTTTGCTGTTGGGCAGCTGTAAGGTCATGTGACGTCATCAAAGGTCACCAAAGGTTTTTTGCCAATAACTCCTTACAGGAACAAGATACAGCCGCGCGGATGGTCTCATTGTGTTCAGCTCGTCAAGACGCATCGAATGATATACATGATGACCTCGAGGTCACGTGACCTGAGGTCAACCTTTGACCTTGACCTTTCGAGGTCAACATATATATCATTCGATGCGGATTGACGAGAGGATCACGATGATGCCCTTAGTTTGTTCCTATCTTGACTACTTCGAAAGTTATTCGAGAAAAACCCTCTCCATATCTAGCGCCGCCATTTTGACTTTTTCGACTCCTGTGACGTCATCTTTGACCTGACCTGAAAATGACCTTAGTAAAAATTGTAGACCTTGTCCGTGCGTATCCGATGCCGTTTACCGCTTGTCGCTATCTTGCTTCGTTCTCGAGATCTCAGGGGGGGGGGGGCGGTCATCCGCCCCCCCCGTCGGTACTAAGTTGGCGCAGACCCCCGTCGGTGCGCGGGTTAAGCAGGTGCCTATGCACTTACGTTATTTGTACTTCCTTGATAGAAATTAATCGGCACATTGTAATGCTTTGTTTAACCCGCGCCCTGCTGGGGGGGGGTGTTTGAACACCCCCCTTGTGGTTTTTTTGCGAATATCTCAAAAACGGCCTTATCACACATCAATTCTACACATGTTGTAAAAATTTCAGACCAAGGTCGTTCAAGGTCAGGTCACCAGGTCACTTGAAGTGACCTCACCTCATAAAAAGTTTCAATGTCTGTCATAGCCACACCGAGTGACCGATCGCTTTGAAACTTTCAGCGATTGCTAAGAGCAATAGCATGTACAAAATGTTTATCTCAGAATTTTGATATCGATGACCTAAGGTCAGGTCAATTCTGCGACCTCCCCATTACAAGTCAATGGGAGAAAATTGAAATGCGCCTCTTTGGGACGAAAGACATTATAAACACTCCCAAACACTGCATTACAAGTGGTTTAGACACACTGAACATGAAAATGGTGTCCGTGACCCCTGTTTATGCCCTGAGGTCATCTTAGGTCACGAATGGTATCTAACAGTTTTTCGCAAATAACTTTTGATAGAGGCATGCTAGAGCGATGAAAACGCCTTAGATGTGTTCAGCTCGACGATACGGATCGACTGATATGCAACATGACCCTTTCCGGTCAGGTCATGACCTTGACCTGAGGTCAAATTTTCAAGTTGACCTTTCAAGGTCAAGTTATAGTTCATTCGATGCGTCTTGACGAGAGGAACACGATGCCGGTAAAAGTAAGCTCGTACAAGGCTTGGGTCAAAAGTTATCGCAGAAAAACTGTTTCCGAAAAAATCGGTTATTTTTGCAGTTTTTGCCCCCTGCAGGCAAAACCGTTGACGTTAGGTCAAATCTGAGAGAATTACCCAGAAAGGGCGTTAATAGGGCTATCGAATGCGCTTTTCCGCGGCGCTGTAGCCCTATTGGTTCCCGAGTTATGCGTTGGCTTCTTGGAAATTGTCGACATTCGACCTGGAAATCGGCGAAATTTTGCCTTCAATGACCTCTGGTGACCTGACCTTTGACCTGACCAAAAAATTGACCGAAGTGATTTCCTCTTTATTTTTGACGCTCTTTCGAACGCCGCCTTCCGCGTATCGCTACGTGACCCAGGAGCCGAGTTAGAAAGGGGGGGGGGTGTTCAAACCCCCCCCAGCAGGGCGTGGAAATCCAGGACCCCCAGCCGGCGCGGGTTAACCCACAGAAAGCACGAACATGAAATCATGCTCATCGCTGGCGATGGCGAAAGGAATATTCGGCCATAACGGAGAAGGTGGAGGGCCGGAGGCATGCACTCAAGTCCAGACAATGAGACAGTGGCAACAGTAAACACCTTGAAAAACGTTTGACTGAATAACAATGCTCCAACAAGCTAATTTTGTAAGCAAGAAGTCTCTGCTTGCTTCCAAATAGCCACCGAAATTGAATGAATATCGCCGAATTTGGTTGCTGCTGTTCTAAATATCGTGCGGCCGTCTCCAATCTCCAACAGCATCGCCGAAATACAATGCGGACACGCCGAAACCGGGCGTCTTTTGCTGCTGCGCCGAAATTAAATGCTCTAATGCCGATCACCGCTATAAACGGCCGACATGCAATGCTATACTGATACATTGCTTTGCGGTATGTCTACAAAGAATCCGCTAGGTCTAAAATGGACGCGCACGTACCGAAATAAACTGACAAAAGGTGTAGTATTTCAGCGTATTCTTTGCCTGTGACACCGTTGGAGGCGAATTGGGAAATGATTGTGTGCTTATTAAAACCACCATCTGAAGGGCTTGAAACTGATGTGCTGCTCTCCTAATTCAGTGAACTTTTTATGGCTATATCAGCAAAACATTGTTTTCAGCGGTTTTTCCTGCCCCATTCCTTCTGAAACCTGGAACCGCTTATTCCATTTACTCCTGCCATCTGACGATGGTCGTGCTGACTACTAGTTACGGCGCTAGTTACTGCTCCAGTTTTGCACCCGGCACAAACTCAGGCGGCACCGGGCCGTGGCTCGACCATGGGGAGGGTCGGACCGAGCCGACTGCCTGGGGCGCGGTTAGATCGGACGCCCTGCTGGGGAAGGGGACGGGAGTGAGGGGGAGTGGAGGAGGTGGTCACGTGGTCCGTCCAAGCTCGCAGACGACCTGACCTGTCCTGCGCCCAGCCATGTTCCGTGATCCAAAATGGCACGAGAGCTGTGGAATGCCTGGAGGAGACGCTTCGAAAGCGAACTTCAGCAGCATTAATTTACCATATTCTGTGGAGATAAATTAATATTATCTTAATGCAGAAAAAATTGTATGCCCAAGCTGTATAAGCTGTATCTTTTTAAAAGTTGTAAATATAATTATTTTAGGGACTTATAGGTTTCGTATACACAGTGAATTGTGTTACAATAAGCCGTTTCGCTGTTATGGTTACTAACTGAATCTAGTTATCCTATTTTGTCACAGGGAATGACAATACAATAACAATACGAATAAAACCAGACGTTTCGCACAAAAAAGTGCCTCCGTCAGTGGCAAGAAATAAGTAATTAGGCATACATGTTTTCTTTCGATAACATCGATGAAGTAGTTATCTTTATTTTTTTTTAAAGATATATTTTCAACAGTTTTTTAAGCACATCATGGAAGCTTATAAACATTTGTGTATTTTATTGGCAACCCGGCTGGCCAGACCGAGACGGTGCCGCATTTAGTTCTCATCGATGTTAAACCTATACACTCATTTTTCTCCACTGACGAAGGCACGTTGTTGTCCGAAACGTTTGGTTTTATTCGCATTGTTTTTTATATTGTCATTGTCCGTGAGAAAAACATACTCATATGGACTGGTCTCAGTTCATATAGAAATTGTTGCACATTCATCAACACAGATAAAATGAATATTAGCCCTCACCACACATATAAGTAGAGGTAAGTAGACCGCGCCCGCTGTTTTACACCAATAAATCGCGGCAAAGCGAAGGATTGCGACGATTCTTTGGTGCCCTGGAGTTAATCAATTTTACAACTTCCCGGAAAATTAAATAGCCCTTATCATTTTTGCATCTTGTCTGAGAATTTTAAATCCCTGAACCAAATAACTTTTAACCTGTGATTATTTTTCTCAAGATCATGTCAGGCCAGAATAGCAATTGAAAGTCAGCGCACATCTTCTGTGTGTTTCCATAGTCGTTTCGTGATTAGCAACGTGACAACATGTGAAATATATTATCTAATGTTTGTCTCATTAATTGTTGTGGGTGCCAAGGTCACGTGAAACTCAGGTTAAGGTCATTTACTTGAAATGATCTCGGTTAACTTCCTTAAATTTACACCTTTTTACTGTGGTTTTTAGGAAGTGTTGGTTTGAAATTTAGCACCCATTTTAGCATTTGAAAACTAGGCATACTTAGGTATCAGTTATAGTGCCTATGCAATATGATGCAAGGCTGTAAGTGCTGGTTAACATTCTATATAGCCGGCAGAACGCCTAATGGGTGATCTGGCGTGACCCGTCCTACCCCAAATGCTTTGATACATCATCTTTGATCAAAGCAAGTGCAAATTCGGAGTCAGAAGCAAGCCAAGTCCCAGCAAACTTCACTTGTAGAAATTCTAGCAGGACCCAATTTTCCGTGCTTTTGGGTTATTAACCTGATCTGGGAGGTCAACCAGTGACCTAGGATCTCAGCATTGACCAGGACATAAAAATAATTGGCTTTTTCTCGTCAGCGATGACCAGGACCCTCAAATCATCGGATTTCTCTCGTCACGAGCAACACGCTCTTTTTTATTTTTCAGCGAAGCTCTGGCTCTTTTTATCAAGGGCCGAATGGCTGAGGGTTTCTACGCCCCTCCGCTACATGTAAGACGCTGAAAAGAAATGCCTAAATAGGTGAGGTTTAAATATCGATTGCTTTTTAAGTGCCGAAGCCCGAAACACTTTAATTTACTTCGATAGCAGTTTTTAAGACCAACGAGCTCGAATAATATAACTTCTTGAACAATGTAAGCACCACATAAAATGAATCGTGAGAGAAGCGGCTCAAGATTAAGGAACTATGAGACACTTAATAAAAAACGGCATAGATTAGAAACTGCACCTAACTTGCACTGGTTTTTAAACTTTTTCGTTGCAGACTGGTAGATTAAATTTTGGGATTGATTTCAGCTGATGCTCAAATGGAGCTATTCATTCGTTCATTCATGCGACCATCCAATTCCATTCATAAAAGAAGCCAGTGACAAAATTGTTCATTTTAGATAAGTGTGAAATACAAACTCAATAAAAGTTTAATGATACGGCAAATTTGACAGCTTTTATAATGAACAGACAAATAACTTTAACGAATCAAGGTTGCGAGCCCCAAATAGGGGAGAGTGAGGTATAGATGAGCCAAGGCGCAAGTTTAGCCACCCCATGTTTCTCAGCTCCTACCGGTCCTATGGCGCTGATTGACTTGAGCTTCCATGTGCCGTTCGCTTACGATGCTGCAGTCTTTCACGTGAGACGGCAACGTTCTCACGCTCAGCACCCGGTAACATGTGGTATCGCCCCTGATAACTAAGACATGTTTGGCTTTAAAATGAGATTGTTATCTGCGGTGCAAGGTTATTTTCCTTAGCGGGTGTCATTAATCGAAAATGGCCACGGGTGGGGCAAGATGAGCCATTTTCACCTGGGGGAAGATGAGCCGGATAAGCCATTGTTGTCTCCGCTGTCGAAAACCAAACTGAGCTGCGCTTGTTTCTGCTGAATAAAAATGGTAGGAAATTGTTTTTCTTTGTTGATTACACAAGTTGTAAGTGATTTGCAGATTATCTGAAGGATAAAATGATTTCTTCCGTGATAGAAAACTTGACGAGTTATTGGAAGGCTTAAAACAGTTACTTTTTGATGGAGGAAAAAAAACTTTGCCATAAGTATGTATGCCATGGAGTAAATAAAAGAGCCCACTCTTCGCCGCGCCCGGGAAAAGAAGAGGTTCGCTTTTTCCATCCATGCTCAACTTTCCCCACGACGTGTCTCAACTTACCCCGCCCATGGGGTAAGATGAGCAACGTGCAAGATGATTTTTGACGTAGCCTTTCAGTACAAAAATAAGCGGTATGAAACATTTCTGGCCACCATTACATGCGCAATGACCACTCTGTCCGTCCAACCCGTAAACGCAGAAAAATGATCAGTAAGTTAGCCTGTAGCTTACGAAAAACAAAAGCGGCTCAACTTACCTCATTCATCCCTACGTTACACAATTGAGGGCATTTTTTAGGCCATCACAGTATTTGTCAACAATTGTTGTTTGGGGGGCTGGGGAGGGTGGTTACTGGCTCATAAACTGTCCCCCCCAAATAAAAGAAAACGAAACCGATCATCCGCGAAAAGAACTATTGAGCTCGAACCAAGGTGACGAATCGATTTATAGGTATGCAGGATGACTAACGATGCCACTTTTTGACTTCTTGTGTCAAATAAATTCCATCATCTGGATAGCACGTCAACATTCTATTTGACATTTTACAACAAACGTATACTATTTGGCGCGACTAGCCTCATAAATGTTCTGAAACTAAAACCGTTTCTTGGCAATTAACTTGGACCACGTCATCCCAGCTTATGCACGACAAAAATAAAATAATGCTTCAGGATCACTGGCCTGAATTCGAATGCTTAAAGTTTACTCAAAACCGGTGTGGCTGAGGCACTCTTCGCTACATCTCGTGACGGCCACCATTGTGTTGCATTTTTCGGTAAGCTATAAGTTAATAAGGAAAGGATTGGTGAGTGGGTTGAAAATAGCCCCCCTCCACCCCCCCCCCCCCACACCCCCTCCTTCTTCTGGAAACATAAGTAATCGAAAGATCTGGCGATGGTTTATCCACCTCCTCTGCCGCCGCGCTGCGAGGCCTCGATTCGTTCGGTATGTGGCTTCCTGAGCGGTCCTCCCCGGAGGCAAGGTGAAAGGTCATGGCCTGTATCAGAAATTTATACGTTGCTGAATATGTTTTATAGTTCTTCCAAGGCCTTGGACACCGTTTTATTATATCGGATAAACATTGCACTTTCTTGTCAATCAATACATTTAAAGAAAACTTGACCATAATCTTATACTGCGGCAATTGTAGTTCTGCTTACGGTTGCCTCTTTATGATACGGGCCACCACCACCTCCACTGCGCTGGAGCTCAGGCGTTCTACCCCTCCCCGCTACGGACCGGCCCTCGGGCTAGGTGTGTTAGTACTGAGCGCAAACCTGTAGTAGTCACGTGACTTTCATTCACGTAGCGGGAACGGAAGCTATAGGCGATACCAAGGACGGGCTCTGGGGAGGCAACCGGCGCGGAAAAATAGCACAATTGTAGTTTTGGAAGAATATCTGTTGCGGTAAGAGGAATTATACAAAACATACGTGCTAGGAGCAAACATGTGTTATTCCTCCATACTTTGCGCTACATTTCCTTTCTCCAATGGCCAGCACTTAGCAAATAATAGCGCAATTCTAAATTGGTAATATATGTGTACAGTAGCAACTGCGGGTCCCTGTACCACTGCTAATAACCAATTGCTGGTTCACAAACTAGATAGAAGCTGGGTGACGGGTAGCGAGATTTGCGTCTTCCTTACCAACGTCGTGTTTGTGTTTTCTCAATGTTTCCATCCAGCTCAGCTTTACAGCCTCTAAAGAGGCGTTTACGGTGCACTATTTGGCTGTTGTTAAATCGTAATATGTAGATGAAGGGTTGCTAGGTTCCTTTTATCACACTTGTGTTACACAATAAGCCCGTGAACCAGAGGTCATGATAATAGAGACGTTATCTTTACGTTCTTGGTTGTTGCCAAGTTTAGCCGTTTTACGACTCATAAGCCTGTTATGATGTCCGTTTTTGTGAAAAGCAGACAAATGTACTCACTTGTAAGCTTAGAAGCTTCCATGGTGAGTCACATATGAATGACACATATCTTACGTGCATGGAACATTAGCAAAACACGTTACCGAAAGACGACCCGGTTATCTCATCCTTGCTTTCATTTTCCGGTCTTTATCAGAGTTGCTGATGCAACGTCCTTGCATCCCGTACTATTGCTATAAACCTTGTATCGTTTGTCCTACATTCCCTGTAACTGGGTCTCGAGTTACTGGGCCTCTTGCTGACAGTTGATTGTTACACTAAATGCGCTGAATTATAAAGAACGGAAACACACAGTTATCACGCTGACATTGCTGCTGAGTTTCTTGTTTTCTGTAATGACTTCCTTGAGGCACAATTAAGCATATCAGCTGACGGGAACACTGTACCTACTTACAGCCCAGCGCCATTGTTCAGCTTGTGATCATTCTCTGGACTAAGCGCACGACTTAGCATTAACTTTTGAGGTTTAACGATAGCCTCTCCCCTGTGTTCGCAGTTCTCGTATAAGGCGGACCGGAACCAGATCGGTTTCCTGCAGCTGTTGTCGACACACGCCGAGCAGAACATCACCTATCACTGCCTGAACCACGTGGCCGTGTACAACGCCCAGAGGCAGACGTACCGCGGCAGTCTGCGTCTCATGAGCTGGAACGACCAGGAGATCTACGCGCGAGGCCGTAACCGATACAACGTCATCGACGACGGCTGTCAGGTGGGTGTCTGTTCAGCGCTTTATGCCACGGTTCTCATCCCTCAGAATGTGTTAGAGCTGCGACAGTGGGTGGTACTTCTTTCTTAGGGTGCGATGATTGAGTCCTAACCCTCAGCCTACACTGTAAAAAATGATAACACGTTTTGTGTTATATGGCCAAAAACGACTCGGTACAGCCGTATCTCATAACACGCCACCGTGTTTTCTCATACACGGTAAATCCGTGCTACATAACTCGGTATGAGTTTTGACTTTCCAAAAAGTGGTGTTCCGTAACTCGATAAAGACGTGTTACCGAGTTCGATAACTCGTCAACATGTTTCTAGCGTATCGAATAACGTGTAAAATAGCTCGCATTAAAGATGTTAAGTGTTCAATAACACCACTGGTGTTTCTGGGCTCGGATAATTATCGGCTACGTAAACTTATTTGTGTTAACATATCCGGAAATTAGATGTTAGTAAACTCGCCATAAACGTGTAACGTGTTTCGTAGCTCGGTTCGTGTTCATATACTTCCCGTCCAGTACCTCCTTTTAGAATGTATATTAACGCAAAATGAGCTGCATTACACGATTCAATGATCACGTTGAATGAATATATAAATATATAATTCATGTGGACTTATTGCGATGAAAGGCGTACCTTCTTTGATGCAAACGGGGCTGTAACAGGCCCAACCGCGTTTAAACAGAGGTAACGTGTTTAACCGCAATAAATCGACATGAAGTATACATTTATAAAACTCATTCCACATAATTATTGAGGCGTGTAACACAGTTCGTTTTGCTTTAACACACATCCTCGTTAGCCAAGTTCATTAAGTCTCAGAGTACAGATCTACTCATTATATTTCAACAGATTGTTCACAGTAAACAATACACATGCGCTCTGAGCCTCATCAGAAGTAACACCACGGCGGACGAGCAGTGGACAGTGGTCCTCCGCGATCAGCAACACTAGCATTGTGAAAGACACCTATGAACAACACGTCTTTGGGCCTGGCGATGGGAGAGTAGAGGTGCCGTTTCACATGCATTCACTGGCGCGGTCTTCAGCTTGTCGAGCCGATCGTCGCAACGATTTTTTTAACGACTTTCCGGTCGACATTTGGGAGAGCTATTGCGTCAATACTAGCTGGGAGTTCTGAGCGCTGGGGCATTGAATTTTCTCATTGAACATGGGGAACATTGCCGCACAAACTAGGAGGCGCACACTCAGAGGCGTGTTGTCTTCGGAGATGGCAGCCTCGCTCCCCTCCACCCATGACACTATAGCGGTACGAGAGGAAATTCTAAAAAGCGTCCAACTTCTCCTGGTTCGTGTCTGAAATAAGAAAAAAATAATGTCAGTAAATGACGAAGTGCATGAATGTACGCCGTACGGCATAATGATACACACTCTAACCTTCGCACGGGTGGGGGGTCGGGGGGGGGAGCGTTGGCCACACCTGCCAGTTTTTTTGCGAGTGTAAAATAAAATCGGCGATCAGCGCTGCGAAACTTGGTATAGCTTATAATACATCAATTTCACATCGTGAGTAATATTTTCGATCCCGGGTCACATAAGGTCAGGTCACAGTCCAAGTTAAGTGATCATGCCTCTTTAAACTTTGTGATTCAGTCATTTCTAAAGTATATTCGTACATCCCAGAAGTTTGAAACTCATGCTATTGCATGAGCTTGTCAGTATGAACAATTTGCATTTCTCGGAATTTTGATATCTGTGACCTAAGGTCAGGTCGATTTTGTGACCCCTCCATTGACTTTTAGTCAATGGAAGAAAATTGAAATCCGCTTCTTTTGGCCGTAAATACCCTCAAACATCGGGACACAGATGAACATGGCACAATGAACCGGAAAATTGCACCTGTGACCCCCTTTAATGCCGCTGAGGTCATCTCAGATCACGAACCGTCTCAAACAGTTTCTGAAAACACCAGGAATGTGTTCAGCTTAACAATACGAATCGAATGACTTGCAACATGACCTTTTCCGTGACCTTGACCTGAGGTCAAATTTTTAAGTTGACCTTTTCGGGTCAACTTATAGGTTATTCGACGCGTCTCCCCGACGTCATTTTTCTTTGACCTATGACATCACAGGACGGCAAGCAAGGTCAAATTGTAGCAGTTTATAATGACAAACATTTTATTAAAGTGACTTATCATTTAAAAGAGACGACAAAACGTTGATACCTATTTAGTCAGGAAGAGAGGGGCAAGTATCGTAGATAATACTCTAGACTACTTTCAGTACCTAACAAGTGCTGAAAAAATCGGACGTCACAAGAACAGTCGCTTTTTATTTTTTAGTCTTTCATTTTTCAAATAACTATTTCACTGGCAGTTTTACAGACGGGAGATATGTTCAAAACCGTGACACTTTTTTGCGACACCCTGTAAAGGCAATAAGGAATAAGGATCTCTCCGACATATGCTCCGTTTTTAACTTCCCTAAATAAAAAAAAAAAACTGGAGGAGTTTTGAGTGTAGAAATATCAAAATATTGATATTTCTTTTTCGGAAATTTTGTGGTAGCAGTTTCCAATTTGCCATGCATTTTGTACCTAATGTGCGATTTTTGAGTCTTTTGATTGAAAATCTATTTTGTGATTTATTCCCGTGAACGACTTTTCTATTTTTTTTAGACGGAAAATGTCCGAACATGACCTCAGTTTGACCCCCATAACTCATGACCCGAGGTGACCTAGGACGCATTTTTCAGGAGTTGAGTGAAATTGATGTCCGGAGGAGTACTAGAATCGGCGAGTTAAAAATCGCGGCCGTTTGGACAGCTGGCCACGGGAGCGGGTCTATATAGGGCCTTGGGGAGCGGGACGAGAGAGAGAGGGAGAGCGCAGGGGTATAGGGCCTTGGCAGGGGTAGAGCGGGGCGCCGGGGCGCCCGGGCTCTCGTCGGATTTGGGTAATCGGTTATGCTTTTGACGATAATAAATATGTTAAACATGTGATTTTAATTTTCAATATCGGCTTCATATTATAGAAGGCAAAACCCTAGTCTACTAAAATACAACAGAGTCCCATGCAGACACTAATTGTGATTTGTGATATGTGAAATAATAAATCGGCAGAAATAGGACAATACCTTCTTATCCTGTTAGCAGTTGAGCCGCATTCATCAAGGAATGAAGTCCCGTGCCTCACAGTCTTGAGCTCTGACTGTGGGACTTGGAGATTTACCTTCATTCTGCTCATCTTGAGCCGTATTCTGAAATAAATAAATTGTCAGTTCGCAGCCAAACAGATGTCTACCTACTTCTTATCCATAGACAAATAGAAAAGCAGAGGGAGATACCATGGAAGAGAGAGAGAGAGATAGAGAGAGAGAGAGAGAGAGAGAGAGAGAGAGAGAGAGAGAGAGAGAGAGAGAGAGAGGGCAAGAGAGAAACCAGGCAGACTCATCATCACTAGCTGGTAGATACATGGCAAAAGTTGAAAAGGTAGAGTCAAAATTATTCATGTAAGTAGCATGTTTACAAACGCACACATAGCCACCATGACCAGTGGTGGAGTGGCAGAATGAGAATCAGGGCCGGCCCGAGGGCTCCTCCTTTCCATCCATAACGCCACACTAGTCACTACACGGATAATATTTATGTAACCACGCCTAAAAGGCATTTAATATCACTGATGTTATTGCTAAGAAAGATTTGGAGCAAGTATCACTTGTACTTACCAACGTCACACGCAGCACAGACACGAGCTCCCTGGATCGCACAAAGATGGCGACTGAGGCCCACGCGGCGCTGCATTTGGCGCGAAACTGAACCGAGTAAGTTAACAACCCACAGTGTTAATTGGTGTTAATGTCCCTCAAGATCGCGGCCCAAATAACCCCATTCGGGTTTTTAAACTCGACGCAGAGGGGTAAACACGCCAACGTGTCATTCAACACGGTATAACCGTGCGCAAAGATGCTTCCACAAAATCGTATTCGTGTTTCGGAACACATTGTCCGCCAAATGCGGGTATGAATACATGGCGATTACTCGAAAGGTGTCATTGTACATGGGGATTCCGAGCTAGTTCATCCTGATTTGGACCAACGGTGTTTTGCTTCGCAATAAGGTTTAAATTACTCGATAAATACGGATTCATTAGCAAGGTAGCTTGTTTGAACGCATCATTAAAGTGAGTCACAAAACTCAAACTGTGCTAACATTTTTTACAGTGTATGTCCTCAGTCCTGTTTCACTGCACCGCAAAAGCCAATCCGTGTCCCAGTGTAGGGGGACGGAGAAGGTCGAACAGACACCGTCAGCACCATGGCTAATTTCGTCAGGCTATAGGTCATAGTCATCTGTCGGACACTCTCGGCTCCGTCAACACCGTGTACCGTGGCACCCCAGGGTCACTGAGATCTCCGGACGCGGCCCGGGAAGTGCCGAGCTATCATCCACCTGTCGGTCTGGAACCACTGCAGAACTTCGCTGCAGACTTCCACTGCTGAAACGCTGCATAATTCTGCTGAAACAGAAACCGTGGAGGCTATACTACTGCACACCGGAAGCGGATCAATGTTCACTACGGTGCTATGGTTCAGAATAGTGGACGTTCCAGTGTTGGATATGATTCTGCATGCACGTCGTCATGCTTTACCCCGTCCGCTGTCACACAGTCAAGGTCGCATGGCTAGTAGTGTGTCGTCCCCGTCTCGACAGGGGCCGATGTCACGCGCCGTCTGTCTCGACAGGGGGCAATTCCACGCGTCTTCTCTCCTCGACAACTATTATGCGAAGTCACGCATCGTTTCCGTCCCGGGTCCTTTCACTGTCTTCTCGTTTGCACGCAGACCGATATTCTACGCATAACACGTGCGCATCTCGGGAGCCAGGGCTGGGCTGTCACTCTGTCTAGTCTACAGCCGAGGCAGCTTGGTCACGGGGCCAGGGATTAACGTCCATAAGAGGCGAGGGATGAGAACGAACCCGCACAGCGGGTGCCCGTTACATCATGTTGCATTGCTTTGTAGCGTGCCAAAGAGTGTGTGGTTAGCCGCTTCTCTTCACAATAGAATACTGATGAGACAGCGTGCTGTCGCTTTACAGCTGCTAAAAGTTTGTGGAGATGACTGCGGCTGGTGTTGTAATTCGGTTTTCGACACTGTTTGCAGTCTAGTGCAATGCCAACACTCCTGTCATGAGTGGTATGCTTTCAAAGCCGGTAAGACCCTAACTTGCATTCATTTGCTACCACCTCTGCTAGTTTTCGTTTTCCATGTGAATCTGCTACACCGGCACATAAGTCACTTTTTCAATTTTGTGTGGGAGGTTCGCCGATAGATTCGATTTCACATCGTGTTATCTAAACGGTTCTCAGTAAGTAATTACACAGCTTTGAGAAAATTCAAGGCCAGCCAAGGTGAGAAGTCGTTTTGGCAAACATGAAAACAGCAGCCAAGATAAATAAGGAGACACAATTTACATAACAGCAGTCGTGGAATGTAAATGACTTTAGGCGCCGTACCGATGACACACATCACTTCGCAAACTGTCATGTCTGTTCTCTGCAGCCCTCTGTATTTGTCGATGACCCATGGTATTAGGCAGTCAGCAGAGTAACAGCATATAACCACGGGTCGGAGTCACAGCCACCCCTGTGGGCGGTGCCGGACCCGTAACCGCGCCACTAACGCCGCACTGGCGCGCGTTGCACCACGTCCATCGTTGCCGCCGGCCGCGCGTCTCTCCCACGTTACGCCACGGCCGGCGCAGATGAAGACACTGTCGGCGGCCAAAGGTCACGGGCGGGCTGACCTAGCGACCACCGGTCACCGCAGGCTAGACGGTTGACCAGCCTTCACCGCAGGCGGGCCGCCGGCCATCGCGATGGTCAGCTGACTGATGACTGACCGATGCATCGGTCACTACAGATGGGCCGTTGACCATAAGTTAATACGGGCTGTCCAATAATAACATCGGTCATCTTGGGTTGGCCTATACCAACGATCGGTCATCGCAGACGGGCTGCCGACCATAGGTGACCGTTGACTGTCCAATTGCCACCACCGGTTATCGCAGATTGATAGCTCCCGCATCTTCACTAGTTATCTCCAGCAGCAATTTATCCGCGTCATCGTTCATACTTCCCTGTCCAGATTGACAGTCCAGATTTACAGTTTTTTAGAGCATACCTATTCTTAGCCAGGTGATCATTTAGTGGCTGGATGGCATTTCCCGTGAGGCACTCCCGTCCTAACAGCGACGAACCTTGGTTTGTCGACTAGCACAATGCTTGTCGATAGATAGCAGTAACATGGCTCAGATATTACCTGGCTCGTGGCCGCCTACGTGAAAAGGTATAATTCGCTTCATACGACGGGATGCTGAGCAGCCGTAGCAATCGACTTGTTAAGTTCTTGGCCATATCGATCATCTGGCTATGCGACGTTAGCACACACGACAACCGACTTGAATCATTTATATCCTTCGGTGATCACCCAAGATTACGCCCGGGCCATCTAGCCGACGCCGCTGGATGCTTCGTAACAGCACCTCTGTCAGCCACAACACAGCTCTGACTCCTCCTCCGCCTCGGCCTAAACAGCACGTTGCCGGCCTCCAAACGGCCGCCCTCCCCGTCCGGCGTCCGCCGCCGAGGAGCGTATGACCTTGGTCCGGGGGTGAGGGTGAGGGGGCGGCTCGTTGGCTCATCTCTCGCCGGCGGCGCCCCGTCACACTTGTGGCACCGAGCTGCCGACCGCGGACGGGGAGGGGCGGATGGGAGAATACGAGGTGGGATGGGAGGTGAGATGGGACGAAATGAGACAAGACGGGATGGGACGACAGAAGCGAAAAGAGGACGCGATGAGACGGAAGGCGATGCGATGAAGAGGGACCAGGAGCGGGACGTGAGTGACAGAATTGGACAAGCTATAGCGAGACGGCGGAGAGACGAGAACAGTACATATATAAAACACTACATTTACCGGACGGGAAGATACCGCACTTCACAAAGAACGAGGCTGGAATGGCACTGTCCTGGATGGAACGCGGGTTGGGAAAAGTCGAGAGAAAACAAGACGGAGGAGAAACAGGACACTGAAGGCTCCATGGCGACAGGAGGGAATGGGAATGAAGAGACTAGGAACTGACAGGGACTGGATGGATGAATCTTCCTTTAATTACTCTATAACCCAAGCCCGATGCGGTTTGAATTCACCTCGGCTATTGCGACAGTGTGCCCTGCTGAGTTGGTTCGTCAGGTCGCCTTTGGCGACGCAGCGTAGCCCGATACGGCACCCGACCCCGTGTCTCAATAGTTCCCCAGAGCTGATGAAATCAGCATTCCCTGAGTGAAGATACATCAACACACAAAACGTCTGTCACTCTGGTAGGCTAGGAAACCATGGGGGTGAAGGCTCTCCAGCTGAGTTTTTGAGAGGGGCACTGGGCAGCATTGAGTCATGTCCTTCCGCGCCTGTCTACATAGGTACCTACATGTAATAGCCGTGAATTAGCAATAGCAAGTCCTTGCTTAGCCACAGTCTTTCTTTCCGTATAACTTTCATCTGCTTCTGTCTCCGTCCCTTGACAGAATGACAGCGATTTGTGCCACCCAAACACAGTGCTCATTGTTTGCGCTCTGTCTGTCTGTGAATGTAGAATTACGCGTCACTACAATCCGCGCAATCTTATTGTGAGCGTCAGGAATGACACCCGCTGGTGTGACAGTGTGTTTTTGTAACCGCCTACCCCGCGAGGTCCCCGTGCGTGTAACTCACGCCAACCGAGGCGGACGGGCCTCGGCTGGTGGCCAGGTGGCAAGGGTCACCGCGGGCTGGGTGGCCGTAGGAACTGCCACACCAGCTGTCGCATCAGGTTTTAACGGCGACAGGCTTGCAAGCTCCCGTCTGTCGTCTTAGCTCTCGTTTCTCACAACATGTTGCTCCTCTCTGAGATGTCACTAGCCCTCCCGCGGTACGCTAACGTCGGTCTTACGGCTCGATAGTCGGGCGCAAAGTGACCTCAGCAGTCAGCACTCAGTGCAGTCGGTGAACCCAGAAGCCCTAGTTAGCATACCTAAGGCTCAATGTTCTAACTCTCGATCTCTCTGTGTTGCAGTCCTCGCCGTCGTACTGGGGCCAGACGGCCATCCAGGTGGAGACTAAGCGCACTCAGCGCCTGCCTCTGACCGACATCGGCCTGCGCTCGATCGGCCGGCCCGACCAGAAGTTCAAGATAGAGCTGGGCCCGGCCTGCTTCTATTAGAGGCCGGCGAGATGGGAACCAACACTGCCACACGGACGAGAGAGGAAGTTACGTGTCCGGCCTCCTCCGTCCCAGGAGATAGCGTTAGCAGCAGCAGCAGCAGCAGCAGCGGGAGAGGAGGTCGAGGAGGAGAAGGAGGAACTAATAGAAATTATAAAAATAAACAAAAGATAAAAAGGAGAAGCAGGATATTTAGAAGTCAGGAGAAAAGACCACAGCGGAGGAGCAGGAGTCTGAGATCAGAGGACTCTGTTAGAACAGAGAGCCGCAGTGCGGCGCGGAGGAGAGACCGACCTGGGCAGGGAGGTGACCAGTGACGATTTGTGATGTGATGACGTGCCGGAGGACAGGAGGACAGGGAGGGGGAGCGCGGTGTGTCGGTCGGGCCGCCGGACCGCCGGGCGGCGCCCACTGTCCGGCCCGGAGTGGAGTGGAGTGGAGTTGGTCTGGAGTAGAGTGGAGTGGCTAACTCCAGCCGCGGCGCGCTGGCCGGGAGTGGAGCTGCAGGGCTCCAGCCGCAGCGCGCCGGCCCGGGGAGTGTGACCGGTGCAGTGGGCGCCGTCCGGCGGCTGACCGATCCGGCCCCCACCGCCTCCATGTGATGGCCTCGAGAGAACGAGAGACAGTCGGCCGAGACATCTAGGCTCTAAGTATTTTTATATGTCTGTGACGTAGATAGTCCTAGGTTAAGGAGCAGTACTTGTGCAATAATATTATTCTTTGTGCTTGAGCTTGCGTGATTTGCTTATATGTGGTGTACGCGTACTTTAAGTCCCCTGTGATGTGTTCTGCAGCCCACCTGACGATCGTAATTAAGTAATTAAGGAATATACATGCGATGTTTGCTTTATGTTTTGTTGAGTTGTGCTTCCGATATCATGGGTGATAAGGGAAAACTCATAAATTAGAAAAAAGTTAGAGTGCTTAGCAGCATTCAGGCTACGTGCATACTAATTCTAATGTCATAAATTCGTGGTCCAGTCACAATTATTATTGCTGATAAAGGGATACTTTCGGGATGGGCGATGGTGCGCTAGAAAAACCGCTCCATGTAGCTCACATTGCGCAGCCAAATCTGCCCAGTACCGCAACAAAACCTAATCTTACCCGCGCCGGGGCAGGATCAAAATGTTTAGAATGAACATGTCTAGAAGAATTGCTAACATCCTAATATTCGATACTTTACCATTTCTATTCACACAATATTGTGTGTAAAAAGAAATTCTGCTTATCTAAGCTCGCCTCAGTTATTCATTTCGAATTGACTTGCTTTTGCGTACCTTTTTCATAAAAAGGGATGTGATTTATGCATGTATAATAGACCTTTATGGACTATATATAGTCCATAAAGAACGTCCATATATGGACTCACACGATGTATCTAAGTGAAATTGGAGCTCGTCAGAGAACAGTGTCAAACTAACAAAACCCACATATTTGTAACAAAGGATCTTCGCGCCTGTGGTGTCGGAAGGTCACGACATTTGACCTCTCGGCTGGCTTTCGGAACAGACGGGAAGATAAACACAGGTATCTCTCAGAAAACTGATGGCTGGCGTCTTAGCGTAATGCTGCGGCATGCGTATTCATGAGTCGTTGGAAATAGTAGTCATTTTTCACCGATTGCTGTATTTCCATAATTGTATGCTTGTATCAACAATAGACGGACATATCAGTTTCCACATAAGCAGAATGGCTGAAAGTATGCGAGTTGCGAATTATTTACATCAGTCACAGGTTGACTTTACCGTCCAATTAGACGAGCAGGTGCAGTAAGCACTGCCTTATATGACGGTGTTGGTGATCGTGAATAATTGCGAGATGCCTTTGAAATGTCATCAGATATAATGGCCTATGGTGTATACCTAACTAGCTGTTTCGAATCCCGTTGTAGTTAAGTTCCCAAAGGACCTTAAGAAGGTGAGAGATCACTGTCAAATAAGTAGTTATGATAACATTTATTAAGTGCTCTAGCGAGGATGAAATTGAATATAATAAAACAAATAAATGAAGTTGACTTTTCTTCGACATCAAAAATGTACATACAAACCAAATAGTATTAAAACGGTGAGCTTTCGGCCACTGACATTTATCGCACTAACGATTGACTTTTACCGTTGTTTTGATAACTTGGCCAATGGCTGACAGCTCACCCTTTTTAAATGCATTGTTTGGTTTGAACTTTTGTCGCGGAAAATTTCATCTTCCTTTATTTATTTGATTATAGTATTAAATACGCGCAAATAGAAATAGAGAGAGAGAGGGGAGAAAGAGAAAGAGAGAGGGAAGAGGGGGAGAGAAAGAGAGAGAGAGAGAGAGAGAGAGAGAGAGAGAGAGAGAGAGAGAGAGAGAAGAGAGAGAGAGAGAGAGAGAGAAAGAGAGAGAGGGGGAGAGAGAAATAGATGCTCTTTAACGGAAGCATTTACAAGTCTTTCTATCACTTGTCACCCACCCAGACATTTTGTTCTGTGAAACTTGTGGCACGTGTCAACTGACCGCTAACGAAAGCGAGAGTGCTAACTGTCGCTCCGACGAGCGATGTGGCGCCGGGGGCGTGACGAGCAGAATGGTATGGTGGAGCCGGCTCTGGACAGTCGCACCTCCCATCTGGAGTCGATCACCGTGTCCAATGTCCACCACCGAGACTCCGACACAGGGTGTCACTGCGAGCCGGCTTCCGTACTCGGTGCCCGTTACGCAAAACGTGACGGTGCGTATTGGAGATCTGGCGAATGCTGAACTCAAATCAGAGTGATCTGATCGGCTCTCTGTCCGGCTGCCATTGACATATGCAGGTAACGTTCGGCGCATGTGAGTTCGCCAAAGCAATTAGTGAATTGCTGAATCCATGTTCCGTGACTAGGACTACTTCGTGCTCCTATAATGACTAACCGACCGGCGGACGATGACTGACTGTCCATGAGTGTCTCCATGAGTGTCTGCACCGGTACAGTTATCTTGTCTCGGTGTGTGTCTGTTATCTGTACCGCTGTCTGAGCTGGACCGTACTGTACCCAGGGGAGTCTCTCACGGCCGTCCTTGGCTTCCTGGTAGGTAGCGTCGTATGTCATTATACAGCGGAGCGCTGCGGCGTCTGCCGTGGCCGCCGCAGAGGTGCCACTTTTACCGGGCGCCGGGCCAAGGCCGCGCCGCGCCGTGCGTCCTCTCTGCGTCTTATACGCAGCCGACAGGCGCATCTGCACGCTCGGCTGCAGATCGCTGGAGGCAAGGAGAAGCGAACCGTGGGACTTTACGAATAACGGAAACGGGCTGCAGTGTCACCGATCCACGGAGCTGCCGGCAGCCATCGTTATGCTTCAGCTGTGAAATCTATGGACCTATGGATTACATGAAGCTCAAAGCCCTTTTCATTGACTAAATCTGGACTTAGGCTGATCCTATGATGCGAAGCAAACACTTTGCGATGCATGACATTTTCAGGCGTAATGCTAGGTGCTGTTGAAAACAATGTACCTATTTACTCATATTTACCATGTTAGTATCACCAACAGCGAAAATGCACTAACTTCCGTGTATAAGAGCCTTCACCTTGTCCATTAATCAGAAAAATAATAGGCGTTGAGAAAGCAATATCATTGTTGGAGCAACATCACGCTTGGCTACTGGGACACGTGTTGGCTCCCGTCCGATAATGTGATGTGATGTCCCAAAACCAGCGTCCTTTGCGGAACCAGGCTAGCCACTTGTGCGGCGATGCAGTTTCCGACTGGTGTTATCGGGATAGCTTCTTGTGTGGCAATGCAATATCCCGGTTCTAAGTGCTATTATGTTGTTAGTCTGCTGTGTCATAATGCAGTCTCTCAATTTTTATTAAAATGGTTACTGTCCTGTGCGACAATGCAGTCCCCCAGTTCTTGGTGCTTGCAGACTGGCTTCTTACATTTGTGATCACAAGCTAGCCTCTTGTGCGACAATGCAGTCTCACTGCATTTGTGCCTCTGTGCTAGCTTCTTGTGCGACAATGCAGTCTCGAGCATATTTAGCTCACAAGAAAGCCTCTTGTGCGGCAATGCAGTCTCTCAATTCAGCGCAGTTAGGTTACTCTGCTGTGCAATAATGCAGTCTCTCAGCCCTTGCGCTCAGGGTTGTATACGACTCAATCAATAGCAATCAATTCAATCACGACAAATTTGGGAAACCAATCAAATCAATCAAGTCAGAGCAGTTTTCGGGAATTGATTCAATCGACTCAAACGCGACAATGAAAGGAATCAATCAACTCAATCAAACGACTCAAACCAAGACATACATTAGGTTTTTTGCCCCACCAACTTGGAAAAGTGTCCATAGCAGTCTGGTGTACCTACCTACCTACCTACCTACCTACCTACCTACCTACCTACAGAAGAAACATAAAAATATTGTCTTTTAAAATTATAAATTGCCATGCCATTCAAAGTTTCTATGTAATAAGGAAGGATACCTAGTGATGGGCAGGTGGATCATGATATTGAGGTTCAATGGGTAGAATTGGAGCAGAAGTGTCATTTATTGGGTGCAAAATGACCCAGTAGTTGACTCGCCCCTTAACCCAAATCACCACATTTCACCTAAAAGTTGTCAATTTAATTTTGGCCATATTCCAACTCCATTTACACTAAATATCAGATATTGCAGTTGAAAGTTGGCTGCTCGGATTTTGGCAGTGTTCGTGATTTGGCCATTTACCCTACACCATGTCTATTTTAATGGATAATATGCATCAATAACATATTAACCATAGGGAAATAGAAATAAACATCTTACCTGCATCATGCATGTGACGGTTTCGGTTAGACAGAGACTGACGGGCAGCCTGAAAAATCATTCCACACAATGTGCATTTGAGGCGTGGGATGTTGTCAGATTGGGAAGGAAGAGATTTGAAGTATTTAGCGGTCCACGACTCTGGACGTGGCATGTCAATGTTAGGTAGGTACCTATGTGAAAAATTCAAAACATTTAATTGCAATACAATTTGAAACTATTAGGACTGGGGGATAAGGATGAGTATTTAAAAGGAAATGGAGAGGACAGGGACTCTGGAACCACAGGATAAGATAAGGACAAAGGAAGTAGGAACAAAGAAAATTAAAACGCGAAAACGGCACGGTGCGACTGTGAATAAAAGAAAACGTTTTGCCAAGAAGTATGCTAAGCTTTTATAAATCCTTATTCTACTTCTTTTGACTTTTTTGTAAGATGACGTCATTGATTATCATGTAGTATGGTAGATCATCATAAAATAAATCGGTTGTACAGCACCAATTTCGTTTTAATTATTATTTCATTTGAAATAAAAACACTTAATAATATTCGGTAAAATATTTTAAGGAAAATGAAATATATTAAATATGTTATGCTTAGGCTCTCAGGAGAAAAGGATCAACAAACGTTCTGCTGCAAATTAAACAATGCAGCAAAGTAGCTATCAATTGTACGTAAACGTAATCAGCGAGACGAAAACGGCGCTTTTGTTTCAGTTATTTTTGTAGGGGTTTCAGATATTTATAGAGTTCAGTGGGTTGTTTCTGAGGAGATGTGGAGATGTGAATTATTAATCAATCACACTTTATTAGTATATAGGGCCTTGCACTTTATCATCTGGATTAAAAAAAAAACGTTTCCTGCTGAGTGCAGAAAGGAAGGTAGGTGCATCGCCAGGTTCTATCACCAGGATTGGAGCAGTTATTGCAGTTGAAAGTCAACGTTGGCTGTTCATGTTGTTTAGGCCCTGTTCTTTATTTGGTCATCTACCCCATATTGCAGTTGTGATGACAAGCAGTTTTCAGTGTAGTTTTGTGATCTTTGGTGTCATCAATTGGTGTCATTATTTTTCGTCAAGTAAAACTTATTTGAACTTTTCATTCAATCGACTCAATCATACGAGTCACTCTAATTTTCGGGAATCAAATCAGTCAACCAGTCGCTTAAGTCAAACGAGTCAGTCAACCAGTCATCTCGAAAAGTCAATCGACTCAATCCAATCAACTCAAAATATGCGTTGAAACAAATCAATCAATTCAATCGACTTGATTGGTATACAACCCTGCGTTGCGCTTCAGCGGTACTGTGGTAGCCTCTTGTGTGATATTGCAGTCTCTCAGCGTTAAGTGGCTACAGGCTAGCCTCCTGTACGACAATGCAGTCTCTCAGTTCAAAGTGCTTTTAGGGTTCCTGTCCTGTGCGACAATGCAGTCCCTCGGCGTATGGCGCTTGCATGACAGCCTCTTGTGCGACAATGCAGTCTCCCTGCCTTTGTGCGTCTGTGCTAGCTTCTTGTGCGACAATGCAGTCTCTTATTTAAGCGCAGTTAGGTTACTCTGCTGTGCGACAATGCAGTCTCTTAGCCCTTGCGCTTCTGTGATAGCCTGCTGTGTGACAATGCGGTCTCATGGGACGTGGTGCTTACAGCTGCTAATCTCGTACGCGACAATGTAGTCTCTAAGCATGTGATGGTCACAGGCTAGCCTGTTGTGCAACAATGCCTCCTAGCCTTTATGCTGCTCTGCTTGGCTCCTGTGTGACAACGCAGACTCTCAGCATGTGGTGGCTACAGGCTAGCCTTCTGTGCGACAATGCAGTCCCCAGTTTTAAGTGCTCTCAGGTTAGTCTGCTGTGCGACAATGCAGTCTCTCAGCCTTTACAAGACAATGATCCATATCCTGTGCGACAATGCAGTCTCTCGGCATGAGGTACTTGCATGACACCCTCTTGTGCGACAATGCAGCCTCCCTGCCTTTTTGCTATTGTGCTACCTCCTTGTGCAACAATGCAGTCTCCGGCATGTTGTCCTTTCCTTGCAGGTTAGCTTTCTGTGCGACAATGCAGTCTCCAGTAGGTGGTGATAAGCCTTTTGTGCGACAATGCATTCTCTCTGCATGTGGTGCTTTCAGGCTGGCTTCTTGTGCGACAATGCAGTCTCCCAGTTTCCATTTTCGGACAGCTGACCGTTATGTCACCAGCACCAGAATAGGACCGTTGCCACCAGTAGTCACGGAATGCAGTGGCTGCGTGGCTACCGTTGGGCTCTTTGTGGCCGTTTTCGCTACCTCGGCTGCGGAGGATAGATGGACAATACACGACGTCGGCCTCGCAGCCTCCCCACTGAGTGTGAAAACATGTATGAGAGTCGGGGAAAGGTCAAGAACAGCATTTCACAAGCGAAGTCTGCGAATGCTGAATGCCATGAATAGCTAATACAGGTATGATGAATCGTGAATGACAAACAGTTTCATCAATGGGAACCAACATAGGTGAGTCTGCCCCTATAGCGGTCCATTGTGTGTTTGGGGTGTCAAGACCTCATGGGATTGATCGATACACATGACGGGACTATGTTAGACATACAAATACTCGTAAGATGCCTTTTTTTAGGCCAATCGAGCGACGAATCGACCTTGCTTGGATGCAAAAAGGTAGCACTACAGTCACAACGAATATTTCTGTAGTAGCTTGTGAATCATCAGCTTATTTCTTCCCTCAAGAAAAAAAAAAAACAAGGAAAGAGCAGACACATGCCGCGAATCAATCATTAATCATGGTGACCGTTGCACACATAGCAGCCCTACAAATAATTCGTTTGGATTTATGAACATCTTCTAAAGCGAGCGGTCCCTCATATACCATCTATGTACGGAGAGTTGCCGCATCGTGTCGAAAAAATGCCTGTGCGGAAAGAAGCGTTTTCTGCCAACATGATATAACTATAGCCATAACTTTCCAATATACGAGTATTTAGCTCGAATGCTTGCGTGGACGGATTCGTTTTTGTCGGAGTCCGTGCTAAGCAGCACGCAGACCCGTAAACGTTATATCGGGCAACGTCTGAGCTGAGTCGGGATAATTTAGATGCCAAAATTCAGCGTACCTATCCATCAAAGCCGGGCACGGTCCGTCCCACTCACTGACTTCAACTGGGTACGACCGCTCCCACTAACCACTTGATTACGGCATGCCAGTGCCACCAAAGGTAATCAGTTGTGTGAGCCGCTTGGTAATGCATTATTGCTCAGTGCTCATGGGCATATCTTCGGAGGCTATTTGTTAAGTCGCATTCATGCTGCTTTCACATTTTTTTCTGCAAAGTTTATTTATTCAAAAACGAGTTAATGAAGAAATCGGATATATGGGAGTCATATAAATTTTGCAGCAACATTCAATTATTTAACATGGCTTGAAGGATGAAACAATACTCGTACATACCTCCGTGCAGCTGTACGTGGTGTCTACTAAATAATGAAAAAAAGCTTAGAGGCTTCAATCTCGGATATTATGTAACATAAATAATCGGAAATTCGCATGCTTATGCACCTGTCTATTTGTTATCAACTACTTTCAGTGCAGCGCACTGGGTACACCATGTTTCACGTCACGCCACGCGCGCCACCTGACCCCCTTTATCAAACGTGGCGGCACCTCTGAGTCAAATGAGACCGATATTTCCCGCCTTCGCGTCTTCAGATGTGAGTCGGAGCTCGGAAGCTACGTCCATTCCCCTGGGCGCATTTATTTCTTGAAAAGCCTCGTAAGTCTTCAATCGGCCACAAATGTGACACGCAGGGTGGATTCTCTTCTCGATCTACCACGGGTACGCCGACCCCTCCAACATTGTGTGGTTTTAATGGCATAATGGGCAAAACCTATAAGTCGAACCAGAACGTATAGCGTTGGGTAGTATTGGTCTTGTATGACATTGGCGCCCCCCAAAATAAAGAGTCAACGCTATATCGTCTTTCATCTTTGCCTATGCCTTTGTGGTTACCTTGAACTGGCCAACAGGCTGCGAACACATCAGTCCGGCTCGTTTTCGTGCACAGACATTCCAATTCCCAACAACGCGGGCGATTTAAATGACCTTATGGATATCAAATTGGCCGCGCTAGGTGGGTATATCGTTGCCCTCAGACCACGACAACGCCACCATTCAGACATAAGTGACGTCACTGGTCACATACTGGTGACGTCACCGGTCAGCGGCTAGTGACGTCACCGGTCAGGTGCCGAAGCCAAGGCCGTCGTGAGAGGGGCTGTGGCCGGTATTAGATGGGCGGCGCGCCGGTCGGGCCGCTGTGCTCGCTGGTCGTCAGTCGGAGGAACATCGCCACCCTCAGCTCCAGGTGGGTGGGAGACCAACACGGACTGAGTGTGCAGTGTGCGGCGGATAGTCTCAGACGAGCAGCTGTCGGAACCCATAGGCCACCCAGGTATAACGGCAGAGACACAGGTAAGCTCGGAGAAACGCGCTGATTTCACCGTCGGCAGACCGTCAATCGACGAATCTCGACGTTAGGAAGATAATCGCTTCAATTAAAAACATCCGTAAAATTTTGAAAATTTGGTGAATATAGCATTCGCTGTTATAAGGGAAACCGACAGCGGAGAAATTAATGCTTTTGAATCGAATGAATTATGGCTATGGGTATTATGAGTTACGGAAAGCCCCAGTTTCGATGAATTTCATATTCGTGATGTTGAGTCTACTGCTGATTTATTTATTATTATTTTTATGTAGATTAAACGACTGCTAAAATCGTATTTCTCTTTTAGTTAGGTAAACAGAAATGTTCATCGACCTAACTTCGTTAAGATGAAAATGGTGAAGATTTGTAAAAGAGTTTCTACGGGTTTCTACATTTATTGCGTGTATTTATTATAAAAAGCATTGCCTCTAAGCTGCACATTATCCGCACTAGCGAAACCAGAAGTCCGCTAATGGACGCTGCGGGGAGGCAACCCCCCAAGGTTTTTTTCCCAAAAAAATCCTCTGATTTCGGTTCCTTACGGCACCGCTCTGCACTTTAAAACACACCTTTTCCCGTAGAACTTGCTTAGTTTTTTCTATTACCGAACATCGTAAATTTTCGTCGATTCCGGGCACCGCAGGTCCCCTTAATAAAGCATAAGCATAAGAAAAGCACAAAAATTAGAAGCGTCACAAAAGCAGAAAAGACTACCTCTTATTTGTCCTGGCATATGTGCCTTCTTACCTATTATTTGTCGTGATGAGGAAGGCTAAGCTCCGTGCACCTTTTTGCGATAATCGTGCAATATCATCCGGAGTCCAGTTGTAAACAAGCGAGTGTTTTGAAGGCCAGCCAGTTAATTGCAGTCCCCTAGCATGATATAGGTGCCGACCTTATGAGCTTTGTCTCAGCATCACGTCTCATAGGCTTTGAATCGATTTATTACGCCCGGGCAAGACTGATAAAAGTGCATACTACAAAACATGCTGATTGATAACTGAACAAGCATTTTCATTGCCTTCTCAACACTGTTTGACCTTTACACTCTTAATCGCTGCCCGCTGCCATGTTTACAGCCATTCTTCGTCAAGGAGCCACTTGCAAGACAATTAGCCTCGGTCGCATAGGACGCTCAGTCTCATTTTATATAGCAAGCGGCCACTATAATTATGCGCGGTTATACACTGAGACAGACTTACCGGTGTCTTCCGTTGCGGTCCCGTGCACTGATTCCCCTCTGTGACCTGCGGGTGATAGTGACGAGTGAGTGGTCTGCCTACGGCAGCGACGGGCTCCGACACGAGTTGGGCACGCCACTGGGGGTCAGAGGTCGCGCCCCGTCTGCACAGGGTCAGGGATTGTGGTAGCGGCGGTCCGGGCCTGACTTCCGATTAGCTTGGGCGCCCGGCCCCGCCCCCGTCCCGCCCAGCTAGCTTCAGGCCCCTTGTTATTTCTGCACCTTGCAGTTAGGCCAATAAATAATCAATAAAAAAGTAACCATGACATGCTGATTATCAATCGATGGGTGTAGCATAGTTTAAAGAACTAGCACTATGTGTGTGTAGTAATTTGTTTTACGATTGAAAGGTCATCAAAATGTTTTGCCTGTTATCTTCCGATCATTTAGTTTCTCGTAAGTTTAGGAAATCAGATTGATTATTTTTAAAGTCTTTTTCTGCTTAGTTTAGAAGGCAGCCTGTTTTCGCACGAACGACAGCATCTCACCAAATTTGTTTGTCGCTGTTTCACCGATGTATTTAGTACGGCTTGAATATTAGTCAGGCTTTCTGCCCACTGTAGTTCCACGAATTGCTAAATATTTGCTTGACATTCTTCAGCTCAACCCACAGTAAACGTATCCAGAGGCCGTTAAACAAGCAATTTTATTGGCGCTTCCGTCGCGAGTGCAAAGTAGCCTCTGTCGCCAGCCTTCAATTATAAATATTCTTTCGACGCTGACCAATTTGTCAAGGCGGTTGATAAGTAATTTCGCTTATTGACGACTCTGTCAGCAGATTCAAAGGTCAAATGTAAAATATGTGCTCGCCCGAAAGATAAAATGGCACCTAATTGGTCATTTCATTAGCCAATTTAGTCGCTAAGACCATATGCTCGACAGTTCCAAAGGCATCCAACTGCTTCATTGGTTTCCAACCAACCAAATGGCTGTCGCTCAGCAAGTCTTCCATGCATTCTCTGCGGCCGTAAGTCAGCAGGTGCATCCACCATTCAATTTACATGTAGCATGGCTCCTGTTTTAGGTATGCAGGGATGCCGGCACTGCAGAATACATTGGCCTCTCAGAACACTGGTATTAGGGGTGCGCTCTCAGCGCTGCACAGACTGAGACTCCGCCTGCTGAATTTCAACACTGCAGCCGTGAAGCCGGACGCCGAGGGCCAAGGTCGAAAGGGGCACACACCAGCCGTTCTTGCATCAGTCTAGTAGGGAATCCTATGAGGCTCCTTGTCACCGGGGGTCGCCGCTAAAGCATTACCTTTTTGGCTGAATTGCGAGCATCCTTCATTATTTCGCTCATGGATAGTTGGCATACCTATTATCGGACTATTAGTTGGTAATATTCCTGAAATGTTTTCAATTAAAGTGTACTTTATTATCAGCTCCATTTAAAGTCAACTGCGATAGCGACATGTCAAGGTGCCCTCTGCAGTTGGGGATCGACTAACAGCTCTTTCAGTCTAATGTGAGCCGATCTGCGACAGTGCCTTCCGCTAGCTCCCGGAGTAACCTGTCACAGAGCCTACCGCAAACCACCGGGCCAATATGTCACCGTGCCGGTCCATCTGCGGCCGGCGATTACATCACCAACTAACTCTCCCTCTCTGTACCGACAGCAGCGCCATGGCTCGTCTGCTGTTCGCCACTCTCGCCGCCGCGCTGGTCGCCATGGTAACCGCCCGGATGGCGTACGAGCTGTCTGACGGCGCAGATAGCATCGTGCCCAACCTGGTACAGTCGTTCAGCTGCGACGGCCGCGCCTACGGCTACTACGCCGACGTCAGCAACGACTGCCAGCTGTTCCACATCTGCGTGCCCGTGCTGGGAGCTGACGGAGAGGTGAGGGAGTCGACGGAGAGGGGGGAGCCAACTGGGAGGTGGGGGGGGGGACGATGGAGAGGTGAGGGAGCCGAGGGAGAGGTAAGGGAGGGGGAGGGGAGAGGCGAGGGGGCCTGCGTCGACACCGGCCCGCGGCGCCCGCTCAAATAGCGTGATTGGAACGGATTCAATCCCAGGACATGGAATGGTCAAACTAGGCCGAAATTTCCCAAAACCACAAACAACAACACCAACATCAAAAACAGCAACAACAATAGCAACAACAACGGATTCAATCCCTACGTTTGTTCTAAGCATTTACGTCTAATACGTAAAGCAGTGACTCGGTCAAAAAGAACGTTGCGAGTCTTCCCTTTATCAATGACTGATGAGCGCTAGATTTTGTCGATTTTCAAATAACTTCGCTTGCATTGCGTCGGGTTTCCTCATTCTCATTCAAATTTGCTTAGGTAGGTATATCGATTCAGGTCCCCCGGTCGTGCGTCGTTGGGGCTGGTTGGGGGCAAAATTTTGAAATTCTGTTATTAAGCAGTTATTTGGCACATTGACAAACATAAAATTGTAAGGTATGCCACGAGATGTGATAGCCAGTCGTAAGTTGCATTAAGCCTCTTTCACTTTCTGCAATTTGTATCAAAAGCATTTATTGCAGTTAACACCCAGCTTCCTTATTGGATATAGGATATTGATTCGTCAGAGAAGCACAGCTACTTGTCACGAATGGCAAAGTCATGCACATGAGTGACAGACCCCTAACGAATGCGCGTCATTACCTGTGTGTGCCGTTTAACACGTCTTGCACCACCGGGTCATAGGTCGACAGTTGCAATCCTGTGCCACGGTTTCGCTGAGTAAATTAACCAAATAGACGCTTGCCACATGCAGTGGCAAAAGCTCCACTTCAGTTCAGACTCGGCACCCGAGAATTGTAGGTTTCCTTGCCACGTGTCCTGGCGCAGTGCCAAAACCGCCGCTCGCCGTGCCTTCCCCGGCGATTGTGACGTCATTGACCGCTCGAGGGAAGAGGTCGGCACTGCGGCGCAGGGGTCAAAGGGCACGACGAACGGCCCACCGGCTATCGGGGAAGGGTGGGTGGCTCAGGGTCGCCTGCCGCGCCCTTGGTAGTCGCGCGCCTGTCGCTCACGTGCGTAATGCGTACCTATGTGGCGGTGAATGATGCCCAATGAGGGAGAATGATGGGAGAGGAAGAGTGTGAGAGAGAAAGAGAGAGAGAGAGAGAGAGAGAGAGAGGGTGGGAGAAAAAGAGAGAAATAGTGTTTTGACTTTTTGACGCTTGAAAATGGCAAATCAGCTTTATCAACATGGAAAATTTGTAATTTGATGTCAAATACACCATAAGTGTGACTTTTAGTTTTTAAAAGGTAACAATAAGTCAGTATGCTTACCCAATGACTTCTTGTAAGCAGTTCACACGGTGCAAAACGAGCGAAAATGTGAGTGAAGAGGAAACAGCCCCATTGACCTGTCACTTACCCTGCCGGGCGTTTGACGCAGCGCTGACGGAGTCGCCTCTCTGTCTGTAATTGCCTACAGGTGCTGTCCACCGACCAGTACAGCTTCCTGTGCGGCAACCAGACCATCTTCGACCAGGCCACGCTCACGTGCAACTACCCGGTGGACTCGCTGCCCTGTGAGGACGCCGAGTCCATGTACTCGCTGAGGAACGACGAGTTCTTCAGGAAGCTGGACGGCAGCGAGGCGTGAAGGCCGTGACGGGGTGTGTCGCCGCAGCTAAACCGTGAACCACCTGGCGAGCGCCGTGTGTGCATGTTCATGTCAGTTGGTTTGGTTTGTTGGAGAGACGAGGCTGACATCATGACGTTCATTTCATAGCACATCAGCCAGACTGATCGAGCTCGACTTGTGTCAAAGTTCGGTGCATGCCGGACCTGCGTCATTGATAAAGGTGATCAGCATTTGTGTAGGAAGGCGCAGCACTGTTCCCGATTTGTCCGACCGTTTACTCTGCCAAACATCTTTAAACCTTCCTGTCTTTGTTCTATTCGTTTGAGCCAAATTAATCTTTTCCAATTCAAGACATGCATGCTAACCATTATTGAACGGGATTCCATGCGATAATTTTGTATCCAAATGATATTTTGTATGTGATTCAAGTGTATTTTGACATTGTACTTCACTGAACAGAGCATTATGAATTGATGTGTGCTGGCGGCACGCAATGAGTGATTCATATTTCATATGAACTTCTGAATTGTAATAAAGAAATCGATGAGTGAAGTAACCGCGTTTGGGCGTCCAAAATATAGGCTGCTGATTTGTCGTAAAATAATATTACAGACTTAGTTAGTATCTAATACCGTTCATGTACATACAATGGGTGCGGTGCAGAACAAATCCGAGCTGGTTATTCCATTGTGTCATTTCGTGGCGGATGAGGTGCTAAATACAATCTCGAAATGTGAACACGAGCCAAACTTGGCTTCTCAGTCATAAGTAGTGACAAGCGACAAAGGGCACGGGAAAGATCGTCAAACTTGTTACCAAATTTCATTAGTCATCTTTCTAGATTGGATAAGATATCAGGTCAAAGGAAGTGAAATCTTAATAGATAAGATAGTAGATCATGTCAAAAGAGGCGACGTCCTTCTGGAAAAACAAAATAAAGATGGGATCAAAACTATACTTGGGTTCGCTATTTAAATTATAAGCTCGCATAGGCCGTTTTTACAAGTGGGGAAGCTGATGCCATTTTTCTTAGTGTGAGGCCACCACCTACTCACGTAACTTGACCTGTTGACTTGACCGTATACCTAGATGTGTCATGTATACGGCACGCCAAACTCTTATGGAGCATGAACCCCCTTCTCCACCACCGCTACCATGCCGCATATTTTGAATGGCCTTGCTGAGTCTCAGCATTCAGCAACACGGTCTTTACGCCTTACGGCTAGGATTGTTGATTCAGTCGAAGCGACAAGAGACGTCCATGCACCGCACGAGATGCCCATGCGATCAACTACGGTTTGATAAAGGAAATATTCAATTTCAAGCATGGAGTTTTAAACTGAACTAGCAGTTATGTAAGTACCTTACCCTAACACCATTTGGAAGCTTTAATAGCCTAACAATCAGCCTAGTCAAAGATATTCCACTTTATAAGTTCCGAATTGAGTCCCTTTCCAGTAATTCGACGCGTCCTATACCCAGGTACTGTTCCAAGTATGACAGAACATGATAGGAGACAATCTGTTCGGTGAGTCCCTTCGCGTGAGCAGAGGCGGGTGATCGTAGTTGATTGGCTATCCGGTCATTTGCAATCAACTGTTTAACCGTCACAATAAAATGAAAGGTTGTAGAGAATCGATAGATTTTACTTACCTTTGTTAAGGAATAGTATTATCTCACGTTTAACCTTCGCCGGACCAGTGATTATCTACATACGCGCCAGCCGAGGGAGGGGGGGGGGGGGGGGTACAACCCCGTCGCCGTTTCGCCCCCGGTGGAGCTAGCGCGTCGCGAAAAATAACGAGAGCGTGCGCCGTTACGAGACACAGACATTGATACCCTATTTTAAGGCCCTAGGTCAACCAATGACCTCTGAGATCAGGTTAACCCTATTAGTGGCAGAGGGGGTTGTTTTCATCCACCCCTCAGGTTTTTCGGGAATATCTACGAAACCGCTGAAGCTACGATGCTGAAATTTTCTGACTTTTCCTAAAACTAAATTGGGCACATTCCCTGAAAATTTCAAGTTCATAACTTTACCAGGGACGGCTCCAGAGCACTGGGAATTGGGGGGTCCTATTCGTGAAGCGAGTCATTTGGGCGAAGATCACGATGCTGGTTGCTGATGTATTATAACTGTATGCACCAGTTTTACGAACAGTGAATGAAAGGTATCATGTGATAACATAGTTATACAAAGTTATTGTGCATCCTCTTTTGACACCTTTTTGCTATAATAGGTGGATCCAGGCGTCCAAAAAGGGGGTTTATGTTTTACCTCCCAACATAGGTGCCCTGACACCGCCTATGCATGACCAATACAATTGTAGTCGTTCTCTCATAAGAAAATTGTAACATAACAAGACCATTACCACCCTTTTTAGAAACAGTACCAACAAAAACCTTATTTACTATACTTTTTGTGTACCCCCAATCTCAATGATCTGTATCCGCCTATGATTTTTGAAAATGCATATTTTTAGGATCCATGTGAATTCCTGGTTCATTTTCTATCGATCGGCAAAAGTTGCGTTAAGATTGGTTCAGAAACCTGGCCGTGATAAACAGTCTAAAATGTATCTGCAATTTGCCCGTTTTTACCCCCCTCTACCCCCCTATTGACATTTTTTTTTTAACTTTTATTTTTTAGAAATGTAGATCACGTTGAGCGAAATCGAACGGCGTTTGAATTTTGAAAATCGGCCCGTTAGATCTCGAGATATCAGGGGGGGGGGGGTCGTAAACAGCCCTCCCCCTGCCACTAATAGGGGTAGCCAGGAGCCTGCCACTAATAGGGTTAAGTGCCCCAAGGTACGGTTCCGTTTTTGGTTAGGTAATAACTTCGCCAAAAAAGCCGCAGAGCCGCGATTTTGGCAGCATCGTGTTCGAAGCGCTTCGGAGTGTCGAATGATATACTATTTGTTTGGGTGAGGTCTACTTAGGGTGTTGACCTCAGGTCAAGGTCAGGTCAGCGCCCCCAGGACACGAAATTGTTCGAAAAGCATGTCGCATATCATTCGATTCGGCAGGTCTTTCTGAGTCCATTGGTGGCTTTCCCGACTCGCTAGCTCAATTTGATCGGGAGTTATTGACGAAAAAAATCTAATATAAACCTAATGACGTCATAAATGACGTCACGCAAGGTTAAAATTGCAAAAGTGACGCATCGATCCTTGCAAGGAGTGCATGTTCACGATTCTGATACTTGAGATAGCTGGAGATCGTTCCCGGCGCCAGAATCGCAGTTTTCATTTTACCCCATTGACTTATAGGGGCGAGGTCACGAAAATGACCTGACCTCATATGACCTCTTAGGAAAAATCCGAGTAATACAAGTTGTGAGACTCCTAATGGATACTTAGGTCCTACAAGTTAGGAACGTTTTTCGGCTACTAGTCGTTTATTGTTTTCGTTTCGAATTTTCGACCTTCGCATCGAGGTCGGTGTCAAGAAAACATGTCAAGAAAACACGTTCCTAACTTGTAATGTCTAGTCGTAAAAGCTTAAAATCATATATTAGGTCCTACAAGTTTCATTTCCCTGTGAAAGCTCCTCTGGCAGTGAGGGCGTAGCGAAGTTGCGACATCTGAAGACCGTGCAGAGGCTCACTTATGACGTCATAGGCCAGGAAAATGGAGTTGGTGTCAGAAGATCCGGCTTGAATCAAAGGTCAGGTATGCCAAGTTTCAACTCCATATCACTGGCTGTTGATGATGATGATGATGATATTTATTGAACAGAAAGTACTGGAACAAAAGAGTAAATCGGAGATTGGTGCAGAAGCTCAAGGCTTAATTCGGGGCACCTCTCTCCGTGCACACTCATTCACAAACATACAAGCTTACGTGCAGACTCATACCTATGCTTTACACTATACACATACATACAAACACACACTCTTAATCACTTCTACTGGCACGCGCACACGTAACAGAATTAACAATTAACTTAAGAATTAACAATTCTTGGCGTATCAGGTAATTGTTGTGTACTATTATTAGCGTCACGTGCAAACATGCACTCACACGCGCGCTCACACACACACACACACACACACATCGCATTTTCAAACAGTTACACTACACTCCATCATACGCATCATACATTCACACACAATCAGTCATCAATGTCTCGCGTTCATTGCACATCAGCGACCGCCGCACGAGGAGGGACACCCGCCCACAGCGCCCCGGAACAGCCGCCGGGAGCCGCCGCCCCACGCGCCCGAGAGGAGTTTTAGTGATCAAAATCTGTGGGAATTAATTATGTATTTCTGGAAACAGCTTGCCACCTCTCGTCCGCTGCCCGGGTTGAGTAACTCGCCATGAAGTAGCATCTTAAGTTGTTTGGATGTTGGCAAAGTTCGAAAGTCAAGATTGAGAATTGTGGATAGTTCCTCGAAAAGCGTTTGTCGAATATTATTGTATGTAGTGCAATGAAGGATGTAGTGTTCCGCAGTTTCAAGTGAATGGCCGCATGGACAAGAGGGTGAATCTGAAAGGAGTAATTTATGGAGGTGTTCGTTGAGTTTAGATGCTCCGACGCGTAGTCTGGTGTGCAGGAGATTGCCGCGCTTGGAGCCGAAGGTAAAGTACTCAGGCGGTCGTGGAGGGCCAAAATGTTCGTGAATTTGTCGTTTGAAGGAAAAGAGGTTTGGATGGTGGACAGAGGGGGGAAGGTCGTTCCAGAGCCGGGTTGTGCTTGGTATGAATGACTTCCTGAAGAGAGTGGTTCTATTGAAGGATTGTGTGAGAGTGCTGGAATTTCGTAAATTTCTACCTGTCTGGTATGCTCGTGTATCAGGAATAATTAAAAGAACATATGGTGGTATTTGAGGATCAGCTGTTTTTAGGTGATGGTAAAGTAGAAGTCTGTGAACTTTGCGCCTGTTTTCCATGGAAGTCCAGCCCAGTTCCTCCCTCAGTCTGTTCGTCGGTGTTCTTGTCATTGTTCCTGTAATAAGTCGGGCTGCGCGATTTTGAAGTCGTTCAAGTCTGTTAGCGTCGTTCCTAGTTATCAGTCCGTCATATACTATGTCGCAATAGTCGAAAAAGGGCCGTATGTAGGTTATGTATATTTGGAGGAGAATGTTTCTTGGTACGTGTTTTGCGATAGGATAGAGGGGACCCAGAGCTTTGGTTACTTTCTTTATTATCTCGTTTATGTGTGTTTTAAATTTGAGATCAGAAGACAGGGAGATGCCAAGATGTTTGTGGTGCTCGCGGACGGGGATGGTTTGACCGTCAAAAACTAGTTTGGGAATGCTTGGGGCGTTTTTGAGTGAGAATGTTTGTTGTATCGTTTTTGATGCATTAAAGGTGATCATCCAATCATGGCTGTACTGCTGAATGTTGTCTAGGTCGCGCTGTAACGAGGTTTGTGTCAAGGCGAAAGTGTCATTGTTGTGTGAAGCGTAAAGTGAAGTGTCGTCTGCAAAAAAGAGTGTGTCATTAGAAGTCTTGGTCGAGAGTCCGTCTAGGTAAATAAGGGCTAGTAGAGGGCCGAGCACGGACCCTTGGGGGCATCCCGCATTTGTGGTTTGAAGTGAGGAA